AGCGGCTATTAAGAGGGTTCAAAAGATGCGAGAGATTTACGCTAAGTTGGCTAACAAACTAGCAAAGGCCTAGATATATTAGAAGGCCTACTATAACAAACACTATACGCTAATAACCTTTAAGCAAGGCGACATAGTTATACTAAGCACTAAGAACCTCCGTATCCGCAAACACCTATTACCTAATAGCAAAACAAGGCCTAAGCTTGCACCTAGATACATTAGCCTATTCCGAATCCGAGAACCGAAGGGCAATAGCTAGGCCTATTAGTTATGGCTCCTACTACACTATACTATCTATAACACCTTCTATATCTCCCTCCTTAAACTATACTACTATCGCGAAGGCCCTAAAGAAGCCCCTACTAAATACGAAGACATACTAGCGGATAGTGAAGAACTGTAGTCTATAGAACGTATCCTATAGCACCGGACTAGGAAAGGCAAGAAGGAGTACCTATTAAGATAGCAAGGCTATTTACTAGAATAGGACTTATAGGAAGCCGAAGACTCCTTTAAGGATATAACCGAGTTATTAGATGAGTATTAGACTAGCGTAAAGAACAAGAAGAAGGCTAAAAGCTTATAATGTTACTACTAAGGCCTAGGACTAATGCTACCCCCGGGGTGCTATTAGCTAACCAATCGGAGGCCGGCAAACTAGGACAATAAGACTATACTAGGCGCGCTACTACGCGTCAATTAATTAGTTACTACTCTTTTAAGAATTCTACCTCTTGTTTCTTTATTTTATCGAGGCCTCGAGGCCTAAGCGGTCGGCAAGGACGGCGCGGCCGGCGCAGCTATATTAGTAACGGTATTGCGGAGTATATTGCTATTTGAGAAAGGAAGAAGCAGCTATATTAGTAACAATATTGCCGAGTTATTGTTAGTTAAAGGAAACTAGAAGAAGGTAAAGTTAGCGCTAAGACGACTAGCGCCGCTATTATTAACATTACCTACTCGCTAATATCGCTAACCTTACCTATTGTCGCTACTGCACCTACAAAACAACCTTACCTATACTATAAGCCTAAGGCGCTATACTAACTAATTAAAGATTGAACCTATTAAAGGTTTAATTAAAACTTTGAGGCTAAGTCAAAACTTTAAGCCGCTTAAAAGATTGAGTGGACTAATAGACCGACTAACTAAGGGCAAAACTATAGAGCTAAGCTAGCCGGGGTCGATCTTGCGGACAATAGGTTACTCCTCGATCTATCTAACCCTTTAAGCGAGGCGAACCTCTACTACTACACTTACAATAGCCTTTACCTATAGAAACTAGAAGAACTGAGTCTTTTGAAAAGATATAATTAGTTAACACTTAAAGGCTACTAAACCTAGCTAATTAGGGCTAGCGAAACTACGAACAGTAATAGTCCTCGTAATAATAAGAACAACCCTCGGAACGGACAAACCCTCGGAGCGGACATTTCTAGGTCTTTTAGAGTAGACGCAAAGAACTCGGTACGACATTACTTAGAACGGAGGTAGGGCTGCAATACCTCGTACGTCTACCTATTATAGTAGGGAAGACGCGCTCGTATTATAATTGGTCGAAGGTCCTCAATTCTCGTAGTTATATATCACTTTATTATATATAAGTATAGCGCAGTTAGAGTTAGACATTATATTATATTAGAGGTGAGGTTTAATATAGTTATATAATCGGTAATTGCGTATTTAATTTAGCGCGGACTAAGAAGCTTGCTAGACCTACTAAGTTAGTAGCGATAGAGGTTAAGAATAGAACATAGACCGGCTACGAGGGCGCGGCCTTTAGAAGGGAAGCGTATATTAGGACTAAAGAGGTTACACGTAATTAGTATGTAACTAGGCTCGAGTGAAGCTAGGGTCTTAATGCCTTAGGCAGGGCTTGGCGCTTAGCGTTAGGCTAACTAGCCTACCTTCCTCCCTCTCCTCTTAGATCTCTATCGAATACTACACTAATTCACTACCACCCTATCTACCTACTAATATAACCCTTCTTACACTCTAAGCTTAGCTTAACGCTAATCCGCAGTTACCTTATAACCTTACTACTATCGCTTAGCGCTATATAGGTGCTCCTCCTAAGGCTTATAACTTTCGTTATCCACTCGCTAATAGTAGCACTAATGCGAACCTCGTACGGGGGTTAATTGATTAGTTCGAGGCCCTCTACCCTAGGTATGCTTCTCTACTAATTTAGGTCAATTAGCTACGGCTATTATAGCTAGCCTCTAGTGCTCTTAGAACCGATCCTCGCCCGATACCTATATTATATCTAGCATATGCCCCTGCGTCGACCGCCGACAACGCTTCCGACTTCTTTACGTATATTAACGCTAACCGTAAGAAAGTAGTATATGCCCGCTAGGCAATTACCGTTCTAGATTCTTAGCTAACTTAACCTTCAAGTTCTCTACTAAGTAGTCTCCTATATAATTAGTACAACTACGATAATATACTCGATACAATTCAGCCTAGAGAGAGCGTAGGCTTCGGTGAATTTGCGCTAAGATTTATTAACGCCCGTAAGGACTAGTATATAGACTGTAATCGACTTAGGCAGCTTCTTTAGACCGCTCCTAGAATTGCGATTAATTAGCGTAGCTAGAGCCGTATCCTTATACGATAGGCAGCTTTTCATAATAATAAGATAATAGATAAGTAGGAGATAATAGAGGAGCAGGAGATAATAGACGAGTAGGATATAGTAGATAACTAGTAGATGCTAGATAACTAGCAAATAGCTCCTAAGTAGGATATAGCTAATAAGTAGCATATTGCTATTAACTAAATAGGTCGGTCGTATACGTACTAAAGTGATTCCCCTGCTCTAAGTGTATATCGCGAGTATAAGCAGTTATCCGCTTATAGTCGTACTATAGAATTATAGCTAATTGCTAAGCCTGTTTAGCTCGAGTTGCGATATAGATACTAATGAGTCTATTAACAAGCCTGTTCAGCTCGAGTTGCGATGTGGATACTAATAAGTATAGTATAGGCAGGCCGACCTGTTTTACGCTACTCGCCTCGGCTTCGCTCGGCTATCCTAACCTATACCGCGGGTCTACGGATACTTTATACAATTAGCGAAGATCTAGGTCCGCGCCGTTTAATCTTTAGAGTCCTATTTATCTTAACGGTCCTTAAATTCTTTAGAAGTCTTACTAGAGGCCTTAGAAAGAGGTCGCTAGTAGGTGCCTTATATATAGCGCTAGACCGATATACCTTTAAGAGCGCCTTTAGCGGCGTACAACTATAATAGGTAATTCTTCTTATTCTTTAGCTTAGGAATATTGCTTATGTAAGCGCTAGACGTTGTAGGGGGAGCTATTGTAGATAGCGACGGCGATATAGAAACTATAGACTTTATCTTAAAAGGCGGCCGATAGGCGCGCCTATATTCTAGTATAGCGGACAGCTAATACTAATGTTAGAAACCGGTGTGGCGGACAGCTAACACTAACAGTAGCCGACTCGAGTCTAGTACCTACTAGAACACTCGAGGGTAGCGGCGACGATAATAGTATTAGTATAATTTTTAGTAACAAGCGCTATCTACGTAGCAGTCGGAGTAACTATTAGAATACGTAGCGAACGTGTTATACGCGTTAGAAACGCAGGGGGCTTATAACCACTTAATGTAACTGATGTATTAGGAAGAAGGACTAATCTATGTAGAAGTCCGAAGATGAAGTGCAGCAGTTGCAGCCTCAGGCATCAGGCACGTGATGGACCCTGACACCTGGACACACACTCCAAGTCACACAAAGTGTCGAACGAAAGCTGGAAGCCTCTTGTGGTAGACTCATGAGGCAGAATTGCAATTTGCTTGAAACGGGTGTGCTGGAGGGCAGGGCAGGTCAGTTCACTGACGCCCAAGAAGGTGGCGGGCTTGGCAAGTGTCTAGCCCAGTCTTTGAATCTTCACTCTCAAAACCATCTTGCATCGAGACATGCACATGACAGCCGCATGGACGCGGCAAAACCGGCGGTTCAACGACAGTGATTCTGAGGTGTTCAGAAAGCAGGCTTGCCATCTCCGTAGCTTCAAATCCATGGCCTGGTATCCGGCAATCGCAGGCGAAAGAGATCCATGCAGAGCCATGCCCGCGCGCTAGTTCTATAGCGAAGAACAGGGTGTAACCGGCCATGTCCTATAACTGCAAAGTGCTGCCCTAAATTCCTCACGCAAAACGAGAGCGGGTCTCCTGCCATTCTGGTGTTGAGACGGCGGCATAGCGAGGTGCGTATCTTTCGTCCGTGTTGAAGAGAGAGCCTCGCGCCGTGAGAAGGATGGTGTGCCTGGCCCGGAAGATCGATAACGTAACTTATGGACACCGCGAACTCATGTCGTTGATCTCGCGAGTGGTCTTTTGGACAGGCATCGTGCTCATCTCCGACGACAGACGTGCGTACGCCGTACAGTACGGCGAAAGGTGTGAATCGTTCTTGATGACAGCCGCTGCTTCGCTTCGGTTCCTCCCGGCTGCTTCGGTGCTTGCAATGTTCACATCTAAGTTGGCTAGAAATTGCTCTGTTCCCAGTCTTCCCGCACACTTTGCAAGCCTCAGAGCTACACACCTGGTCCCCGAAAGAACCTTTTGGACAACAATGAGATGTTTATTACAGGCTTGTCTCACTCATATTTACAGTGCAACAGTGGTACCATACGGACGCTCCATACCCTTGGCTGACCATCGACCGCTTTAATGAGCCTCGCTCTCGCTCGTCGTTTGACTGATTGTGGTTAGAAGAATGAGGCCCCTGCCTCTGTCCTAAATGGCCCCAACATGGTGCCCACTGCCTGCCCACATCGTGACCTGGTTGAAAATCCCTAATTGGACGAAGATATCCAACACGCCACCAGTGAACCACTGGAGGAGCCGATAGAAAGGACAGGCTTCCCGACTTCCGATTCGCTATAATATTCGCTCTACGCCTGCATCTTTATCTTCCCCCGAGGCTGCGGTCCGGCTAGTGGTGGCACAATCTCAACCACTGCTTCACATGCTTGGCTACATCGAATTCGCAGCGCAACAACATGATGAGATGTCGTGCCGCCAGAAGCCGTTCGCCTCCTACAGTATGTACAGGACGCTGGCTTGGCCGCTCGTGCCAGGTGCTTGTGCTGATCCTGGCACCTGGGCCAAATCGCATGGGAATCCTAACCTCGAAGGGCAGGAGTCAAGACTTTCGGACGCTTCCACGGAGCTTTGACCTTCACCACAAAGCTCGTGGTTGGTCGAAAGCCAGATGGCCTCGATGATGGCCGCCAGGGAGTACTGATAGAGACTCTATTAGAGAGTCCGACCATGCGACGCGACAGCGGCGACACGCCAGGATTTGACATCCGCTTCGCTTGGGTCCCTGGTGAGGGTGGGGCCAGAGCGCCAAAAAGACCATAAATATTCCATGCCCTGCGGAGGCTGCGGTAGACATCTAGTAGAGGTGTTATGGTCGCGGGTTCCCATCGCCTGTTCTCTTAATTTCCTTTTGTGTTTAGGTGAATAGACGCAGCACAGCCCAAGATGGCGAACGTTAATGAGGCTATCCATGGAACAATCAAGCCCGCGGTATGCTTGTTTTGTGATGCTTGGGGATCCTCCCTGATGCCATGCGCGTGGCTAATTATATGATCGAAGGGCAATATAACCCCGGGTGGGCCGCCTGTTGCTGAAAAGGAGAATGTCATTAATACCTCCACCCACGGCGGCACGGGAGCGTACAGCACAGAAAAAATGCACTCCTCGAGCAGCAATGAGGATACTAAGGAGTTCGAGAAGGTCGGCACGACCTACGTCGGAGAGATGGAGGAGGATGGATCTCAGAAGCCTGGATCCGAAGACATCATAGAACAAGATCCATTCACGCCATTCGACGACCTGCCTGAGGAGAGACACATCATCGTGACCATTCGAGCTGTCCTCGTTGGTGTTGTCTGCGGTGCTCTTGTCAACGCATCCAACATCTACCTCGGACTGAAGACCGGATGGACCTTCGGCGCGAGTTTGTTCGGTGCAATCATTGGTTTCGCACTGCTCAAGCCTCTCGGTAGGAGACTGCCCGAGTCCTTCCCAATCCTCGGTGGCGAATTCGGTCCTCGTGAGAACAACATCGTCCAGACTGCCGCCACAGCTGCAGGCGGTCTGTCCGGCGTGTTCATCTCGGGCATTCCAGCTCTCTACCAGCTCCACCTGCTGGACACCCCGAAAAAGGACTTCCACCGCCTGATCACCCTCACCATCGTCGGAGCTTACTTCGGATTTCTCATGTCGACGCCACTGCGCAAATTCTTCATCATTTACGTTGCCCGCGAGCTGAAGTTGATCTTCCCGACACCTGCGGCGACAGCAATGACTATCCGTGCAATGCACATGGCGGCAACAGGAGAGGCAATCGCAAAAATGAAGATGAGGGCACTCGCATATGCATTCTCTGCGGCATTCATCCTGCGTGTCGTGTCGCAGTACGCGATCGGTATTCTTTGGGACTGGCACATCTTCACCTGGTTCTTTATCTGGGGCAACTACCACAATCACGCTCTGGCTGTCGAGAACTGGGGCTGGATGATCGAATGGACTCCGGCGTTCATTGGTGCAGGCATGCTTGTTGGATTGAACACTGCCTGCTCCTTCTACGGAGGCTCCATCCTGGCTTGGGGTATCATCGGACCGGCTCTTGTGCACAACAAGGTGGCTTTCGGCAAACAGTTGGCTCCGAAAGACGAGAAGTGGTCCGGTCTCATGTCTTTCGCTTCTCTCGGCGCTCATGCATCCACCAAGGCTACACCTAGCCCACGTTTTTGGCTGCTGTGGCCTGGCGTTCTGACGATGATCGTCGTTTCATTCGTCGAACTCGGTCTTCAATACAAGGTCTTCTTCCACGTGTCCAAGGCCATCTATCGTGCCAGCTGCGCTGGAATCGCCGCGGGTATGAGGAAGATGGGCAAGCGCTCTGAAGCTATGGAACGTAGAGGAGCACAGAAGCAGGCAGATTTGGTCCAAGACTTCGCCGAGGACAGGGAGCTCGTCAAGTGGTGGATGTGGGCACCAGCCATCGTTTTTGTCATCATCATGGCTTGCGTAGTGATGGGCGTGCAGTTCGATATGCCTGTCGGCATGTCACTGCTCTCTATCTTCCTGGCCTTCTTCTTCTCGTTACTGGCTGTCCAGTGCGCTGGTGTCACTGACATTACCCCACTGACTGCAGCTTCCAAGGCCTCTCAGATTGTTCTTGGAGGTGCAACAAAGGGCGAACACTGGCAAATGGACCACGCTCAGCGTCTCAACTTGCTTGGTGGTTCGCTCGCCTCCATTGGTGCCAACCAGGCCTCCGATCTTGTCGGTGACTTCCGTGTCGGCTTCCTGCTAAAGACATCTCCAAAGCAGCAGTGGCTCGCTCAAGGTCTGGGAACCGTCGTCGCCTGTTTCTTGGCTCCCGCACTTTTCATGCTCTTCGCCAAGGCCTATCCGTGTATTCTGGACTCAACCGCAGAGCACTGTCCATTCAGCGCTCCATCAGTCGCTGCTTGGAAAGCCGTTGCTGTCGCCATGACCGACCCAGAGTTCCCAGTTCCAACCTCATCCGGAATCTTCTCCATCATCTTCGCCATCCTCGGTGGTGTCATGATTATCATCCGACACTACGTTTACCGCGGCACATGGGAGAAGTACCGAGTGTACCATCCCAACATGATGTGTGTGGCTCTGGCTTTCGTCCTGCCACAGACCTACTACGGCTTGGCCATGATCATCGGCGCTCTTCCTTGGTAAGTGATACATGAGTGCGTGTTGAATGAAAGAAGTAGCTGCTAACAATCTCGCAGCTACTACTGGGCCAAGAGGAAGCCGAAGTCATTCGACATCTACGGCTACGCCATCGCAGCCGGTCTCATTGCCGGCGAAGGAATCGGAGGCGTCGTGAACGCCATCTTCCAGGTTGCCGGCATCGCGGGTCCAGATCCTTACGGCACCAATATTGCATGTCCTGCAAACTCTTGCTAGATCAGCATTTCATAGCGATTTTCATTGCAATTTGTGATGTGACGACGGAGTTGTACAGTCTTTCTCCACCGATCCTGATTGTACGGTAGTACTGACGTGTGAAGCAGGACATTGAGATGTAAGAAACGAGTGCAGGTAGACTTCTTACCGGCCGGGTGAAGGCAGCCTAAGTTATATATCTGCGGCTGAGAGCTCTCCAAAGCTGTCACGTGACGAACTCCGAGCGCCTCACATGCTGCGCGCCGTGTTTACCCGTACAAGGAGAAACGCCTGTCGTGTTTCGAATCTTGATTGATTCTAAGCACTGCATTTGGGTAGTACGGCTCAAAGCTTCGACTTGTTTTCATGTGAATCACCACTCCAAATCCTCTCTCTTCAGAACCTCCCTCTCGAATTCCTCCAGCACCTTACCAATCCCGTTTCTTGCGACACCCAGCTGAGTATTGGCTTTGACACGACTGTAGAAGACGGGGCAGTCTCGACTATCGCATCTCACTTCGTCATCGAAGGCCAGACCTGCGCAGCTTTTGCACACATCTTGCAGATCAGTGACCTTCCTTTCAACCTTTTGGTATTTGCGACGTAGTGCCAGCAGCGTATTCGTCGAATCCTCGTAACGACAGGCGGCACAAAGCGGAAGTTCGAGTTCTTCTGCGTCGGCTTCGGTAGGATCCAGTTTCGTCCGGCATACAAGGCATAGTGAGCTACCCATATAGCTTTCCATCGTCTTCCTGCCCCTGGCATTGATTTCGCCTTCACGCTGGGCTCCCAGCATGCGGATGCGCTGGACTTTAGGCATCTCATCGAACCATTGACGAACGTTCGCGCCTACGAGATTGAAGATACGTTCGAGAGGAGGAATGAGATTCTTGCTGATGTAGTATTCCGCATCGAGCTCGGCGTTCTCGTCATAGATCAGTCGCTCTGGCTCCACGCACCGTTCCCACAGTCGAGCTCCAGGTGCGCCAGCGATGACGACGTAGGGAACTCGCTCGCCGTACTGTGGTTCCATTCGCGGATCTCGAAGCATACGCTTGGTGGCAATCAGCGCACCAGGCGGCGGAGGACTTTTGTCTGCGTAGGTACCAAGCTTGACCTCTTTGGCGAAGCAAAAATCTTGAACGCTCACGCGCCCTGCCATGATCTTGGTGCACTGCGTTTGGAAGTATTGCTTGATTTGACTCAGATCGGCAGTGCGGAAAAGCAACTTGAGCGCCTTTTCTTCAATCTTCTGCTCCGCAGGCGTGCCGTCCCGACGAACAGTCTCAATGCCTTTCGCATCAAATTCCGGCTCGGTCTGCTTGGGACTCTCGTACTTGAAGCCCACATATCTCTTCTTGGCTAGCAGCACACAGGGGTGATAGACCTTTTCAAACTTGAGCTTGACAGGCCTAGGGTTCATATCAGTCACGGCCTTGGCAATTTCGTCGCCGATTTTGAAAGCATCGTCTCTGGTGCGGCCTTTCAGATACACGAACAGACTGTCCGTGTCTCCATACACGACCTCTGCACCCCATCGTTCGACAGAGTGGATGAACGCAATGGCTTTCTCCAGAGTCTCTCTACCAGTCTGCACAATGCTGTCCGCGATCTCCGAGCAAGGCATTCTGCCGGAAAATGAAGCAGACGTGTAGCCATACGTGACGTTAGCGATCAGCTTGAGAGCCAATTGTCTGTTATTGAGGAGCTGCTGCAGCGTTCGATCGTCCTTGTCGACTTTCATGCCGCTTTTGACCATCACTCGAGTCTCCAAAATCTCTCCCAACATCTTCGCAAGCAGACTCTTCCGCATCTCTGGCTTGACGTACATCATACCATTGGGGGAAATATTAAGCCTATCCTGGACGAGTTCCAGTAGACCTGGAGCTCTCTGAAAGTCTGCAAATCCTAGCTTGTTCGTGCCACGCCAGTTCACTATGCGGCCTAGGCACGTCGAGTAGCAATAGTTGTAGGCAATCATGACGCTTGGGTATAGACTTTGGAAGTCTAGCACCACCAGTGGGCTGCTATAGAATGCAGATTGGGGCTCCATGACGAGAGGCAAGCACTCGAGGGCATTCTGAGCTCCAACCTGTTTCCTGCTCGGCGACACGAGCACGAAAGACTCCGGCTTGGCAATTCGAAACATGAGGGACTCCACTTTGAATTGAGAGCCTCTGCTAAAGACAGAAAAGAAGTCGACGCCCAGCAAACGTGCCTGTTCAGAAGTCCTTGGTATGAGCTCGTTCGCATCCAAGATTTCTAGGTCCAACCTGGTGCGTGTGATGAGGTAGTCAAGCAGCCTAGTCAAGTCGCGCGGTTTCTTACTCTGGTACCACCGTGTCAGCGTAGCGAAGGAGTAATGCGGAATGCGTCGGTGGAGGAGATGGAACACGACGTTCTCCATGGTGTATTGGAGCAGATTCAGCTCAGATCGCATAGCTCGCCAGATGTTGATCGTATGCCTGCCAGTAATGCTCACGGTGGATGTTTGGGTGAAGCCCCAGCGGTCAGCATCCTTGCCGAATCGCCCATGTGACTTTGACTTCATTCTTGAGAACTCATCTGGTAGATTGAACTCATATTGCAGCCTCGCGCGCTCGATCAAGTAGCCCCAGCTACCATTGTGCACCTCAAACCCAGTCAGGATGTCTGGATCGTATTGACGGACAATATCCACCATTCTATTGATTAGGTCGAGCTCGTTGTCTTCGCAGTCCAGTTGGGTATCGTTGCCCACATTGCGGCGAATCTGGTCAAGGCGGTCTTCGTCACCTTCTTGAGCCAAGACAGCTATTCCGAGAACAGTCTTCTCATCCATTTGATCATCAGCAATGCACCAGACCACCATGTTGACTTCGTCTCGCTCAGGATCTGGCACCAGGTCACCGCGAGTATTCACGTGCACCTCAAGACTCATCGTGCTCATGTATCCGGTCTCGTGCTGCACGCTGGTACTGGTGTTCTTCTGTGAATATTTGGCGCCATGCTTGTTCTTCTGAGTCGGCCCCTCGATCTGTGACAGCTCAGGCGGAGGCTTGTTCTTCCGTCTAAGTTGAGAGGCAGCTGGTGGTCCATCGACCTCGAGCCAATCAAGATCATTCTCTTCTTGAGGTGCTTCATCCTTCAGCCAAGTTTGTACTTCGGCGTAAGTGGGCGGGGGCTTTGCGATTTCCCAAGTTCTTAGAGAACACTCTTTGCTGCGGCTCTGCTCGGCGAGCTCAAGCTCAGGTTTGTGCACAGCGCGCACGTTGGCATCTATTAAGGAGCCACCTCTGTCGAAGGCATGCAAGTAAAGGAGTGTGTTGCTCTCAAGCCGGAACTCTTGTCCAGCGTACTCTCTTGGTCGCTCTGGGACATCCTTCTCGCTGCTATAGTAAGCATCCTGGTAGATGACCGAGGGCGCCAAGCTATCGTTCACCTCTTGATAGGAAGGCGGCAGACTTCCAAATACGAAAACATCTTTGTCAGAGTCTAGTCCGAAGGTACGGGCATATTTGGCCACGACTCGAGTTGGTACCTTAGGCCCAACGTCGGCAGAAAATTTCTGCGAGCTTGCAGGAAGTTCAACAGAGTTGTGCGCAAGTAACTCCTGCGCAGTCTTCTTGCTGCTTGATGAATTTCGTTGGCATATCTGACTCAGATCGTCCCTTTGGCTAAGCCTTGCTTGCGTTTCTGCGTCATGAGGATTCTTCACGGCCGGAAATGCATGTCTGACACCTTGCGACCCTTGAGATCGCTGGGAAGCCGAGGGCTGAGCAGAGCTTAGTGATTTGGCGCTGTGGTCGTTCGAGGTGTCCAGTCTCGAAATTTGTGCTGCTTGAGGTAGATCAAAGCCATCACTACCGGGCAACAAGGAGCCATGCGCATTTCGATCAAATGTCTTAGCGTCGTGAATGCGGAATCTGCGATGTGCTGGTTGTGGTGAAGTATCCTGAACACTAAACCTAGCCTTCTTGAAGGGCGTCTGGCTGCCAGGCGGCGCGCTTCGCTTCATGCCACCTGCGCGGGCAGTCTGTACAATGCTTTCTGGTACTTGGACTGGATCAAGCTTTCCGGCCTCGGATTCGATTTCTACGGCACTACCATCCACTGTGGCCTCACCCATGCTTCCAGTGAGACCAGCTTCACCTAGCTTGAGTCGCTGTGTAAGAGCGATGTGTTTTGCTTCCTCCTCATCGCTACCGTAGTGTTCATCATCGTCGATGATTTTTGCAATGCTGCTTTCGTCGACGAGTGCAGCATCGGCGGTCGCGTTTCGCTGCGTGCCCAGCGTATTCTGAAAGCTCAGCTGCTGGCTGTATATATTGTTGTCCCCAGCGTGTTTCTCTGTCTCCGTCCACTGCCTGTCCAAGGAACTGTGAAACAAGTCATCCACACTGCTCAATACGGTCTTGACACCATCCTTGTCATCATTATTGGCCTGACTACTGAAGCTTTCAAAAGATATTGGTCCACCGCCTCTGGCTTTCTTCTCCTGCTCTGCCAATTCGTTGACCATTTCTCGGAACTCGTCCTCGTGTATCCAACCACCTTTACTATCGTTTCGTGGGTCTGCAGACATCGAGACAAGAAGTTCGGGTGGAAACGGCGAGGAGAACGGGTCGGTCAGTCCCATTCGCAGTCTGCGGCGTCGCGTCTCGTCTTTCCATAGACCTGCCATAGAATGCACGAGCTTTTCATCTGGAGGCAAATTCTCTAGAGACGATAAGCGCTCGATGAATGAATGGTGCAGCGGACGAGGCTCGATGGCATTGCGGTTGAGAATGTCTTCGACGCACAGGTCCAGCTCCAGCTGGCAGTGGCTCTGTCTGGGAAACTTGTCGGCGTCCAGCACATTCCGGGGCAGTATGGAGTGGTCGTGCCACAAATGGGCAGGGTCGTCCAGCTCTTCCCATGCTGGCAGTGGTGCTCGGAACCTGGGCTTCTTGGACTCGATGTAGGCGCATCCGTACAAGTTGAAGTCGCACATCCACTGCAGCAAATACTGCAGATGTGCTTCATATGGCTGGAAGAGCTGTCTGAGAATGGCACCCTGCTGGAGCAGATCGGAGAAGCGGGTCATGTGGAGGGGGTTGAGAAGATAGACCTTGAGAAAGTACTTATGCCCGACATTGTAGCCAAAGAAAGGGACACCCTTGACCAGACTGATATGGGCTACAAATGTAGCCTTTCGAGGGTCGTCGTATGGGTTGCGGCGATATGAAAGGGCCAGCGCATGGTCGATGCTGTGCCGGAAGGTCGATATGTACCGAGCCACGTCGTCGTTGGCAATGGACTCTGTATACGGCACGTAGAGATAGGGGAATGCTCCACGAATGTGGCAGCACACCTTCTGGCCCGTCTCTGTCGACCCGAAGACTCTGATCACGGGCACATCGGGCAGCTTGCCTAGTTGGGTCGATGTGGTTGTTTGTGGGCCCCAGATCGGCGGATCAAGTGAAGTCGGAGGCGCCTGGTAGTGGTCTACGCAGTTCAGGCGCAGGCGGAAAATGGTATCGTTGTCCATCCGACATGGCAAGCGCTTACTCAGAGCTGCACCGAGTATGATCTGCTCATTGTCGGATGGTCTGGTCTGGTTGTTGTTGTTGTTGTTATCTCATCGACGCGTAGCCAAAACATGGGACACGCGCGCTAAAATGATGACGAGAAGATTACTAAGCCGCCAAACTCAAACGCTTTCTACCAGCTCTTGTCCGAACTTCACCTTCACACTCACATCATAACATTACGCTGTCCAATCTCGCAAGCCGCCTCCTCTCGCTTGCTTTCATTGCAGAATGCTTGCAAATTCCAGCCTCCTCATCGGCGGCATTCTCGGCACCGACACCCACCTTCACGGGAGCACATGATATGAGAGTGGAGCGCGGTGCTGGAGAAGCGGAGTCGAGTGCGAGAGCGTGCTTTCACATGCCGCCCGCTCCGCTTCAGCTGCACATGCATGCCCACCCACCTTCTGTACAACCCTTGTGGACTCAGCGGCATTCTTGCCAAGCGCGCAGGTCCGCACTGCAGGTGTAGCTCACCGACATATCGCAAATCTTGAGAGATCAACAGGAACCGAGACGCCCATGCGTACTGCCTTGTTGCGCGTGGCCTTTGCCAGCCTCGTTTGCATAAACACAGAAACAAGCTGACGCTGGCCGATCAATCCTGGTATATGGGATACACTCGATCTGGCTGTGAGAAGCGAGTGGCATTAATCACGAGCACACTCGATGTCGTCAGGTCCCCATCTTGCTATGCAACCAAGGACCGATTTCATGCATCGTTTGTACCACTCCCCGCTTCACATGGCCGACAATCCAAACAATTCCAAGTGAAGATCCCTGCACGTTGACGGCGGTTCCTTGAAAGTTGAGCTTGATGCTACTGTAGTCCATGAGCTTCCCCTGCGGAAGGCGCCAGCTACCATGCTTTTATTTTCGACCTGAGCGATTCTGCAGTCGAGACACGCTCTCACATGCAGATCCGTTGCATTTGGGAGCATTTGCAATGCTCAGCAATTTCCTGTGACCACAACACCAAGTCTACCAAGCGCTGCGCTGCGCCGCAGTGGGTAGTGGGTAGGCAAGGGACGAGAACTACACATGATCACACAGCAGCCTACCGTGCTCTCGGTATAAAATTGTCCGCACCCGCTTCCACGTCGGTCCCCCAGCTTTCATAATAAACATCCTACTTCCTTTCACTTTGAAGACTCGACGCGGCGCTGATGGCCATCTTCGCGCGACTGGTTGGCGCCCTGGCCGTTACAGCTTCCGCCGTTACAGCAAGTCCACTGCTTCTTGCACGACAAAACAGCTCAGCGCCGTCTTCTTGTCCAGGCTATCGCGCCAGTGACGTACAACAGAACGCCAATGGCTTGACAGCCAAGCTTGCCCTCAATGGTCCTGCCTGCAACGTCTACGGCACTGATGTCGAGAACCTCGCTCTGACTGTGGAATACCAAACTGGTAAGAAGTATCGCAGCAACGAAATTCGAGCTTGGCTAATATGGTGGTCTAGACAAGCGACTGCACGTTCTGATTGAAGACGCAGCACAACAGGCCTACCAAGTGCCCGACTTCGTGTTTCCGCGCCCAACATCGTCTGGTGTACAGAGCAGCTCAAGTGAGCTTATTTTCGATTATGTCGAGGACCCATTCTCTTTCTCAGTAAAGCGTCGCAGCAATGGCGACGTTATATTCGACTCCGCTGCAGCAAGTCTCATCTTTGAAGACCAGTACATACGCTTGAGAACTTCGCTACCGGACAACCCAAACTTGTATGGAACGGGTGAACATACTGATCCATTGTAAGTCAAGCCGCCTGTGCACTGCGATCAGAACAGATTGACTGATGCTTATCTCTAGTCGCCTCAACACCACCGACTATGTACGTACAGTTTGGAACCGCGACGCGTACGGAACACCTTCAGGATCGAATCTCTATGGTACTCACAACATTCACTACGACCATCGCGGTCCGAATGGTACTCACGCGATCTTCCTCCTCAACTCAAATGGATTGAACTATAAGATTGACAACACCGACGGCCAGCATCTTGAGTATGATTTGCTTGGAGGTGTAGTTGACCTCTACTTCATGGCTGGGCCAACGCCAGTCGAGGTTGCGCAGCAGTATTCTGAAGTATCAGGCAAATCAGCGATGATGCCATACTGGGGTCTAGGTTTCCATCAGTGTCGTTATGGCTACCAGGATGTATATAATGTCGCCGAGGTTGTGGCAAACTACTCTGCTGCTAACATTCCTCTTGAGACGATGTGGACAGATATCGACTACATGCACCTTCGCTGGGTCTTCACACTCGATGAGGACCGCTTCCCGCTGGATCTCATGCAGCAGCTTGTGTCGACCTTGCACGATCGACAACAGCACTATGTCGTCATGGTCGACCCAGCAGTCGCTTACGAAGACTACGATGCCTTCAACAACGGAGTGGAGCAGGATATTTTCATGAAGACCTCAAATGGATCGGTCTACAAGGGCGTGGTCTGGCCCGGTGTCACGGCTTTTCCGGACTGGTTCCACCCCAACACGCAGACGTACTGGAATGACGAGTTTCTAAGTTTTTTCAGCGCAGAGAATGGCGTGGATATCGATGCTCTCTGGATTGACATGAACGACCCGAGCAACTTCTGTCCATATCCCTGCAGCAATCCTGAAGCCTATACCGAGGCGAATGGATATCCACCAGTGCCGCCTGCCATACGCTTAGGCTCACCAAGGAACATCTCTGGCTTTCCTGCTGATTTCCAGCCAATTTGCAAAGCGCAAGTCACATTCAACGTCGACGCATCTACGTTCTTCGGAGAGAATATCCTTGTCTACGGTAGCGCTGTCACCATTGGAAACAATGGTGGAGCTAGCGGAGCTGCGCCACTTAATGCGAACAACTACCCAATTTGGAGTGCTACTGTAGACATGCCGGCCAACACTGAGGTCACCTACCAATACGTTCGTTCTGAGCCAGACGGAACATTCATATATGAGGATCAGAATCGCACTCTCACCACCGGCGACTGCGGCAGCATTTTCTCGACATCAGATGAGTCGATCACATCTTCCTCGCCTCCACAGGCCAAGAAGAAGCGCTTCGCGAACTTCGCGTACCTCGACCACAACTCTGGTCATCTTTTCAGACGACAGTCAAACTTGGCTGGAAGCGGCGACCAGCTTGGCATACCCGGCCGAGACCTGATCAACCCTGGGTACGACATCGGCAACACAGCGGGCAGCTTGAGCAACTTCACAGCAAATACGGATATCGTGCAGTATGGAGGGTACGTGCAGTATGATACTCACAACATTTACGGCGCCATGATGTCCTCTGCCTCTCGCATTGCAATGCTTGCGCGACGACCCACCAGGCGCCCTCTGATCATCACTCGGTCCACCTTCGCTGGCGCCGGCTCCCAACTCGGAAAGTGGCTCGGTGACAACTTGAGTATCTGGGAGCACTACCTGATCTCCATCTCCGAAAACCTCGAATTCGCAGCCCTATACAACGTCCCCATGGTCGGCGCCGACGTTTGTGGTTTCGGCTCAGACACGACGGAGAATCTCTGCGCTCGCTGGGCATCTCTCGGAGCCTTCGCACCTTTCTACCGTAACCACAACCAGAACGACGCCATATCCCAAGAATTCTACCTCTGGGATTCAGTCACCAAAGCTGCTCAGAACGCCATGGCAATCCGATACAAACTCCTCGATTACATCTACACCGCCTTCTACGCACAGAACCAGACCGGAACTCCCATCATCCAACCCATGTTCTTCCATTATCCAGAAGACCCCAACACCTTCTCCCTCGGCTATCAGTTCTTCTGGGGACCAGGTGTCCTCGTAGCGCCCGTCACGGTGGAAAACAGCACTTCGGCCACCTTCTACCTCCCCGACGATATTTTCTACGACTACTACACGCACGAGAAAATCACAGGCACAGGATCCGAGTACACCGTCGACGACGTGCCCTTCACATCAATCCCCGTCTACTACGTCGGCGGCAATATCTTAGCCGAACGCATCGAGAGCGCAAACACCACGACGGAGCTCCGAAAACTCGACTTCCAAATCGTGATCGCTCCCGGAAAGAACGGAAGTGCGAGCGGAGACTTGTATCTCGATGATGGCGACAGTCTGGTTCAGGAGAGTTACAGTTATATTCATTTCGAGTACTCGGCGACTGGAACGTTTAGTATGACGGGACAGTTTGGGTATGAGACGGATGTGGCGATTCGGAGTATTGTTGTGCTTGGGGAGGATGGTGGAAGTTGTGTGAATGGGACTGGCACGGTTTTGAGGTTGATGAGCAGCAGGATTCCACTGACGGAGCCGTATGAGGCGAAGATATTGTGAAGGGAGGCGGACAGGCCACAAGAACAGTCCGGGCACACAGTGCTCACTTTATCGGATTCGACAGCAGTAAGATTTAGAACAGAACAGGTCAAGTAGCCTTTGCGCATAATGTTATGGATTCCGTAAGATTCGATCTTCCCTCCATCTCAAGGTGATCATATTTCGAAGGGCTTGGAATTCGCCAGATCCTTCTCTTTCTTGTCAATGAAATCTACCGGGCCGAGATGTGGTTATACGTATGCCATGTTTGAGCTTCTTCGCGTCGTGATCAGGACGAATGGTACCTGAGGGTACCACATAGGCTACCCCATGGGTCTTCGCATGGTGCAAGGATGCATGCCTGGGGCTCAATTTTGCCTCGGCCGCCAACCATACAGTACAGCACCTGAAGTTGCTGATAGATGTGCCGAGCCGGCGTGCGTGTGCCTGGAAAATCGTCATTTGGCGTGCCACCCGCCGGCAACCTTGTACCTGAACGCCTCGTGCGCGATGTTGGAAGCTTGGCAGCATCCCTCCGTATGCGCATCGTGGGCCGTGGCCGAAGATGATGTTACAGCGGCTGACAGTACAGTAACGTTGGTGCAGCTGCCCACTCGTAGAATGTTGCCTCAGGCCTGCCGTTACTTCCGACACTTCTTTGCGCCTCCCCAACACCACACCTTCACCGCAGCGCTCGTGTTGCTGTGACGGCGGGCCGACTTCGCGAATCACACCACCAAGCCTTCACCAAGCCGCCAATTACACGATTTGCTCCACCGCCAAGCCTTGTTGCGCGCATATAACATTATAGTGAACAGCATAAGACCACAGAAATAATAATCCTCGCACTGGCATCGACAGCCCCTCCCGACATGCTTTTTTCGGCACTGCTCGCGCTGGGCGCGACAGCTTCAGCCACGGTCTTATTTGTTGCAGACTACTCGGGGAACATCACCTCACTGTCGTTGACCCACAGCAATGGCAACTACAGCCTCGAGGCAATCCACACAAACGACGGCTGCGCTCCAAACCCATCATGGCTCACGATCGATCCGGCCCGCGGCCATCTCTATTGCCTGAACGAAGGCCTTTCATCACCAAACGGATCTCTGGCCTCATTCTCCATCAACTCGGATGGCAGTCTGAAGCAGATCACAAATCAGACCACTCCAAACGGACCCGTTAGTGCTGTGATCTACGGTGAGCCAGCTGGTCGACGCGCCATCGCTCTAGGCCACTATGGTGGATCGGGAGTGAGCTCATATCTCCTGGGCTCTGATGGCAACGTCACCTTCAACCAGGAAATGTTCTACAATTTGACCGAGCCTGCTGCGGATCCGGACAGACAGGATGCGCCTCACATACATGAAGTCATCACTGATCCGACTGGCCAGTACATTCTTGCTCCAGACCTCGGCGCAGACCTGGTCCGAATCTATTGCTGGGATATCAAGACTCTAAAGCTGAAGGAGCTCGATCCTCTCACAGTCAAGGCCGGCACTGGTCCTCGCCACGCTGCGTTCTGGAGTCCATACAGCTTGACGGGCAGTGGCGATCTCTACTTCTACCTGGTCGGCGAGCTCTCCGCCACTGTCACAGCCTACAAGGTCACCTACAGGTCTGACAACGGCGGCCTCTCTTTCACTGAAGTCCAGCATGAGCAGTCTACCTGGCTCTACAACATTCCTCAACGCAACGCACCAGCTGAGATCGCCGTCTCACCAGACAACCACTTCCTGATTGTTTCCAACCGAAACGACACAACCTTCACCCTTCCAAACGCCATCGGCAAATCTGACTCCATGACAACCTGGCAGCTCGACGAGAAGAAGGGAAACATGGTTTTCCATCAACTCTGGCCAGCGGGTGGCAGCTATCCTCGTTCATTTACGACGAATGCAATCGGCAGTCTTGTCGCTGTTGGTTACCAGATGTCCGAAGCCGTGTCAATTTTGAGCAGAGATGTGCAGAGCGGACTGATTGGCGAACCGGTGGCGAGGATTCCTATTGCTGGGAATGTGACGGCTGTGGTGTGGTATGAGGAAAGGGCTTTGGGTGTGCTTGGAGCTTAGGAAGCCGCTTGTACATACTGGCGCATCGGGAGTTTGAGAGGCAAGATGCAGGTGCAGGAAGTGATAGGTCGGTAGATTCTATACGTCGTGAGGAGACCACTAGAATACTTTCCTGGGCAGGAATTAGACATGAAGCTTGATTACAGAAATTTTGTAGGGCCTGCATTCTTAATACTCTTGTGAAGCATGACATGTAAAAAGGCTTACATTGCCAGCATTGACAGGACGAAAATGCACTCGACCGCGTATCTCCGCTGTGTTTTTGTGCCCATTCTTGCTCGCAGCAGTCAAAGCAGCGTGCCCGCTCGTGATCTTGTAACCCGTATCAGCACGAACCCCAAGCGCCTGAAGATCCTTACCAGCCGCAACCTGTTTGACTCTGTGGCATAGATGAGCGGAGTATAGGTATCCAAGCACATGCAGAGGATGAGGCCAGTAAGAAAAAAGGAGGACGCGTGAAGGCCAGGAGTTGCCAAGATGTTGTTCTGATGTGCGGCTACTCCCGTTCCGACAGCCGATAAGGCCGATAGATGGCAGCAGCACTAGTATCGAGAGGCGATAGCAGTATGTCGCCCTAAGCATATGTAAGCTCAGTTGACTTCACTTCACTTCAAATCACATGAGTCAATCCTACGTGCCGGCGACGCCCAGTTCACCGCCAGCACCGCCTGTCGACCCCAAGCGAAAGCGCAGAAGGAGCACGGCAGACGAGCCCAAGCATCACCATCAACCGAACCTGCAAGCGAGCTGGGCGGCTTCGTCGCCTCGTCAGAAACGCTCACGACCTGACCGAGCGCTGACACCCAAAGACATGTATACCTTTGCGTCGAAATCTCCTCAGACCAACGGCAACCATAATGTCGTCGACCTCACAAACGCCTCATCGCCATCGCCTCGAAGATCTATGAAGTCATCTGGAATCAATCCGCATACTGGCGCCAAGAAGCTCGTGGTGAAGAACCTCAAGACCAATACTGGCTGGGACAGCAAGGCATATCTGGAGAAGATATGGGGTCAGCTGGACGAAGCGTTGGCACGCATATTCAAAGATGAACTCAACGGCTTCAGCAAGGAAGATCTATACCGAGGTGCCGAGAATGTATGCAGACAAGGTGGAGCTTCAACGTTGTTCTCGAGGTTGGATAAGAGGTGCACGGAGCATGTCGAGCGTGACATCAGAGACAAGTTGCTGGTGATAGCCAGCTCAGACAACGTTACAGTGCTGAAAGCAGTCCTTGCAGAATGGGCACGATGGGTCCAACAGATGACGACCATCCGTGCCATCTTCTTCTTTCTGGATCGTTCCTACTTACTGTCGTCAAGCAAGCCAACACTCGATCAGTATACTCCTCAGATCTTCCGACAGACAGTGTTTCGCAACCAGGCCTTGACAGGGAAGATTATCGATGGAGCGTGCGATCTTGTGGCTGCAGACAGGACCAGCGCGCAATCACTGGACCAATCTCTGTTCAAGCAGACTGTCGACATGTTCCACGCACTCCAAGTATACACATCCTCGTTCGAAGCCCGCTTTTTGGCCATCAGTCAACAGTTTGTTGCGGAGCAATCAGACCATGTGATCGTGGATAAGAGCGTTCCAGAGTATGTTGCATGGGCCGATCAATTAATCGCTCAGGAGATGCAGCGATGTGAGGACTTTGACCTCGACAGCAGTACTCGCCGAGAACTGCTTACTCTACTGGAAGATCATCTCGTGCAGCGAAAGGATACCGATCTGACTGAAGTCGAAGCATTAGGCCCGTTACTGGACAAGAACGCAACCTCAGATCTTGCAGCTCTCTATGCTTTGCTCAACCGCAGGAAACTTGGACATCGACTTCGGCCGGCTTTTGAGATTTGGGTCAACGACACCGGTACAAATATCGTGCTCGGCAAGGAAGACGACATGATTATAAGTCTTCTATCTTTGAAGCGCAGACTTGACTCAATATGGAAGACTGCTTTCCAGCGTGATGAGAGCTTGGGTCATGGGCTCCGTGAAAGCTTCGAGACGTTCATGAACAAGACGAAGAAGGGCGATGCCACGTGGGGCACTGACAACACGAAAGTGGGTGAGATGATTGCCAAGTATGTCGATCAATTGCTGCGTGGTGGTGCAAAAGCAATTCCCGACGTTCTTACGGCACGAGGATCTTCGAGCATTACTGCACCGATGGGCGAAGCGCTCGCTGCTGCGGAGGAAGACAACGAAGACGCCGAAGTTGACGAAGATGCTGAGATTAATATTCAGCTTGATCAGGTCTTGGATCTCTTCCGATTTGTACACGGCAAGGCTGTGTTTGAGGCCTTTTACAAGAAAGATCTTGCTCGAAGATTACTCATGGGACGAAGCGCATCAGCCGATGCAGAGCGTAGTATGCTCACGCGGCTGAAGACCGAGTGCGGTAGTGGGTTTACGCAGAATCTCGAGCAAATGTTCAAAGATGTGGAGCTTGGTAGAGAGGAGATGCAATCGTATAAGCAACGAATGGAGGAGCGTCCATCGTACGAGAAGGGGAAGAGTATGGATTTGAGTGTCAACATTTTGTCCGCCGCCGCATGGCCGTCATACCCTGACATCCCTGTCCAGATCCCAATGAGCGTCAAGAAGGCCATCGACGACTTTGAGCTGTACTACAAGAGCAAGCACACTGGTAGGAAACTGGACTGGAAGCACGCACTTGCTCATTGTCAAATGAAGGCCACATTTGGCAGAGGTAGCAAGGAATTGGTGGTATCCAGTTTCCAAGCCATCGTGCTTTTGCTCTTCAACGGATTAGGAGAGGATGAAAAGCTGCCTTACCAGCACATTCTCTCCGAGACTGGGCTTCGTAAGTCACCTCACTTCTTGACCATCGATATATACTAACACTTTGCAGCCGAACTCGAAGTCAAACGCACCCTTCAAAGTCTCGCCTGCGCCAAATTGCGACCTCTAACCAAGCACCCCAAAGGCAGAGACATCAACGAATCAGACACCTTCTCCATCAATTTGAACTTCGAACATCCCAAATACCGCGTCAAGATCAATCAAGTTCAACTCAAAGAAACCAAAGAAGAAAACAAGGAAACGCACATGCGTGTGGCCGAAGATCGAAACTTTGAATGCCAAGCCGCGATCGTGCGGATCATGAAGAGTCGGAAAACGATCTCCCACACCGAACTCGTATCGGAAGTCATCAAAGCTACCATGAGCAGAGGTGTCTTGGCTGTTGCAGACATCAAGAAGAATATCGATCGTCTCATAGAGAAGGATTACATGGAGCGCGAGGAGGGCAACATGTACTCTTACATTGCATGAAGTAGACAAGCCAGCCAGCATCACGATTCAGAATAGAAAGAACATCGATTCATGCCTGCTCATCCATAATACTTCCTAAACCTAACAACATCCGTATCATTATACGTCCCCAACTCTATCCCCTTCTTCACAAAATGTCCCGGACTGGGCGGAACACTTTCCTCCCCCGTCTCCTCCCAAACCTTCGGATCCGCACCAACTTCGAATTCAATCGTCCCTCCCTCAACCATAACATCCTCATGCCCAACCCAATTCTTCCTCCACTCCTTCCCATTGACTTTCACCCCTTGCACAAAAAACTTGCCGTCATTCTCCAACCCCGGCGCCAAAACCCTCAAAGTCCTATTCCCGTTGATCGTCACATTGACATCGGCAAACCAAGGCGACGTCAAAAGATACACCGGTTGCGTGACGACGGGGTAAAGGCCTAGCATTTGCCACAACAGCCAGCTATTCAGCGCTCCCGCATCCGAATTCCCCGGAACACCGTACGTCGCGTCTTTGAAATACTGGTTCGCGAGGACACGGCTCTGGTTGACGGATTTCCAACTTTTTCCGATGTAGTGGTATTCAAACGGCGTGGCGAAGTCGGGTTCGTTGCCGATGTTCATGATGGTGGTGATGCCTGCGCCGTTGTCTTCGAGGTTTTGTTCGGAGGTCCCGGGGATGAAGATGTAGTCTAGACGGCGCTCGAATTCTTTGGGGCCGCCCATGTGCGTTATGAGGCTTTTCATGTCGTGCGGGACGGTGAAGGCGTATTCGAAGGGCGTGCCTTCGTAGGTGATGGCCGTCCAGGAACAGCCGCCGCAGAGGGCGGGGTTGTAGTCTGTTAGATTGAAGGTTCCGTTTGGGAGGCGAGGGGCGAGGAAGCCGGTGAAATTTGCGTGGGTGAGGTTTGAGGACCAGATGTTTTGCCAGTTTGCGGAGCGGTTTAAGTACTTTTGGGCATCGTCGGGGGCGATGGTGTGGGCTAGTTGGGAGAGGGAGAAGTCGTTGAGGGAGTATTCGATGGTGCGGGATATGGCGCGGGTACTGGATGCTGAGACATAGCCGAGGGAGATCCAGTCGTAGAGGGCACCGCGGCCTTGTTGGATGCCATTGCTTGAGTCGTAGGGGTGGAAGCCGTTGAAGGGGACGACTTCGGCGTTCTTTTTCATGGCCATGTAGGCTTCGGTCCAATTAACGCCTGGGAGCTTTTTGACGAATGCGTCGGCTAAGGCGTTGTCTGCGTTGCTCCCGCCTTGGACGAGTCCGTTGAAGTTGCCGCTGCGGCCGTCTGGCATGAAGCCCTCGTATTTCCAGATGTCGATCGTGGCTCTGAGCATACTTGCGTAGTACGATGGCTGTAGCAGGTGATAGAGTGATACTGTGCATCGGAAGATGTCCCAGTAAGTGTAGAAATCTGGCGAACTTGTCAGTGGGTTGTCTAGCCCATCTGTTTCTCGCTTCCTTACCGTCCCATGAATCTTCGGCATCCCAGAGCGGATTCTCACCAGATCGGTCCGATGGCATCAGATGCATGAAGTACAGGCTTGAGTATAGAAGTCTCAAGTTGGTCACGTTCTGCGAGCTCCCTGTGTCGACCTGAATCTTGCTGAACACGTCTTCGTTCCACTCCCTTACGGCAGCATCGACGGTGTCATTGAGATTCCAGGATTTGATTTCTTCGTCCTTGAACTTGCACGCTTTCTCGATTGATATCATGGAGATGCCAATCCTGGACTTAACGGTGGTGGTTGAGTTGGAATATGAAGCGTCTGCCCATGAGAAGATAGCACCCACGCGATCTGTGAGAGGTCCGGATTCTTCACGAGCCCGGTTTCGATAGGTTGGATGTGGAATTGGCTCATTTGACAAAACATGCTTTGCTATTGGGGAGTCCAGCGTGTTTCGTGCTCGAAATGTATGTGCCTCCGAAGGTGTTTTTTCGAACTCGCCACAGAAGTAGGTGGTCATGGGTGCGCTGGTACTGAATCCACCACCGTAAGACCCCCATCCTGTGTATGTTTTGCCATCATCGTGCAGCTCAATGACACCGCCATCGTAGTACTGCTGGAAAGGCTCGCCCTCCTCTGCTGGGAGGTAGTGCGTCACGTCAACCAGGACATATTGAGCACCGGCTGGGAACTCGTACTGCATTATGCCACTATGCCTTGCGCCACTCAACTCAATGGTGACTTCATTCTCGAGCTTGGTCTTGTAGTAGCCAACGCTAGCACTGTCACTTCCTACCCGCTTCTGCCAGTAAGTAGAATTGTCGAGAATATTGACAGGAGCGTCAATGGTAGTAAGCGGCATTTGGCTGATGATTCCATATTTTGGTGCTCCGCCAGTGCCAGATTCGTGCATCATCGAGACACCAGTGACCTGGACAGAGATAGCTCGAAAGTTAGCGAACATGCTAGACATTGGAGTGCTTTGAAGTCATTTCTTTCTTACCAGACCTTGGGGTGTCCAGCCGCCATTGTTGGTGGAGAAAGAAATATTCGTCTCGTATGTATCGATGCCGACTTTGGCAACACCGAATGGCACTGCTCCTCCTACGAAGATGTCGCCGCCGCCATATGCCAGTCCAGGTATTGGGCCTTCACCACCGATGAATGGATTGACATACTGAGAGTAGTCGACATCTGCGGCTGCGACAGTTAGGATTGAGAGGAGAAGCCAGCACCACGTTGCCATTGCTCTATGTCGGTAGTGGAGATTGATGAGAGGGAGTGGGATGAAGAACAAATAAACATAACCTAGCCAGGAACGGCAGGCGCTACTTCCCTCCCATTGACACCAACACCTCGGTGGCGGGAGTAGGAGGTGTGGAAGGAAGGTAGCATCGGAAGCACGGTCGTTACATCATGTTCCTGAGATGCGGAGAGCTTTCAGGCCTGTCGACGGTTTCTGTGAGGGGCACTGCCGAAGGATGCTCTTGCTCGCTCGCGCTGCCATCTTCTCAGACCGCGTCTTCTCGGAGCGTGCAACTCGGGCGCGGCGTGCATGTAGGCGGACTTCGCTGCTGAAGGATCATCTCGATGGAGAACAATGCATTCGTTATGCAACGCCCCGTGTGCATCACACAAAAGGGCACGGAGGAGGACTCAAGGGCGGAATGATATAGAAGAGGTACTCTAGTCAATAATGCAGCATTTCGAGTAACATCGCGCATAAGGTGTGTGTGTGGATGCTGAGGTGAATAATGCACATGTCAACAGTCAGGCAGAGGCTGAGGAGAAGAGAAGAGTCTTCGAATTCTGCCGAGAAATCAGGCAATCAGGCAGAGATCGAGCGGAAGTGGGTGTCCGTGCGTGCCAAGAGCCGAATTCGACTCTGTGGAAAGCGCACATCACACCAGCACTACTTGCTTGAGACTTCGGAATCGACTACGAGAAGGACAACACTGCGCCCAGCACACCCAGCGCCGGTGAGACGAGACCACCACGACCACCAATACGTGCGCCTGCCATACTGACTCTTCTGCGCGGCCAGACCACCTTCTCGCGCCCCGAACATCCCCGGAGTAGTCGAGCATCACCGCAATCATGTCTGACGGCGAGGTCGAGGTTGAGCAGGTCCAGGGCTACTCAGTCCTCCCTAAGGATGTCGTCCAAGAGATTGGCTCGACCAAGCTGTTCAACAAGTGGAGCTACGAGGACGTAGAGATCCGCGACATTTCTCTCACGTACGTTTACCTGCAGTCCATCCAGCCCCCGCACCGAATATTGGTGGATATCGAGATGGGCAGCAATGGAATATAGCAAAAGCAGGAGCAATGACTGACACATGGGGAACAGCGACTACATCCAGATCCGACAGCCAGTCTACATCTCGCACTCCGCCGGCCGATACGCTGTAAAGCGTTTCCGCAAGGCTCAATGCCCCATCATTGAGCGTCTCACCAACTCGCTCATGATGAACGGCCGCAACAACGGAAAGAAGCTCATGGCTGTCCGCATCGTTGCCCACGCTTTCGAGATTGTGCGTCCTCCGAATTCCCACAACCCGATATCGGATATGCAATATACTGATATGATGATTTGCAGATCCACATCATGACCGACCAGAACCCCATCCAGATCGCCGTCGATGCCATCGTCAACTGCGGTCCTCGTGAAGACTCCACCCGTATCGGAAGCGCCGGTACCGTTCGTCGCCAGGCCGTCGATGTCTCCCCTCTCCGCCGTGTCAACCAGGCCATCGCCCTCCTCACCATTGGCGCCCGTGAGGCCGCTTTCCGCAACATCAAGAGCATTGCTGAGTGCTTGGCGGAAGAGCTGATCAACGCTGCCAAGGGTAGCTCCAACAGCTACGCCATCAAGAAGAAGGACGAGCTGGAGCGTGTTGCCAAGTCCAACAGATAAACGTGGGCTTGTGTACCACTGTATCGCAACTGCATGGGGTACGATGGTTGGAGTTATTACAGCATGGTCGGAACTCGGTGTTGGTGCGGTTGTAGCCTCCGGAATGACCTAGAGCAGGAATGGAGGCAAGAAAGATATCAATGAATGATCCAACCTGTCGCAGTGTCTGGCCCTTTTTTCGCGCAGCTTGACACGGAGTGCATAGGGCTGTATCTATCTTACGGCTTCCCACGAAACTACTTCAAATCAATGATGCAAAACGAGTATCATGGCCTCACGTGTGAAGACCAACAAATCTACGCTGCTACTCAAAGGACAAACCTCTGTGACCTTGGGGCCACCATGATGGCATGCCCGCGAGCGCCACTCATATGACCTTGACTCCCAGACAATGGTTGACTGACGAACAGGTTCGATGCAAGCCAAGCAAGACCACATCGGCCCAATACACGACTGATCCAGCACAACCCCATCGCAGACATCAAGAAAGCGCACGATTCTGCCAAAACGTGTTTGCGTAAAAGAGGACCCAGGTATTTCACATATCAATGAGCATTCCTGTTTCCCCCATGAAATCAGATGCCGCTCTGACCACAACACAATTTTCCTATGTACACATTGATACCTACGTATTTACTCATTGATCCGTCATAAACTCATTCAAAAACTGGTTCCGTCCAACCCAAGACCTAATCTTCTTCCCGAAAACCCAAAGCGGTATAGTCAAAGCACAAACAGCTAGGAAACAAGCTCCCAAGATATTGAAGACAACCAAAGGTCCGGATTTTGCGAGCCAGGAATTTACGAAATATGTTAGTCCGAAGGTCAACAGGTTTCGCGTGTTGATTGCTACGAAGGCTTCTTCTGCGAGGCGAGGGTAGCAGTCCTATGGCGAGTTAGTGGGGCGAAGAGGGAGGGATGGGATGGGCTTACGAGAACGTAGCCAAAGACGCAGGTACTGGCGAATGCGAGGGCCATGTTAGCGAAGCCAAAGGTAAGCACGGGACCGGACCAGTGCGTTTCGTAGTGTACACTTGCGCCGAAACCGAAGAATCCTACTGTTCCCAATACGACCACGACGAGCATGAGCACGAGTCGAAATTCTGGCTCGTAAATACCGCGGTTTGCTTTTGCGAGACGGAGACAGATCCAGTCGTTCAAAGGTCCGCTGATCGATTCGCCGATGATGCACAGAATGAATGGCGAGAGGGAAATGAGGCCGGTTTGCGATACGGAGAAGTTGTAGGGTGGGGCGACGAAGATTACGCCGTTGACGACGCTGAAGACGACGATCCAGGTTAATGTTGTGCCGTAGACGAGGAATCCCCAGAGTACGCATGGGTACCAGAACATGACTATGGGACGTGTGAAGATTTTCCAGATTTCTGCGTCGGAATAGCGGCCGGTGTAGAAGCGAAGGGATTTCCAGTAGGACATTTTCGACTCTGTTGCAGCATTTGGGTCGCTGCCGTTGCCGGTGAGAACGGAACGGCTTGGTGTGTGCTCGACTTGGCGAGATTCGATATGGACGGCCTTTTCGTCGGCGCCTTTACCGTGCGCTTGCTCCACCATGTCGGCCACGATATTGGGGCGTATGTATGCGGTCTCGGGTACATAGAAGAGGACACCAATGCCGAAGACAAAGAAGAAGATGGCGCAGAAACCGAAGGTCCATTTGTAGCCTAAGTCTTCGATGATGTAGCCTGAGACAAGACCAGCTCCGGCTATACCGCAGAGAAGAAATAGATTCCAGGCGGCGATGCGAGTAGCACGCTCGTGGACGAAGTACAGGTCACTGATTGTGGCTTGCACAAGGACTTCGTAGGGCGCCATACCAAGAGCACCCAAGCATCTGCTGCCTAGGAAACTCCTGTAATTGTCGGCCACAGCACCCCAGATGCTTACAATGACCAGTATGATACTGCATAGTATATAGACGGGTCTCTTTCCGTAGATCTTAGCTACCGGATTGAAGATGAAGACACATAGTCCGAGTACCAAAATCAGCCAGGCTGTGGCTTGGGCCAGGACCTCGACTGTGATGCCAAGTTGTTTAGAGATGGTCACGAATCCAGGGCCGAGCATGGGCCCGTATGCTCCAACAATGGCCGCATTCATGCCGACAATGAACAGGATGACATCTTTCTTCCATGTGGGCCAGTTCAGCGGATCATTTGGCGCTGTTGGACATGAGCTTCCGAACGCGCATCTGCTCACGCTGCTTTTCGCTTACAATCACTTGGCTGCGGTACAAGCACAATGTGCGAGAAGCGCCCCGTGCCATGCTTCAGGGCATCTGCTGGAACAGCGGCAAGTTCATCTGGAATGTCGTTCTGGTCTCGAAGAATGGCCTGGAATGATTAGCGAGTGTTCTGCGCCCCAAAATGCCCATCTCTCACCGTTCCAGGCACAATCTCCATGCGATTGCACTCCAAGATTCCGAAAGGCATTGTTATTACGGTACAATCACGGACAGGACTTGGCCAGTAGAATGGCAATAGCCTGCTATTAAGCATACCTCCTATGGCCGGCAATATGAACCCAGCAATACCAGCATATTGCCGTCCAAGGGTCATCCAAGCCACTCGCTACACACAGAGCATCTGCGAAGTACCTGCTGTGCAGCCACATGTGGGGAGGAGCACATGGCCGGACAACGAAGTCAGACAGCATAGCCATGATATCCCCGCCATCTGGTGGGCTCGTATGCATATCGATAAGTTGAGTACGGAGGAAGCTCGCCCTCGTCACTCGTGCATGCGACAAAAACGTGGAGTTGTGGAGAAGTGGGAACTCTGTTCTCCATCCCTGCAATCCCTGCAACACCTCAGCGTCGTCCACTTATGACCACCGCCTCTGCTGCAGACAGATACACGGTAGTTTTGTATTCGGCAATTCGTACCATACCATCAGCCGTGTTTCTTCACTGTTGATCAACATGTCTTCAAACGGAACCCGGTCTCGTGCGGCCGCTGCTTGTGCGCAGCCACGTCCTCCTTGAACGCGTCAAGCTTTGCAAACCCAGGCATCGCCTACTCCTACCAAGTACCAACGCATATCCATCATGGCCCCATATATGAGCGCTGCTTCCACAGCGACGAACAATGCCTCCACAGACCTATCCGTTCAGCCTTCCGGCATTCGAGTCGTTATAGTAGGGGCAGGGTTCGCCGGCATCACCGCAGCCATCGAATGCACACGGAAGGGCCACTCGTGCATAGTGCTGGACTCTGTGAAAGAGATGAAGCAGCTAGGAGACATAATCTCATTCGGCTCCAACGCAGGTCGCATATTCAGAAAATGGCCTGGCGTCTATGAGAAGCTGTACCCTATCTGTCATCATTCTGAGCAATTGACATTTCGCAAGTGGGATACAGGAGAGCGCATCTGCACGCAGAGGTGGAGCGAAGAGCCAGATGGTGGCAAGAACCACGCAGAAGGTGTTCACGGACATCGTGGGGAGATTCACAAGATCATCTATGATCATGCCTTGAGCCAGGGCGTAGAGATACGTCTTGGTCAGCAGGTCACAGAGTACTTTGAAGACGAACATAGCGCGGGCGTGATAGCTAATGGTGAACGCATCGTAGGCGATGTTGTGCTTGGTGCCGATGGCGTGAGGTCAAAGGCACGAACGCTGGTGCTGGGCTACGATGACAAGCCCAAGCCTAGTGGATATGCGATTTATCGGGCATGGATGAGCTCTGAAGATCTGGCCAAGAACGAACTAACCAAAGATCTTGTCACAGGTGACTCGCATACAGGCTGGCTAGGTCCTGACATCCACTTCCTCGCAGCTGCAATCAAGAATGGCAAGGAGTTCAGCTGGGTATTCACCCACAAGGACGAGCGTGATGTTGATGAAGGCTGGTCAGAACCTGGAGACCACGATGATGTATGCCGTATCTTGGAAGGATGGGATCCTACTTTGCATGCCATTGTTCGTATGACGCCGCCGGAAAGACTGGTCGATTGGAAGTTGGTGTACAGAGACCCTCTGCCAACCTGGGTGTCGCCGAAAGCCCGCATCGCATTGATTGGAGATGCTGCTCATCCCTTTCTGCCAACGTCCATTCAAGGTGAGCCGGACCGATTGTAGCGTTCATCTTGCTCACATTTGCTAATCGAGCCTGTGCTGCTAGGTGCAAGCCAAGCTATGGAAGATGGCGCGTGCTTGGCCGTCTGCCTGCAGCTGAGCGGCCAAGACAAAGTGACGGACGCCCTCAGAGCATATGAGAAAATCCGATATGAGCGAGTGAGGAAAGCGCAGAAAACAGGGGAGACTAGTACGAGATTTTCATACCATTGCACGACTCATTTCTGACCACTTGCAGCGCGAGACAAGTGGCATAAAGCTGATTTCGACAATATCATGAAGAATCCTGAAGCTATTAAGCTCAAGCGCGATCCTGAGATTCTGGAACACGACGCTGAAGCTCACGCATATGCTTCATATCCACAAGTTGTGGCCTCACTTCGCGCGCGCATGTGAAGACAAGATCACGCCATTGGCTTGGCTTGTGCGGCGCCGTCCACATATATCTTGACCTCGCTTCTGGTCTTCGCTTTGTTTTCTACAACAACAACCACCCACCTACCATCTCGACATCAATAGCACAAGTGCGCCGCACTTTGACCAACTCCTTTGCTTGTGAACTCACTGGTCAAGGTCTTTTGCTTGCTTTGATATGTGAGTTGATTGCCTCACATACATGGCCATCATGCTAAGTTGACAGAACAGCATCTAGTCACGCCATTCGCGGCCAAACATCTCCGCTCATTGCGCGCCAGCGAGGTTGCTACTATTGCATCGACCAGCAGGCCTACTGCGAGCAGAATCAAGGATTCAGAATTTAACGCGGAAAACATCGGCATCTCAGTACCTTTTCAAGCACGGATCCATACGATCGCCGGCACATCATCGCCAAGACGCCATCAGCACGACTCTGGTCGGTCACCCAACAAAAGTCATGACTGTTCAAATCCAATTCAAGGAGAAAAAGCTGCATGTCGGTCTCCGACACCGCGACTGGACCGATGTGTGGTACGAACCAATCTTGAAACACGGCGAAGGCGACTTAGCGGGTAGTGAGCGAAAGGGCGATGGAACGTTTATGATGCGTCTCTATTCAGACCCAAAACACAAAGGTCCCAAGGAGCCCTGGCATCCTGACCACAAGGAGATTCTTTGGCATCAGCACTTTGATCCTCTGTACTGCGAGGCCGATGGCAAGCCTGCGAGAGAGAAACTTCAACGAGAAATTCTCTACGATGCGTGGCGCTATTGCATGGCTACAGATGCGCACCAAGTCCGGCAACTCGAAGAAGAGTTGAGACATCCCGGCTTTACTCGATGGCATTCGTGGTTTGACCACGCTAAGAAGTGGAAGTGGACACAGCTAAAGAAGAAGAGAAATCGTCGCACGACCCGGGCATCATCGCTCGCCGCTGCTCGTGTAGCTGGGGCGACGGAAGAGGAGATCGACAGCATGTTGGTAGAGTCGAGCGACGACTCTGCCTACGAGTCTGACGAAGAAGAACGTGCAGCGCGTGTGAGAGCCGCAAAGAAGCCTCGTCCCGAGATGCCACCTCCCGAGATGCCACCTCCACCTCCTCGCCGCACTCAGGGTCGTCAGCGTGGCCCCCGCTGGACAGCTGGAGGTCCGCGCTCAGGCGGACCAAAGAAGCAGCCAGGACCAGGAAAACAGGCTTCAAAAGCTAGCACCATCGGCCTTCCCAGCAGCACCAGCAGCAGGCGCCCGATCGTGCTTGACACGGATGACGACGACGACGACGATGCCATGAGTGTCGACTATGACCCCAGGCCGCCAGAAGGCCTCTCACAAGCTGCCTCGACGAGCGCTGAAAATGTAGGTCCCACCAACGACTATGATGGACGGTCGTACCTCATGGGCAATCTTGACACTCCGGGAGCACCTCCACGCCCTACCTCAGCCCCAAGCCGAGGGATCTTTGTTACACGAAGTCCTAGCAGGAACCGGAACGATACTCAGCCAAGACGCCAGCGAGAAGGTTCTGTCTTTGACGAGAATGACTTGGCGAATGGCGGAATTGAAGAAGATGAGGCTGTTGAAATAGCTACGCGCGAGAGCATGCAGCCAGAGCGAAAGCAGGGCGACGGTGGCGATAGCGGAATCGCCGAAGACGAGGCTTTTGAAGCAGCCGTGCGCGCGAGCTTGCAGCCAGGTGGAGAGCAGGGCGACGGTGGCGATAGCGGAGACGTTGGTGATAGCGGCAGTGTGGTGGAATGAGAGCTTTGAGCACTCGCCTTGCATTCTGCTCTCCAAGATTCATGCATCATGAGATGGCTGTCTGCAAGCTCAGTGTAGCGCGCGTGCGGCCCAGAACATCCAAGGACATCACAGCATTTGCGTCGGGATGAATAAGAGAAGCATCTATGACTTCTTCAAGATCAATACGGAAATCCTCCAGGATATATTTTTACTTGCTCTTGCCGATCTGAGCGTTGGCTTGTCGCTCGAGATCCTATCGAGCGGGCTGGTCTGCCATGATTTCTCCTCAGCATATCTCATATTGGAACACTACTATCACTTGTATATAATCACACTCAGAATCAGACCGAGCATTGACACATGACGCCAATTTTGAATTTAGCCGTCTCATTCACGTCGAGTATACATTGTTATTGGCTTCAAAGCTCCAAAGCTTGAATCTGGTCCTCCTCCGGAAGCTCGGCAGTATTTTCTCCCAGCATTTGCCGTGCAGCTTCAGGTTCGCCATACACGACAGAGAGTTCAGTATGACCAAGCATATGTCTGCAATGCCATCTCATACGGCTTCGTTACGTGCAGCGCGCTCGTCATGGCTTTCACCACATTCCTACCCACCTTGAGTGCTCACCCAGTCTTGCTCTTGCTGACCATAGTAGTGGTAATACCAACTTTCATACTCCTTCACGATGTCCTGACATGGCTCCGACTACCTCCAGGTCCTACGCCTCTACCATTTCTAGGCAATAAGTTCCAAATCCCATCTTCGAAGCCATGGATTCAGTTCGAGCAATGGAGTCGCATATACGGACCAGTCTTCACGCTGTGGATTGGTCGCAAGCCGACATTGATCATCTCGGACCCGCAAATCGCGGTCGATCTCATGGAGAAGAGAAGTAACAAGTACTCGTCCAGACCGAGGATGGTCGTCATGGGAGAAGTCTACAATGGCAACAGCAGCGTCCTGACACAGCCATACGGCAAGGCGTGGAGCACGAGGCGTAGACTTCTACATCAGGCGCTCAAACCAGTAGCTCTGAGGCTGTATAAGCCTACGCAAGAGGCGGAGGCTGTGCGCCTTTGCAATGCTTTACTGCGGAACCCAGACCGGTGGGAGAAAGAGCTCGAGCGCTTCACGTCTAGCGTTGTATTCTGCGTAGCGTATGGACATCGGATTGATAGCCTGCAAGCGAAAGTGATCGCGGATCGATTCAAGTTCATGCACTTTCAAGCAAGCCTGAATGTGCCTGGCAAGTATCTGGCTGAGAGCTTTCCGCTGCTTGCGAAGCTGCCGAACTGGATTGCTACTTGGAAGAAAGAGGTCCAGGAGATGGGGAACAAGGAAGGCGAAGCGAACATGGCTTTGCTGAATTTGGTCAAACAGGATATTGCAGTTGCGAAAGCCAGAGGCGATACTGTTCCGGACAGCTTGAGTAAGTTTCTACTGGCGCTGCGCGAGAAAGAGGACATCCCGCTTTCTGAACTACACTTCTCGTACGTTCCTGCTTCCCTGTTCGGAGCTGGATCGGATACGACAGCTTCAACTCTCTGCTCTGCATTCTTAGCACTAGTCACGAATCCGAGCGTGCTCAAGGCAGCACAGGCAGAAGTTGATGCTGTAATAGGCTCACAACGCACGCCGACCTTCGAGGACGAGGTCAATCTTCCTTACATGCGAGCCCTCTGCAAAGAAACTCTCCGCTGGCGGCCAGTCGCAGTCCTCGGAGGCACACCGCATGCCAGCACGGAAGCAGACGTCTACGAAGGCTACCGCATCCCAGCAGACACCACCATCCTTGGGAACAACTGGGCTATCAACCTCAACGAAGAATACTATCCCAACCCCCATCACTTCGACCCCGTGCGCTTCCTCTCAGTCTCGGAACTCGCACAAATGGGCATCGAGAAACAGGCATATCTCGGCTCGAAAAGGCATCCCGCCCCGAGCGGTCATTCAAGCTTCGGATGGGGCAGAAGGATATGTCCGGGTGCAGATTTGGCAAGCAGCAGTCTCTTCATTGCTTTGGCGAAATTGCTGTGGGCGTATGACATTTTGCCGATTGCTGGCAGGCAGTATGATATTTTCGACTATACCGAGGGATTCAATGTGAGGCCGAAGAAATTCGAGGTTGTGATTAGGGTGAGGAGTGAGAGGCATAGGGATGTGCTTGAGAGGGAGCAAGTGCTGGCTGAAAAGTACTTGGAGAAGTTTACGGCTTTTGGGGAGTGAGGGATTTTTCGATCGTTGTGAATGTGAAGGGGAATGAGTCCTGAGATCCTTGTCTTCTTGTATGATTCTTTTCTATCGCAGCTGAATCTGCATATATGGTATGGTATGGTATATAGAGTCCTTAGCGGGGTATGCAGTTACTCTATACCGTAGAATTGCAGTAGATTTGCGGTACGAAGATATTAACTGTAGGTTATAATAACAGCATTTCTGCAGATATCTAAGGCGGTGCTGTTTATAGTAAGATGCTATTGTCGCCTGTGTGCTATTTGCTAAGGCTGCTAATAATTAGCCTCTGTAGCAGAAGTAGGTCTCTATAGTAGAGCTAGCTTCTATAGTCTATATAGCGATACAGTACAACAGTATATACTATAGATACTAACCTGTTTAGTTTAGGGTCTTATACGAGTGCTTCGATCTATTCGATTATAGTACTATATATAGGCTACTTAGCCTGCCCTATTCGCTTGCCTGCTACGCCGAATGCTAGCCTACTATCTATCTAACTACCTAACTACCCATTCATCCGAGAATCTTAAAGCTAGTATACCGTAGAGAGCGTTATTGTTAATTCGCGGCTTCGGTCGTAGTAAATAGTCGATCGTAGTAAAGGGGTAGGTTATTAGTCGTAGTAGAACGCTCGATTTGTATAAAGGAGATCTATACTTAAAGTCAGCTATTATTATAGGAGCATAGGCTTCGGACTTACTAATAGAAGAAAGAAGAAACGCTATACGAAGATCCGCGTTTAAAGCCTAGTATCTAGTTAGTTAAGAGCATAATACGTTGCTAAAGATTGCTTACTATAGAAAGCGTATATTTGATAGACATCCGGAGGTTTCCTATTTATCGTTTAGTATTAAGGCCTTCTACGGTTGAAGAGCTAAGTATACCTAATCAAGCTAGATAATAATCTTAGCGTATAAATAGACCTAGATACAGTTAGTTTTGCATAGTGCTTGTTAACTGTCTTAATAGCATACCTTTAAAGGAATTACAAGTCCTAATCGACGAAGAGGGTACGGTTACTACTTCTTATATTAATAGCAGCCTTGCCTTTAGTTATATCGAGGCCTTGTCTAGTAACTAGCACTATCTAGATCTTCTAACTATTAATGCCGTTAATGCCGATAGTAATCTGCTTGTTAGTAAGCTTATATACCGAAAGCTAAAGTATTAGGTCCTTGCGATCGATCTAGGCGATAGTAATAGTAACAAAGAGCGAGAGACTACGAGCGGTACGGTGCGTAAAGATCTGATTAATACGGCTAATGTTGTTACCGCTACGGTATCGAATAAAGTCTCCGCGGCGAAGAACAGTGCGGCGCTAGGTAGGCTTGTTATTAAAGGCAAATCGCTTAAACTAGTATATAGGATCGTTATTGTCTAGTATGCAATTAGTCCGGTTGTAGTCGTACTAGTAGGCGCTAATTAGGGCGTCTTTAAAGAGCTTCTTTATACTATCGTTGCGGATAGGAAGAAGTAGGAAGTCCTTATAGTAATACTATAGCAAGCGATCTCTAGTAGCGACGTTTCCGTAGTTAACGTTACTAAGAATAGTGTCCGTACCGTTAAGGACCGAACGATCGTTAGTAGTACCTTGCTTAGCGCGTAGTAGCACACTGTCGAATAGTTGTGGATTTCTATCGAATAGCTCGGCGATCTAAGCCGACAAATAAGGCTCGCTATACTAGTAAGCACCCTATAGTATTAGTCGCATTGTTATCTTAAGGCCTTATCGCTCGAGGAGATCCTTCTTAGGCTTATACTAGTTAGTTAGGTAGATCTACTGCTTTATAGTCTTATACTTTGCCTCTCTAGCAAGTATATTGAGATTACCGGCTATTATAAATTTAGCAATAGTCTCTATATAGTACTAGCTAATGTAGACGTTTAGTCGCTTTGCTATACTACGGTACTTAGCAGCGCCCTTAGTCTCCTTCGGCTGCTAATCTCTAGGTATCTAGCTGAGATTAGTACTAGCGACAGGTATACTCTAGCTGCGGCTACGTTATCGTGTATATAGGTTCTTAATATTAGAAATAGCAGCGCATTCTATTAGCTCTTAAAAGATTCGCCGCATTGCGAGTATCTCGGTTATATAGTCGATACGTTGCTGTATTATAGTCTTCTTTAACATAAGGTATACGTTTGAACGTACTAATGCAGCGAGGAAGCGGACTATAATAGCCGATACCGGGATATCTGCTAAGGAATAAATCTGAAGTTGCTAAGCTAGGCTTTTAGCGACTTGATTTAGCATAGTGCCCTGCTTGCTAACCAAGTCTCGTACTGCCTCTCGAAAAGACTGCTCGATATAGTAGTCTTATAGCTATATATAAAACAAGACGGGTGCTAGGACAGACTAACGTACGTACTCCGACAAGCTATATTATACGAGGTAGTACAATAGCGATTAGAGGCGGTTCTAACTAGGCGCTGTAGGAAACCTATAAATAGTCTTACTATACTCGATTTAGGTAGCGTTAGTAAGAATTTCCGCAAGAAGCATACTATAAAACATGCTAGTAATGCCCTTATACTCTAAATAAGTCGGATCTAATAGTCGTATAAGGATAATGTTAAGAGCTAGCGATAGCTGCTAAAGTGTAGGAGCATCGCTAAGCATACCGTACTAGCGGCTATATATTGCTCGCGTAGTTAGTACCGCTATTATAGATATATACTACCGTACCCGTTCGTTCTTATAATAGAAACGGTGTTTAGTAACGTCGAGATTGCTACGATCGTTAGCGTGCGTATAATAAAAGCGGCACGATACGTTCGCTCCTAGTCTAAGTATACTAGAGTTCTCCTATTGCTATAGTATATCGCCGATATAGGCTAAGATAGACGCGCATACTAAGGTCTTCTTACTACCTGCATCGAGGCTTAGCTCTTGTCTAGCGTCTAAGCTCTTTAGCCGCGGTATAATAGCGGCTACAACGTCCTTAGTATTACTACTATAAGGACTAAGCGTAAACAGTAAAACGTTAGACGTTCGATTCCGCTCCTATATTGTAAGGCCGGCTATAATAATGTACTAGCCTATTAATAAGCGGTATATATTACGGTATAGCCCGAAGCTATCGATAAATATTAAGAATAGTGCTAAAAGAACCTTTAAGCCGGAAGTATAAGGGTTAAACTTGAGGAGGTGCTAGCAACCGTATACTATAATTTCGAGCTCGCCGCGTATTAGGTATATCTAATAAATTAGGCGAGTAGTACTATCGCTTGCAACTAGACGGCGTACAAAGTAATCGAATTTGTCTTATAGTAGAGGCATAGGCGCGATCTTGCTGCTATATAGGTAGTGTATAGCGATAATGCCTAGGTCGAATAGGCGAACATCCGTCTCGAGAGCATAGTAGTACTAGCTCTCTATCTAGATCTAGAAAAGCTTATTAGCTATAACATCGTTAGCGAGATGCTAACGAGTATAAGGTAGCAAGGCATTAAATAGAAGAAGCGGTACGATTTGCACTACTATCGAACCTCTATCGCCCTTATAGTTACCTTTTGCTTTGCGCTTCGTTAGCTCGCGATTGTCGGTCTATATAGCGACTATATATCTAGTATAAGCCTAAGTCGTGCTATAGTTGTAGCTAGTATCCTAGCAGTAGAAGCGGACAAAGTCCGATAGGAATATCGGTCTACTAGGTACACTAATAAACTAACTCTAGTCGGTTAGAGGTGCTAGCATTAGTAAATCGTCGTTAGCATCGTCTATTCGAGGTGCTTTCCGTATACGAGGCTTCTTCTTCTTCGGCTTATACTATAGAGTTAGTCTACGTGCAGGATCTGTAGTATAAGCTACGTAAGGGGGTCCTTGCTATTACTATAGGTATCTCGCGAACTCGCTAGAAGTCGTACGGATAGAACTCGCCTATACCCGAGACTAATGCAGCTCGTTTAGCAAGTCGACGAGCTCTACTAAGCTAGTATATACGTTCTTTATAATTTCTAAGCTAAGTATACGGATAAACAGCTCCTATAGATCGAAAAAGAATAGTAGCTTAGATGTCTTAAGATCCTAAGAGCCTAGTATAGTAGGTAGTGTCTTCTGCTTTAGAAGAGGGATCTCTTAGTAGCGTAGCGGAAGGAGTAGAAGTACCGACTTAAGGTGCAACTTAATCGTATTAATAGATTTTAGTAGGCTAGACAGCTTTTCGCTATCTAGAACTAGGGTCGTAAAGATCTTGTATAATACCGCATAGTCGGAGCGAGAAAGGCTAGTATCTTAAAGCTATATACTAAACGCTATTTCTAGACTGCTTATAGCGCTAACCTTACAGCCCTTCTTTTAATCTAGGACATGTAACTAATCTAGGACATAAGACTAATCTACTGCTAGAATAGGTAGCGGCAATATAAGGCTTTACTAAGTCGGAGGTGCCTAATCCTTATTACCCTCGGCGAATTCTTAACTAGGTACTATAGTAGTATCTAAGACTCGAGTAGGCTTATCCTCGTCGGCTTAAAGCTAATAACTAGCCGTCTCGAGAACCTATTCGATAGTCGGTTAGTTAATATCTTTAACTGCTTATGCTAACGCGAGCTAGAGATCTAGTAGCTTAGTTATTATATATGCTATAGGATTAGCAGCTTCTATTTAATTCAATTCCTCCTTATTTGCATCGGCCGTCTCGATACTTTAGTATATATTATCTAGAGCTAGTAGGGCGGCGCTCGAGTCTGCTATATACTAACTAGTATCTCCTTCTCCTTCTTTTTCGGCGCCTTCGTTATTATCTTCGCGAGCGCGCTTCGTTCTAGTCGGTGCTTAAGCCGCCGTTATATCCTAAGTAGGTGCTAGTATTATATCCTAAGTAGGTGCTAGTATTGTATCCTAAGAAGGTGCTATAGCTGTTAGCTAACGCTAAGGTATCGCTTAGTTAGGCTTAACTTTTAGAGCGCCTCGCGGCAAGAAGGAGAAGCGCATTGCTTATAATATCTCGAGTAGTAAGTGCGAGGGTATAGTAAATATCGCGGGTGTGTTTCCTAAGGTTAGAGGTAGAGGATGTTTACTACGGAAGGCATATATACGCGTTTAACGCGCCAAGCCTAACACGCGCAGTAGTGCTATTCGTAAATAAAGACAACACGCGTAAATATAGGCTCTTTATCGTGTTACCGTAGATCTGCCTTGCCCTTTATCTTGTTTATACGTGCTTGTTTGCAGAGTCGTTAGAAGCGCTAAACAGTATATAGATTTCGATATAGATGTCGAGGATACAGACCTTTTTAGAGCAATATAGATCTATAAGGAGCAGTAGTTAGTATATAGTAGTAATACTTGTTTATTATATAGGTATTATAAGCTAAAAAAATTGCAGTAGTAGCTATATAGAGCAGCCGAAGCAAAAAAAAAAAAAAACAGCAAAGCTACTAGCGCTATCGCTTAACTAAGATCTAAAAAAATATATAGAGATATAGAAATATAAAAGTAATAAAAGGCCTATGCCTTTAGAGGCGGAAGGGCTATTAGCCGCTTCTTGGCGCGCTTAGCGCTAGCGAGGTTCTTTCTCTATTGTATAGTTAGTATATTCATAATCTAGAAAGCTACCTTATCGATATATACCTTGCGACCCTTGTCGCTAGCACTAGTCTTCTTCGGCATAACCTCCGCGAAGTCGGAGCGGACTACGCTATCGTAATCTATATTAATACTATATACTAATTAGCTAATGCTCTGCTAGATGCTAGATAGTAGATGCTAGATAGTAGATACTAGATAGTAGATACTAGATAGTAGATGCTAGATAGTAGATACTAGATAGCAGAAGATCTTACGGATAGCTGTCGTATGCCTCTACGAGGGCTTTGTTCGCGTTAGCGCATTGCTCGCCTATATACTGTTAGCCTATCCATCTATATATAGCGATCAGCATTAAATACCAAGCTTCTTATCTGCTCGAGTAGCCGTAGCTACCTCCGAGTATAGAGCGCGATACTACCCTATATATAATTAGTATATTAGCTAGATCTAGGAGCTCCGGAGGTATCGATTCTTATTATAAAGCTTATAATAAATAGCGCTTCGAGAATCATAGACTTAGCATGCTATGTTAAATAACATACACTTATAGAAGGCTTAGCCCTAAGGGCCGGACTAGTCGATATCTAGCCGACCTTTTATATACTTAAAGCTATATGCATATTAGTATCGTTTATTAGGCTAGAAGAGAGTATATTATCTTAAAAGAGAAAAGAAAAAGGCATTAGCATTATAATAAACTTATATAACGAAGAACTCGTCTTCGCTAAAGCGCTCGTCGAAAAATTCGAGCGTCTCTTTACAATTTAGTCCTGCAAGGGACGAGTCCTCGTCTATTAGCTTTTAGACGTATTTCTATATCTATATTAGCTATGTCTAAACAAGCGAGGGTTCAGAACTAGAAGATTCGAGATTGCACTAAAGCTTAGTAGGCTTCGGAACCGTCGAGTTCGGAGGTTAGATACTAATAGGCAAAAGTATAGCTAAATAGTAAAAAGAAGATATAAATAGGCGGGCTAAATAGGGGATCGACTTACACGACAATTTCTAATAGTGTCCGACTTTAAGGTGCGGGTATTAAGGGCTTTACTCTAAGCCTAGGCATATAGTATCTTGTTCTCCTTAAAGACAGCATCTCTATAAATTTCTTTAATAATATTATCCTTTGTTTTATATCTACTAGTTTCGAAATGCATCTATTTAAACGCTTAATTAAGTAAATCACGCTTATTAGTCTTAGCTTTAAAGGCTCGAGACTTAGTAGTTAAAGGAATAGGAAGGGACTTTATAGGTAATCGTATATAGGGGTATTTCGTATAAAATCGCAAGTGCTCTCGAATCTATAAAGGAATTAGCCTACTAAACTATGCTACTATCGCCGCCTATTTATATATAAAAGCTTAGCAAACGTTAGAATAAATAAATAGTATAGAAGTGTATATATTAGATATAGTCGTAAAAATGTAGGAGAAATACCGGTGCTTCTAGTAGTAGCCGCTACGGCGGCTCTACTGCTGCTGCTGCTACTACTGTCTCTGCTATTTTGAATAGTATATACGCAAGGTCTAGAAAATCGGTATATAGAGGACTTAGTAGTAAGTATAAAGGAAGACTAGTATAGCACCGTAAATAGTATAAAGTCGGAGTACGGTAGACCTACTCCGAGCCGCTTAGTACCTGTTCCTATTAGATTCTGTAGCAGGAGTAAGCCTCTGCGATTTAGAAAGCTCTATAGTAGGTAGACTAAATAGTATATTTAATATCAATAGTATATAGTCTATATGCTAGTATGCTATAGTACAAAATTGTGGCTACAGGTAGTATTAAGATTGCTGAAATCTTACAGTTATTTCTAACCCTATGCCCGCGCTAAGGGTGTAGACGAATCATGGGTGTATGAGTATGACGCGTGTGGGCTGTCGAAAAGTCGCGTTCCGTTCCCCATTTTTGAGCCTTCAGTTCTACTGTACCACTTCTTACTGCACGGCACGGCAACTGTACATATATAAACCTAGCATATGACTGACTCTAATGCTGTGTGTCTTCCCGACTCACATCAGCGTTCAAGTTGGCTTCAATAGCTCGTCCGATCGAGCGCATCACGACTTTCACGACTTTCACGACTTTACGCTTTCTGCATAACAGTTCTTGCACCAATTGCTTCAACCCACGAATATCACACGTCCATCTCCACTCTTCGCCTAGAGACCGACGTAGCAACGACAACGACCCAAAGGACTCCCGATCTACATCAGAATCACTCTCTGCAATCGGCGACCTGCTTGGAGGCTTTTCATCGCATCAGAAGCTGGGGCAATCGCACAACCACAAGAGAGGCAGCCAGGCCAACGTCGACAATGATCCTCATCGTCCCGTAGCATCTTTAGAACCTCGAATCCTCACGTATCAGTACAGGAGAGATCCGACCGGACGCTGGAATTCGCTCACCAAAGGAAGAGCTGCACAAGAGAAGCAGGCACGAGGAGCACGAGGAGTGAAAGAGGAGATTTTTTGGAGAGATCATCATTCGCTCCTGCTGCAGTCGCCAACTCCTCCGAATTTCACTTCGTTTGCGCGTCAGGACTTCCTAGGGCGCAGAATGAAGTCCCACGTGCAGGTCTTGACCACGCCTACGGTGGACTCACCTGGCACAACGCTGCTTCTGCATTTCGATAACAAGCGGTACCTGATTGGAAGCTTGTCAGAAGGCACACAGCGGGCGTGCATTCAGATAGGCGCGAGGCTGCTCAAGGTTTCGGAATGCTTTTTGACTGGGCGTACGGAATGGAAGAATACCGGAGGCCTGATCGGGATGATCTTGACTCTAGCTGACTCTTCTGCTGCAAGTCAGGCGAGCTCGCTAGAGGAGGTGCTCAAGAAGGCGAAAATGAAGGCAAAGAGGTTGGGTGTGGCCGATGACCCGCAGAAGATGAGAGAGCTGGAAGATCAGGCTAAGAAAGAGATGAGCAATACCCTTTCGTTCTTTGGCCCGCCAAACCTGAATCACACCTTGGCCACAGCGAGACGCTATGTCTTTCGAAAAGGAATGCCGGTCAACGTGCATGAGATTCGTGATAGTGGACTGCCAGAACGGCTTCCACAAGAGAACGAAGAGTGGAAGCCGTTTTGGGCAGATGAGAACATCAAAGTGTGGCCCATGTCTATCTCGCCTAAAGCTACATCTTCCTCGCAGAGTCCGCCTGCGTCCATCAGTCCTCGTAAGCGGAGCTTTGACGAGATGCACGCAGATGGAAATGGTGCAATGACTGCTGTGGCTAGCGAGCTCAGCCAGGAAGATCGCGACTATCTAACTGTCAAGGCGATAGTTGGTGAGATGTTCAACTCCTCATGGAGACTGGACACGCTCTACGAGACTGCACTTTCAGACGTTAAGCTACCAGCAACCATATTCGTTCGCAACGCCGAAACGAACAAGATTGAGAAGTATACCGGTCCTCTCCCCGGCGATGCCAAGAACCCGCCTTCGGATCCTCAGATGAAAGTGCTTGTACGACGACCATGGCCTGGTGCTCTTATCGAGAGTCTCCCTGACAATAAGCCTGCAAAAGTGGCCATCAGCTACATCATCAGAAATCACATGCAGCGAGGCACGTTCCGACCAGAGCGTGCCAAGGCACTGAAAGTGAAATCCGGTCCTGATTACTCGAAGCTTGCGAAAGGCGAGAGTGTCAAGAACTTGGACGGAGAGACGGTGACCCCGGAGCAAGTCATGGATCCACCTCGGGTCGGCGGTGGCATCGCAGTAGTTGACCTGCCCGAGCCAGAGTACATCGAAAATCTTGTCCACCGACCTGAATGGAGGACGAAGCAGGTCATGGAAGGCGTTGGAGCTATGATATGGATTTGTGGCAAGGACGTGGCCAAAGATCCAAAGCTTCATGCTTTCATGCAGGAATTCCAGCATTTGAAGCACATCGTTTCATCACCTGATTGCTGTCCAAACAACATATCTCTTGATAGTGTCGCGGGGTCTACTATTCGGTTGAAGGAGGTCGATCCAGAACGCTATATCGTACCTGTCCACGACGACCCTTTATCGTTGCAAACCAGGCAAGTTGGCGATCAGAAGACATCCGTTGCTAACACTGCGCATACTTTGCCCGAAGCAGTACATGTAGCGCAACGAGGGCAGGTGGTCCAACTCGAACCTGCTATTGAAATCCAGAGTAAAGAAGTTGTTCCAACCCTTGATGTGGCACAAATTGTCTCAGAAGTCCCTCAAGACGTTATGGATGAAGCTCGAAAAGCGCAAGAGGCGACGAAGACGACGCCTGAAGACGTACAGAAATGGCTTGGCAAATTACCGCCTGATGCCAAAGATGCCGAAGTCATCACACTCGGAACAGGATCTGCCCTACCCTCGAAGTATCGCAATGTGTCTTCAACACTGGTTCGCGTGCCCGGCTGGGGCAACATTCTTCTGGACTGTGGCGAGAACACGATTGGTCAACTGCAGCGTGTCTTCCCAGCTGAGGACTTCAAACAAGTTCTGCGCGAGTTGCGATTGCTTTGCATTAGCCATATGCATGCAGACCATCAGCTTGGAACGACCAGTGTGATCAAGGCTTGGTATCAGGAAGTTCACAATGGAAAGCCAGCCGCACCTGTAACCCCAACTCAGGACTGGAAGGAGATCTTCGAAGATCAGCGTCTCGCCATCATTTCGGAGCCGGCCATGCAGTATTGGCTGTACGAATACAGTGCGTTGGAGGACTATGGCTATTCTCGCCTCGCACCACTCTCTATGACACCTGCCAATCTGCGAACAGGACAGCCATCGCGAATGAGCTGGTTCATCCCACCTTCCGAATTGAAAGGTCTTTCCAAGAGTGATTATCATGCTAAGCTCGACGAACATGTTATCGATCATAGCTTATTGAATCTGCAAGACATTCAAGCTGTTGCTGTGCAACATTGCCATGGAGCGAGAGCTATCTCGATCACTTTGCCATCCGGCTTCAAAGTCAGCTATTCTGGAGACTGCAGGCCCAACACGCCCTTCACCCAGATCGGCAAAGGCAGTACGGTCTGTATTCACGAAGCGACATTTGATGATGAATTGCAAGGCGATGCGGAGGCAAAGAATCACAGCACCACATCCGAAGCTTTGAACGTTGCACAGAAGATGGGTGCCAAAGCCTGTGTCCTCACTCACTTCTCGCAGCGCTATCAGAAGGTGCCAGTCCTAGAACGCGCAGACGAAAGCGAAGCACCTGCAGAAGAGGATGTCGATATGAGTAACGGTGCCATTGAGCCAGTCGAAGACGAGTCTACAAACCCTGAAGACGCCATGGCTGGACCATTGGAAGACGTTGCAGCCACATTCCCGGACCAAGAACCTTCGAACGGCGATGGTGGAAAGCAATACGATATCCCGAGCAAGAAGCAGGCGTCGAGGTCATTCGGCCAGAGTGGCCCACCCGAAGCCGTCAAATTCAAACTCCAATCTGACATGAAAGTCTGTGTCGCTTTTGATTACATGCGTGTCAAAGTCGGAGATATCTGGAAGATGGAACACTTCACGCCTGCTTTGCTGAAGCTTTTCGCGGAAGAAGAGAAAGAGGTGAAGGAGAGTGGTCAGGAGGGTGGAAGCGCGAAGAAGGATAAGAAGAATAAGTTTGGTAAGAGTAAGAGGAATAACTGAGAAGATGCATCGTGTCAAGGACAGCAATTTTCATTTGTGCAAGGGAGATCGACGTTAATGCCATGATCCCGCAAATCTGGCACCGAAGAGCAGTGTTAAACACTGGAATCTTGGTCCACATGAAGGGTCGCCTTAAGCTTAATGGCTATCCTGTAGATCAGGCAATGAATGGGCACCGGGGATGGCATTTTCGCGTTGTCGTCGCAGGAGTCATCGGGACTTTTGCCTGAACGGACTATTTGCTTGCATTTAGAATCAAGGGGCGAGAAAATTTGTACATTCGTTGCTCTGGCTTTAGACCCACCGAATGTGCAGAGAGAGAAGATGAGAGCGTTGCTTTGGGATGCAAACATTATCTGGGAGCATGTGGCCATGAACAGAAGCAATACATTGGACTTTCATCACTCTCGAAAGCCATCGCCCTCTCCTACAGCCTTGATCATGCTGGCTTTACAGGATCTGGTAATGACTTCCGCTTTATCCACTTCCTTTCAACTCGCCCGCCGCAGCAAGCACCGGATGAGCATAATGTCTCTTGACATCATTCCTCTCCGGCCAGGTACCTCTTGCTTCAGGCAGCAGCTCATCCGGCCCAAGCGGTTCCTCAGGAAAACACTTCTCAAAAGGCTTCAAATGAGCTTCACAATGCGCCCAACCCTTCTCATAATCAGCCTGCCACTGCACAACATAATCCAATCTCTGAATCCTCCACACCCCATCTTCCCCCTTCACATACGTGTTCTCATACACTCCAGCTTCCCAGAATTGCAACGGAAGACCTTCGGGCCTGTACGCTCGACTGGTATGATTCCCGCCCGCGAGCAAGGCTCGAAAGCGTCCTTGAGCTGTGCGTCCGTCTGGGGATATGGTTATTATGTCTTGCATCTCCAGATGGTCGAGGATGAAGCCGTTCACCGGTCCGGGTTTTCCTTCGGTGAAGAGGGTTTGGAACCAGGTTTCGTAGAGTCGAGAGATTGAGGCGTGGCCGCGGTAGATTCCTGAGAGGAAGATCACTTCGCCATTTTGGGCGAAGAGCTGGACTACTTCGGCGTATGAGCATGTGTCGATGTAGTAGCCGTATGCGAAGTGGAGTTTGCGGATTGCATTTATGTCTTCCAGCTCCGTTACGCGGTGGGAAAGACTTTGCACTAAGGTGCGAAGGGAGGTGAGTTCTGTTTGGACTTCGGAGATGTTGGACATGATTTGGTGCAGTTGCCAGTAATCAGTGGGAAAGGTATGGAAGAGTGGCAATATAATGTCATTTTATGCCAGACGCAAGGCTGAATGCAACTGCCGCTGGTATGTACCTGGCTCAGCCAAGGATCCCACATGGGGTAAGAACCATATATCGGTGGCGTCGAGGCTGACGAGCCAGGGTTGTGAAGAGCTCTGCCACAAGCAAGTGGACAGGCATGCCGTTCAATATGAAGAGGATTCTATTGGTCATGCAAGAGACAGTAAGTCAAATTTTTTTCAGGATTCTAGTGTCAATCTTCTCACTCTTTTTAGAACATCTCCTCGACGCTGGCCTCCACTGAGAAAACATTCGGCTTTGTTGCATCTTCAAATCAGGGATAGAGACATGCAGCATGTATGCTTGATCTCGGGCCAACAACCCGCTCTTCAATAGCTTGGAGAAAGACTTCTGTCCAGCCACCCTTTGCTTGCATAGCCGAATCTACCATCGTCTTAGAGCGATGAATATCACCGACGATTCTCTGAGCTCGTCCGCATCTCTCATTATACGCCTTCTGTTGATCCATTTCCTCGATTCGATCAAATCCTGCAATAATCCATGCCACGAACTCCGTTGTCGAGCCCCCTCCAAGCAGCTGATCAGCCGTCACTACACAAGCAGCAGCGACCGAGACCTTATCGAACAGATGCCATTTCAACGCGTAAGGCTTGACCACGGAATCGAGGATGAATTTCGCCACCTCGTCGGCATCACAATCCAAGAGTCGTGGCAGAGACTCCCCACCGGTATCTGACAGAATCCCGCAACAGATGTGTTTGATCCATCCCTCGATCGTAATAGGCTCGCCCGTGAGTGCAGCGCGGATCCGAGTCAGGATTTGCTTCTGCCAGTAGTGCTCTCCCGTATCGCCTTTGGCAGGAACCATGCGAAGCAGGGTTTCAGCGTGCTGCATCAGGCGTCGGTCGGCCGGACCATCTTTTGGATTCACGAGACGGCGCTCGACCAGCGAGATGATCTGTTTTGCTCGCGCCTTAGGTGATGGGCTTGGTGCGCTTGAACGTTTGGTGATGCCGGCCGGTGAGGCATTCTGGTCTGTTGCTGATCTTCGACTTGAACGGCGTGGGAGGTCTTTCGGTGGCATGGTGGAATGAATGCACTGCTATGTTGCAAGAATGGCGACGTAGGAGGAGTTGTTCGAGCAGGAATGTGCATTCCTGTCGGCTCTTTGTTGGGCCATGGTCGAGTCTGCTGCCGGATCCGAAGTAGTGGGCTTTACAAGGGCTTTGCATAAAGGCCTCGCCTTCGAGCGGCTTGGATGCGGTCGATGCCATGCATTCTGATCTGTTGACTGAAGCAGTAAGGTATACATGTGTGGACAAACCAGGCCGAGACATCGTGGCCACCACTATGGTCACTGCCATTGCTGGCGTCTGTCGCCCACTGTAGCTAGTTGCATCCAGATCAGTTTGCACAGTCGGTCTGTTGAGTCCGTAGAGCCCGTCATGTTCACAGTACATGTATTGAGCGGGTGGAAGAAATGCATGGCCGTGCAGTGCAGAACTATTGCCCCTGCCGTCGCTGACGGACCCAGCTCCGTTTGTCCCCTGCTTTCCGGGTTCCCTTCCAGCTCGACTTCGACTCCCGCTTCGGCATCACATCAAGGACTGTCTTGACTGTCCCACCTCGAGCATCTTCCAACTGTCGCTGATTAGGTACAGAATGCTGACAGTCAAGCATCCTGGCCAGCAACCTCCCACGCCTCGCTTGTACCAGGTAGGAGACATTCGACGCGGCTACTGACCGACGAAGAACTTCGATCAGCTGAGAGCGAACCGTCGGGACCTGCAACCAGCCGCTCGCCACCCTTGAACCGCCCTGTAGCACTGCACTGCATCACCTATCGCCCTCGCCCACTCCCACTGTTAGCAGAGACTTGTCGCCAGCCTCCATTCCAACGTCGCAGCGAACGATTATGCCCACGATTCTGTGCAACGAACGACCGAACGATCGATCGACAGTACAGTGCAGCTTCACCAATGCCGAATCGCACAGTTGACATCCATGTGATATGGCGCATAGCTGGGTCAGAGACTTCTGCCTTCATGGGTCCAGACTATCATCTCTCTCCTGCCTTCTCGTCGTCCATTGTCACGCACTCAGCTGGGGCGGTGATTCATATCAGGGCACGCGAAACCCGGAACTGATCTCGCAATCTATGCCATTTCAGCCCATCTGATTTGTTCAGAGCAGTGTGCAGCGATAGGCTCCCCATACTACCCAGGAGCATGGCGGCAATACTTTGATGGGGGCACAACAGCCTTTCCATACCTGCAGGCACGGAAGCGAGTTAGACAAAGATGTCGGCGAGCCGGCTTCGGCTTGGACTTGGCTCAGCGACATGGAGCTGTTCTGAATTGTCGGAATACTCTACCGCTGGCACTGTGTGGCGCATATGTCAGAAGCGAAGCCATTTACACCGAGGACAGGATTGCTTCCATCTGGACAGGGCTCGACTTTCGGTATCTGAATAGCAGTATTGCAATAAGCTGCCAGCGCTGCTCGGCTGCTCTTGGGAGAGAGGCAGTAAATCTTGGATGCATGAGGTCGCCAGGGCCCATGTTGTTCAAGTGCCATTGGAGACGAAGATTTTCACATCCTCTATCGTACCAACTCAACTTGGCCAAAAAATGCACCGCTATCTCGAGTAGATGCCTCTGCCATTGCACGGTATAGAAACGCAGAGGTAAAGCCTTTAGAGCCGGAGACCTGGAGTGCTCTGACCTGGATATCGCTCGGCCCGGACAGAAGCGTATAGGCACCTGAAGGAGACGCTACCGTCGTGCACCATATGTACATGCAGAAGCAAGGCCTTCGGAGGCAAGAGAGTGCGTCTACCCTTATCCGGTTCCAGCTCAGCCAGTCGGGTCAAGACTGCAGCACTCAGAACCGAAATCAGCGGCGTGGTACCTTGTAGAGGTGCAGAAGCAGAGTTGTGGACAGTGAGTGCCTGGTACACTCGCTTGAGCTGAACTCCGATATACGTCCTCGCATTGCTGCATCGAAAAGCGACATCGATACCATAAGGCTTGCAAAGGTGTAGAAGCAGAGCTATGGCTGTTGAGCAGCTGGAGGACTATCGCTGAAGCTCGATTCCGCTGTGCGTCCTTGCATTGCTGTCTCGAAAATCGACGTCCACAGCATAGCCGAGCAGCCCATGCGGAAAGAAGCAGAGGCGTGGCCGGCGAGCATGAAGAATTCTTCCACACCGAAGAACCTCGGCCGCCGGTACCTGGATTGCTTCATCGAGAACCGACCTCAAATGAGTACTTCAGCCCTTATGTACGGAGACAAACCGATCGACGATGAGCCGTATGAGCTACCTGGCTCATGATCGGCTCCGTTATGCCGATCTGTTTTCCTACGTCGCAAAATAATCTCGAATGCGTCCATTAGTCCCTGGAAACGGAGGCAGACCACTTGGTGGTGAGCGGTCCAAACGAGCTCACTCGAGATCAGCTCTGCTACGCTGACTTGTATGGCTGTATCGCATAACGACCTCAACATCATGGTATAATACCAGATCTCGAAGCGGAAACCATCTTGTGAGCGGCAGAAATGACTTCATCCAAGATCAGCTCTGCCATCCTTGCCTGCGTTGCTATATTGCAAAACATCCTCAGCAGCATGGGATGTTTCTAGTCCAGGAGTGGGAGTTCATCTTGTGAGCGGCAGGAATGACTTCATCCAAGGTCGGCTCTGCCATCCTTGCCTGCGTTGCTAGATCGCAAAACACCTTCAGCAGAATAGAATATTTCCAGTCCGGGAGCGGGAGTTCATCTCTTCAGCGGCAGGAATGACTTCACGCAAGATCAGCTCTGCCTTTCTTGCCTGCGTTGCTATATTTCAAAACATCCTCAGCAGAACGGAATATTTCCAGTCCGGGAGCGGGAGTTCATCTTGTGAGCGGTAGAAGTATCCTCACTAGCGGTCGACTCCGCGATGTCATTTGAATTGCAGCCCCTATAAACAATTTGGTTAGCATAGCCAGACACAGCGCTGCGGAAGTAAAGCCATGGATAGTAAAGGGCATAAGTGTCCTTGCGTAAGATCAGCTCGGCCATACATGTCCGGAATACAGCACCAAGGAACGACGTCGACAGCATAGAGCATACCGGCCAGCGGAAAGGTGAGAAGAAGAGGAAAGATTGTAAGCTGGGGAGCATTATCTCTGCTGGGCTTCTCCATATTGTTGGCTCTGAACACGATATGAAGAGCACAGCTCGGCATATAGGTGCGGAGGCAAAGCCATCGATAGTGAAGAGCATAAGTACGCTCACGCAAGATCCGCTCAGCCGTATACCTTGGGATTACTGCACCTAGGAACGACGTCGACAGCACAGTGTATGCCAAAATCCAGCGCACCCGCTGTACGGCAAGTGGTTGAAGGCTGTCTCGGCCGGTCAATTGACCTTCAAGGAGGACCAGGTGGAGTGGGCGACAGAAATCGATATCGTGGCACGGTGGCAATACCGGATCACGTCTTCATGAAGGCAGCTTTCGATCGCAAGGCGGACGCCGGCATTGCAGACGCAGCGCTGAACCACTTCCTTCGTATAGCCTACCTGCAGTTGCAAATAGGACGCATGCCACGCGAAGACCGTGACTGGACGCTAAGACCAGGCTACAAGAAGAACGTGACGCTGCGCTTGAAGGACCTCCAGTTCGATTATAACACGGAGGACGACAACCCCATCTCCCTCTGCCGAGGCCTAGGACCTAAGGGCATTGCCGGCCGATATAGCATGCTCACACCCTAGCAGTAAGGCGACCCATATCTGTGCATTCCGGACTAGCTCGCTACGGCGGTGAAAGCCAAGACTACGCATGTCAGCACCGCAGCAATGGACGTGCCCGGCCAGCCTCTGTAGGACAGTCGCGCCCTGCCAGCGCAGGCACCAGCACCGCAGCCACCGACTCTAGGTCCATCACGACGCAAATCCAAGTACGCAGCAGCCCCCGAGGACAAGCTCGCCTTGCCTGTGAAGCCGCCTACTCTGTGGGTGCCGCCAGCACCTAAGCCCAAGGGGCAACGGCCGGAGGCTGCGGGTTGGCCCGAGCTGCAAGCTCGGGAGGAATGATCTTGCCGAAGAGGTGCGCGTTAGCGAGGTCGGACTCGTCTGGGGAGTAGTCAGGAGATGGCACCAAGAAGGCACCCATAGGATCCCAGGTATGATCGAGGTTGTACCACTGATGGTTTTCATCCGTCACCATCTCGTCTTATTTGAAAATCGTGTTGCCCTGGATAATGCGCTCCTAGACGCCCAAAGGGTCAAAGACAGGGTCAGCGGCGACCTTCTTTGGCAGATCGTAGTATTGCAGCGTCGGCGCGGCCTGCAATCCATTAGGAATAGCGCCATCTCTAAGCGTCTAGATATAGGCGACGAATATAGCCGAAGCGTATGCTAGGTCGATCCAAGTCGGCCAGCATACTAAGCTAAAGTCCACTAGGCAGTGACGGTCGAGGACGAGAAGCGGTACGCCTTTGCCCTTGTTGGCGGCATACGTGCCGTTCTAGTAGCGGCCGCCACCTGTGAGCTAAGCGTATTGCTCAGTGCGCGACGCATTCGTGGCCTTCGTGTCCGACGGCGCCTCGTTGGTGCAGAGGGCCGACGTGTGACCCTCGCCACGAAGCGTATAGGCGTTGCGAACGGTGACAGCAGAAAGGTGAGAAGAAGGAGGAGGATTGTGAGAAGGGGAGCGTCCTTACTCGGGATTATCCCTGCTATGCTTCTCTGCATTGCTGGCTCTATAAACGATGTGAAGAGCGCAGTATAGGATATAGTTGCGGAGGCGAAGGCATGGATGGTGAAGAGCATGGGTACCCTCACGCCAGATCAGCTCAGCCGTACACTTTGTGGTTGATGGTCCTAGGAACGACGCCAACACCATCCAACGAATCAGCGAGAAGGAGGAGAAGGGACAAGAGCAGCGAGAATGGGTCTCATTCTCGCCTATTAACAGTACATTTCTGCCCGAAGGCGCACCCAACGCCTTGCTCGTGGGTATCTCGCGGAAGCAGACAAGCAGGTGAGGTGGTAAGCACCTCAGAACATGATATAATTGCCGCCCAGGTAGCCGTTGTTCACCAAGTACCAGCCCCAGACATAGTCACCATGGTGGTGGAATCTCACCTCCACCACCGGACCGCCGCCCACCCACCAAGCCGACGCCACCGGCACGAACTGCGCCAGCTTGTTGATGGCGAGCCGAACGTCGTGGCTGCTGCCGGGACGCGGAGCGATTCTGATGCTGCGTCGTGCTGTGCTGGGCAGCACGCGGAGCTCGCGGCCGCCCAGCAACAGCGGTTGCTGGAAAGAGTGCGAGCGGGCCGCCTCGGCGACTTGGAAGCTCTGCGAAAATTAGCACACGAAGGCATCGAGGGCAAAGCCGCACTTACTTGGAACTGCACGAGGGCGTAAGGCTTCTGTGGTGAATTGTGACGACGTCCCACCCTCACGTAGCACGTGCCGTAATGCGAGAACATCTCGTGCAACTGCACTGTCATGGCGTAGTTGGTGAAGGAGGCTGGTAGGCTGGAAGCACATGTTAGCCCGAGTCAAAGGCAGTACGTGAGGACGACAGCAGCACTTACTTGCCGACGAACAAGCAGGCCTCGGCCGGCAGGCCGCCCTGGGACCACTTGAACAGCTCCCTGAGATATGGAAGCTTGGCGGGGTTGAGCTCGACGAGGAAGGCGCCGAAGCGATGGATTTTTGGAGCGGCGACGTGAGTTTCCTCTCCGTCTTGCTCGCCTCGCGAGCCGGCGGTGGTGATGTCGATCTCGCTGCTGGAGATGTCGACGCCAAGAGAGGCTGGAGCCGAGGCGACGGATGCTGGGCTCGATGGCGGAGACGGGACTGGAGCATTGTCTGGCGTCTCATGGGCGACGATACCGGAGTCGACTTCTTTGGAGGCGCGGTATGGAAAGGGCGCACGCGGCTTGGCCAAGTGGTTGAGGAGTGCTTGGTTGCACTTTAGTTTGAAGGGAAATGAGCCAGTTGCAAGCGAATATGACATGCTCTCGTCGAATGGGTCTCCGGTCTCGTGCAGCGGTGGCAAGTTGACGTACGATGGCGCGACCATTGTGGATGTTGTCGAGCTGGTGCTGATGCAGAGGAGGATGGTATGGATGGAAGAAGATGTCTTGAAGGAGGATGCGCCTGAAGGAATGGCTCTGTCTGATGCTGGTGGAGGTCGATGATGTCTTGAAGGAGGATGCGCCTGAAGGACTGGCTCTGTATGATGCTGGTGGAGGTCGATGATGTCTCAAAGGAGGATGCGCGTGAAGGAATGGCTCTGTCTGATGATGGTGGAGGTCGATGATGTCTCAAAGGAGGATGCGCGTGAAGGAATGGCTCTGTCTGATGCTGCTGGAGGTCGAAGAAGAAGAGAGGAAAAGTTTGGGGGCCGAAAAAGTTCTTATACTCGCGCGAACAGTCAGCACAGGCCGTGACCGGGATCGCGCCATGGACGCACAGATGCTGGACTTTGGGAAGGTCCAGTGGGTCCACTTTCACGGATCTGGCAAGGCGCTCTTTCCTCGCGGCTGCCCATCACGCCAAGCCGCAAGGCTGACGCGATGGCATTGTACAATGCCGGTGCAAATGTACAGCTTCATTGGTATGAGGTCGTAGCGCAGGCTCGTACGAACCTCCACCACCAATTGGGCTGTTTGGAAGCGGCGTGGTGGTGGAGGTACCGCTTCTGAGGCTGGAGCAGCAGCACTTCATCTCGAAGCGCGAAGCTTTGGGCAGCCGCGTTCCGTATTACGCAGACGCCTCCCATTGGCTGTTCCGTGCACGTGCAGTGCATTGTGTCTGCGAAGATCGGCAGGTGCAGGTGCAAGCTCTTTCGTTCTCGCTCCGTCGTTGCTGGGCTTGAGTGCAGTTTGGAGCGAGCAGGCAAGGCAATTCGGAGTGATGAGCGATGTGAAGCATAATTGCCTCACTTCAGAGCTTCATTGCCATGCTCATATCGGTGCGTCTAGGTCGAGCAAGTCCTCGAGCTATGTCGAAGTAAGGCCTCGGAAGGCTATTCGAGGATTGGATGTGAGGTAGTGATGGTGTCGCTGCTACAAGTCTCGTCAGCTCGAAGCCTCTCTGCCACGAAGCGATGGCTGCGCTCATTGAAGCGAGACCAGGCTGAGCTGACTGTCACGGTGGATTGCGAGGCTGTAATGCTTTCGTAGTCCACACATTTTGTGAGGTAGTGACGCTTTCCCTGCTATAAGTCACGTCGGCTCGAAGCCGCTCCGCCATGGAGCGATGGCTGCGCTCACCGAAGCGAGACCAGGCTGAGGTGGCTATCACGATGGATCACGAGGCGTTAATGCTTTCGCGGCCCAGACATTTTGTGAGGTAGTGACGGTTTCGCTGCTCTAAGTTATGCTAGCTCGAAGCCGCTCCGCTACGAAGTGATCGCTGTGCTCACCGAAGCGAGACTAGGCTGAGGTAGCTATTACGATGGATCACGAGGCGGTTATGCTTTCGAATGCGATGGCAGTACATGTAATTGCACGGAAGGAGCATTTGCTGCTGTTCATGAAAGGCTCTTGATGTTAGAGCACGCTAGTATGTGTGCGAAGGGAATGGAATACCAAGCACTTGCTTCTGACGGTGTAATCAGTGCCAATCACGCTGCCTGTGGCAAGTGACACTAAGATGTTTCATTGCCTGTCAAAACTGCAACCGCCCGGCCGTTTAGGATGCTGGGCGAGAGATTGCGCACGGCCTTTGAGCTGATCGAGCAAGAGACTGTGGCCACCGGCGAAGACAATATTTTGATGAATGGAGCGGAGGAAAGGACACGGTGAGCCAGGCGGCCTTCGAAGTGATGCCATTGTCGACTTCCGGTAGCTCTTCAAGCAAAAGGGACTTCGAACTACCAGCCGTAACCATCCACTCCGCCAGCACGTCCACCGCCACGGCTAAAGACACCGTACAAAGCACCACTACAACATCTTGACAATGGACAGCAATACACCATACTACAGCCCTCTGGCTTCTTCTAGTTCCGCCGCCACAAACACTCCCGCCACGCCGACACTATCATCACCAGACCGGCTCTCTCTAGCAGCTGTTGACTCTGCCGAGACTCTTCTAGCAACGACCACCACCACCACCACTCAAGGCAAGAAACGCCTCCACTACCCGACACTCGTCACGGCACTGAAGTCCACTCTGAGCAAATTTAAGAAGTGGGCGAAGAAGAAGGAGAAGGACGAGCGGCCGCGCGTGAGGATAGACGATATCACTGGAGAGACACTGGATGGATGGGAGAGGCTTCGCTGAGAAGCGTTGGACGAAGGCGCCCGCATCTTTTTTTGGGTCATTTGTAAATTTTGGAGATGCTCAAGTGCTCGCAATGGAAATTGAAACCTTTTTTGTGATCCTGCCATCCTAGTCTCGCCACGCTGCTCAACTCTCCATCAGCTTGGTAGGGGTTCTGACAAGGTTGAGGAGGAGGAGGTCAACGCGTCGCGTGAGTTCTGGAATGCTCGCTTCCTCTATCTATGCTTCCGTCATTTTTCGCTGAGAATGCGTAGACTGTGGTGCCGGCGTTTGTTCTGGGGCATACACAGATGAAAAACTTAGAGAGGCAGAAGAGAAGGTCCGGGGGAAGATGTCAAGTACTCACGATACGAGTGCAAGCGGTGCGCTCGTGTGACACCTCTTTCGCCGTGCAGCCCAAGATACAATCAGCTCTATACAGATTTCTTGATACGAAAGAGCGAGGCAAGGTAACACGGAGCGTGATCCTAAAAACCTCCACCTGCTCGATTTACGCCTCCGTGTTCTTGTCAGGATAGTGCACGCCAAGCATGGCCGCGCCTACTAAATCCCACGAGAAACAGCAGAGTTGTACGAGTAATCGTGTGCAGACTGCTCACAAAAGTACTGTCTATAGTCTTTCCTCGCGCGACAAGTGTCGACAAAGGAAACGGAAGGTTGACCAGGGGCATAGAATCACGCTCGCTGTGGCAGGGGAGCATAGGTCCAGGTAAGACACAGAATATTGTTTGGAACCACTCACTTCGTACTAGATTTCCAGACCGGGCTATTTGTCATGCCTTCGAGATCTAAGCCGACACAAAAATAACTCATCGTAATCGAGAGCTGTTCCCGAGTACAAGTGCTGAGATCAGCGTCGTGAAGCAATTCCCTCCGTCGTCTTGTAAGTCGGATGGTCGTCTGTAGAGCTCTGGACCTAGGCATTAAGAGCAAAGAGACGGAGCTGCTTCGCGTGATCAACTGCAGTTGCACAAATGAGGCTCGCTGGCGGCTCTTGGATCGTGGCACTCTTCGAGCATTGCAGGTCGAGATCAGAGTGTTGTGTGATACTAAGCTTCCGCGAGTCCGATTCCAGATGAAAGCACTGCCATGCTTACGGAAAGTCCTTCCATCGCATGTGACATCTCGATGCTTTCGAATGTATCTTCCAACCCTGGAGTCTTATGTTGTTCCACTCGAGGACTGCTGAAGATATGGTGCCTTCAAATTTTTCGCAGTCATTACCGGAGAAGACGAGGTATCCTGTATTGCTCTCTACATCTGAGCTTTGCTGGCCATCCTCGGTGCCCAACCTCTGAGCATTTCCTTTCCACCTCATCCAGAATTTGGGGTTGCGAAATGTATTCTTCTCGAAAGCTCTGGCGCGACGATTGATTCTTTCGTCTTCGGCTTCCATGGCACTTTGCTCGTGCTTCGTATCATCTTCATCGTCGTCATCGACATCATCGTCGGATCTGCTGTTCAGATCTGGATCCTTCTCGGCATCGGAATCTTCTTCCAAATCCTCCACAATACTTCTCAGAACCTTGCGGCTTCCAGCAAGTACAAGCATGCCGTTCACTTTGCCAGCGAAGTCAAAAGTGCCAAGAAATCCGTTATCCTCCGGAGTCAGTCCGTGTATCTCTAGCCAGGATTGAGGATCCTGTTGTGAGAGTTCCGAGTTCGCAGCCTTCTTGGTGCCAGAGCCTAGCTGAACTTCATAGCGTCCTAGAGCTTGCAGAGGATTGAATGTTGATCCATTGGCCTTGTTCTTGCCACCTTTGTGTTTTCGTGAGCGAGCATGAGGAATTCGTCTGGACTGCAATGCAGCATCAATAGGATCATGACGGTCATGCATAGAAGACTTGTATTGCAGTTTCTTCCGAGGATACGATTCTTTTCTTGTCAACAGTTAGGGTTGCAGCGATGAGGTCGGAAGCCAAGCTTTCGAAGTGGAGCCGCTGAAAGGCTTGGCTTCCGCCGGTTCTCCACTCACTCATCCTCACCTACTCTGGGCATGAATCTTCGAAAACGTACATGTACACCACATGTGGTCGCGGCTGAGTCTTGGCCTATCTCGCGCCACGTCTCGACATGCTGACCGCGGCGGCCGAGTATGCCGTGTTTTCGGCACGCGGCACGCGATCGCGCTAGAATATCACCTTCACCCAGGAAGATCTGCAAAAGTATGTTGGACTTGCCGCGCTCAGAGAGGTCGCGAGCGGGGTGCTCTCCTACCAACACTACACTAGTTACACCACATGCTAAGGTAGCACTGGGGGGCGTGACTTGCGGGACAGTATGCCGCCAGAACTTCATTCGAACTTCATCCGATTTCTCCTCTCCAGCTTGGATACAAGGAATTGACCACCAGATCACGCTCGCCAAGACAAGATGGTGCTTCGAAAAACACCAACGGGCACATGGTTGGTACCAGCCAGCAACGGCATTCAACACATCACGACTACCGCTAACATTCTGCTGGTTGTAGGATGCCAGCATGGGTGCCAGAGTCGACTTTCATCCTGTCGTTCCTACTCATCATCTGCTCCATCGTCCAATCTAGCACGGGCGGCTACGACGGATCTATGCTCAACGGCCTCAACATCCTGCCCTCATATACAGACTACTTCAAGCTCAACTCTGCTACAACTGGTCTCAATACAGCTTCGGTGTTCATTGGGGGCTTCTTTGGTCCAATCTTCTCGGGAGTGATGGCAGACAAGCTTGGTCGACGACCTGCAATTTTCTGGGGCACCATCGTCACCTTCCTTGGCATCCTTCTTCAGACAGCAGCTCAGAATATTGCCATGTTTGTAATTGCCAGGATCGTTCTCGGCTTCGGTTCAGCAGTGTCCGGCATCGCAGGAGGAGTGTACCTATCTGAGACCTACCCTGCAAGATACCGCGCTTGGGGCGTCGGACTACTCAACGACTTCTATTATGTCGGTGCTCTCATTGCAGCAGGCATCACCTTGGGAACCGGAACGTGGCAGAGTACCTGGGCTTGGCGCGCACCATCTCTGTTTCAAGGCATCTTCTCAGCCCTGTGTATCATCATCTTACCGTTTGTACCTGAATCCCCCAGATGGCTTGTTAACCAAGGTTTCCTCGAAGAAGCAAGACTCGTCGTCGCGCAGACGAATGCCAATGGAGATCTCACGCACCCGATTGTGCTCGCAGTGTACAAGGAGATTGTCGACACTCTGAAATATGAGAAAGAAGAGAAGCCCACCATGACACCCAGAGAGATCGTCAAAGATCCCGTTGCTCGGAAGCGTCTTCTGGTCGGGATGTCGGCTGGACCTTTCTCCTGCATCGCTGGAAACATCATTGCTTCGTACTACCTAGGCGCAGAACTGGACACAGCTGGCGTTACTGATAGTCTGGATCAATTGAAGGCGAACGTCGTGCTCAACGTCTGGTGCCTGTTCTGTGCTCTGGGGGGAACGCATTTGATCGCCAAGTGGGGCCGAAAGCCGACAGCCCTTGTGACACAATGTCTTTTGGTGGCATGTCTTTTCATCATTGGCGGACTTGCGAAGCTGTACGCTTCAAACCCGGATGGCGCATCTCAAAGCCTGGTGTACGGAAATGTCGCAGTCATGTTCATGTTCCAAGGCTTCTACTCAATCGCATGGACACCATTGCTTTACCTCTATCCGCCGGAAGTCATGAACTATGCAATTCGTGCCAATGGACTTGCTTTCTCCTACTTCCTGCTCAATGCATTGGCGTAAGTCTGATATTTCGCCGGCGCTGAACATCAACTAACATGTCTTAGAATGGTCCTCGTCTTCGTCATGCCAATCGGCTTGACTAACATTGGCTGGAAGATGTACATGGTCAATGGCGGCTGGGATATCATTGTCGTTGTGCTTATCGCAGTGTACTGGGTAGAGACCAAGGGCAAGACTCTTGAGGAGATCGATGCCATCTTCGAAGGCCAGAAGCATTCTGATGTGCCTGACGTGGAGCTCGTTCGACAAGGCAAGGCTACCCTCGATTTGGTAGGCGTGGAGAAGCAATTGGAGACACAGGTCGTCACAATGAAGCACGAGTAGATGTTTGTAGCATCATGGCATCAGCCCGATGCAGTCTCCTCATCGCAATGTTGTCCTCTCCACAATACGTTTCTTGACTGGCACGTTCGGCCAAGTGATAGATTCATTTGCACGGACATCTTTTATCCATGCCAAGGCCCGACTCCAGCCAAATTCGGATCAGGTAGCTCACCAGTTCCAACGAGTCGCACCACTTCCTCGCCACATTCATTACCTTGGTCGTCTTTACTGGAGAGGTATGCTCTAAACCAGCGGTTTTCATCAATCTCCGTCCCTCCAGCATTACACTCCCCACTCAAGAACTTGACTCCACACTTCCCACCTCCCCACCTCCACAATCGATACACAAGACTTCTATAGAACAGTCTCCACACCACCTCATTAAAACATCCGACATTCCTGATCTCCACGCACTGCACATTGCGCAGACCTTTCAACGTCTCGCAGAAAATGTATGCCAATGTATGTGACTGACTCAGATCTGCGATTTCTGCAAACGAGTCGACGTAGTTGGTCGGTCTTTTGGGGATTATGAGGAGTGTGTCTAGATGTAGACTCGGATGGCCGAATGGAAGGCCTAGCCATGCTTCGTTCAGTGCTCGTAAGTGACCGATTCGTGCTGTGAGAGTGATGTGTCGAATTGCACCGATTTTCGAGGCGGAGAGGGGTCGCGAGCGGATGTCGAAGAGTTCTGGATATGTGCATTCTCCTTCGAGGCGGAAGGGCGTCATGGATAGAGCGAGGAGCTGTGCTTCGGCTTGGATCTGCTTGCAAGTTCGAAGGAGACCGAGGTGCGTGGAGGTTCGATCGGCGTGGTAGAGTTTCGGAAGGGATGCTTTTGGAGTTTCTGGGTTCAATGCTGTCGCTATCGCATCTGGTCTGACTGGAAGGGTGGGATAGAAGTCTGATGCATTCGGCTGGAAGATGTGCATGTAAATTTGATTGCGGAGCTCGCAGGGGATCGTGAGGAAGGAGGCACGCTCAGGTGCAGTGGTAGGCGTATCCATAATGATAGCTAAGGAGAGTAATCAAAGAGACGCAGAGAAGGGAGGAGTAGGCATAGCTTATTATGGAGTAGGATGTCACGCGTACGAGTTGTCGGTAGACGCGTGGTATCAACTACCGGTTGTGAGGCTCAATGAGGTGCATGGATAACAAAGACGAAGAGGAAGGAGATACCGCGACAGAAGTACATCGACCATCTTGACCATTCATGTCGTTATCTCCTCGTGATGTGCTGTCGCTCGGGAGGTGAGCTGCAGAAGGAGATCGGCCGAGGATACCAGGTCGAACCGTGATGGTTCTCGGAGCAGGGGACTCAGAAATCCTGACCACCGAAATCACCGACCTGACCACCGAATTGACCAATCGGATAGAGCCGTAGTAGTCCGTACGGTGGACCGTGCGTAGCCTCGGCTTAAGTTAGCCCCACTTGCCGAAAGTTAATCGGAATCGACTAGGAATCGACTAGGAATCGACTAGGAATCGACTAGGAATCGACTAGGAATCGACTAGGAATCGACTAGGAATCGACTAGGAATCGAATAGGAATCGAATAGGAATCGACTAGGAATCGAATAGGAATCGAATAGGAATCGAATAGGAATCGAATAGGAATAGGAAAGGAATAAGAAAGGAATAGGAAAGGAATAGGAAAGGAATAAAAGATAAAGTAGATTTCTATAGCTTTAGATAACTTTAATAACTAAAAAACTTATAAATCTAAAACTAGATACGCCTAGTAAGTATAAAAGTAGAAGCATATACAAGTTAAAGCCTAGCGCTACAATTTCACAAGCTATAACTAAGTAAATAAATTACTTTAATAAGACTCTTAAAGAATTCTAGTATAATTTAGTTAGAAATTGTATAGAAACTAAATAGGTCTAGAAGGCAAATATAGTCCTAGCTTTACTTCTAACTGGATACTACTAGAGTGGTTCTAGGTAGAACTAAGTAGTAGATCTAATTCTAGGTATAATAATATCTAGTAGTGTTTTTATATAGGTACATATCTAGTATATAGGGCTATATTATTAGTAATCTATATTCGTTTGTTATAGGAGTATATTTTAGTACTATCTATATCCTACTTATATTCTGATTAAACTCGCTACTAGAATTAGTGCTATTATTAAAGTAGATTTTTCTTCTAATTAAACTAAGTCTTATTATTTTAATATAATAATATTTTCTATATAGGTAAGCTATTTAGTTATTTTATTTAGTACTTAGCTAAGTTTTTCTAAAATTCTATATAAATCCTTTCTAAATTCTTTCTATTCTGTTTTCTTTATATTCTATTCGTATTAGCTACTATAATTATTTTTTATTATCTAAATAGTTAATAGTCTCTAAGTCTAGTTAGAGAAAGTCTTAGTAATTAACTAATATAATTTTTAAATATAGCTAATCTACTAGCTAATTAGTTATTTTAGTATTTAGCTAAACTATTTCTAAAATTCTATCCGAATCCTATCTAAATCCTATCCGAATCCTATCCGAATCCTATCCGAATCCTATCCGAATCCTATCCGATTCCTATCCGATTCCTATCCGATTCCTATCCGATTCCTATCCGATTCCTATCTAATTCCTTTCTAAAATCTTTCTAAGTCCTTTCTATATTCTATTTTAATCCTAGTTAAATTCTTTTCGAGTCCTATTAAATTAAATCCTATTCGAATCTAATTCGAATCCTATTTATTTAGATTTCATTTAGATTTAATTTAGATTTAATTAAGTTCTATTTGAATTTCATTTAATTTCTATCTAAATCTACTACTAAAACTCTTAAACTCCTTTATATTTTTAAAATTATATTCTATTTACTTTCTATTCTATTTATATTCTATTTGTATTCTTAATATTTTCTATTTATATTAGCTACTATAATTATTCTTTATTATTTTAATAGTATTTTATAGTCTCTAAGTCTAATTAGAGAGAATCTTAGTAATTAGCTAATATAATTTTAAAATATAGCTAATTTAGTAGTTAGCTAAACTATAATTTAACTATTTCTTAGATTCTATTTAAATTCTATCTAATTCCTATCCGATTCCTATCTGATTCCTATCCGATTTTTAAATTGTATTTAATTCCTATTTAATTCCTATCTAAATCCTTTCCGAATCCTTTCCGAATCCTTTCCGAATCCTTTCCGAATCCTTTCTAAATCCTTTTAAAAAATCTTTACCCTATAGTAATTATTATAGAAGTAAAAAAATAAAAGATTATTTATTTCTTATTGAAATTTCATTTAAGTTCTATTAAAAATATAATAAACTTACTCAATGGTTTCGCATTCCAATTAGCTTAACCTCGGCTAACCCCCTATCATTTTAGAGTTCCTAACCACCGCGGTGGTCAGCTCGGCGATTTTGGTGGTCAGACCGGCGCTGCGCTCGTCGGAGCAAATCGGATGTGAAGCTCTTCGTCCATCAGTCCGTCAGAGATCCTGATTCCTGGCATTTCTTACCTGGAAATCGAGTCAGACGGCCAGGTATACAGGCTTCTTGAACCTGCGTGCAAAGAAGACCTCATCCGTAATGAATCCGACGAAGAAATCCAGACGACTGCGTCATAAGCCATTTGCTTTTCGTGCGTCGAAGAGCTGAAGACACAGTCATTCCCGATGGCTATTGACGCCACGCAATTATGTGGCAAGAAAGCTGGGAAAGTGTTCAATAATCCGATGTGTTGTCCTGCAGCGGACGAAGGCGGCAGGGCCTCTTCTTGGCTATTGACTTTACAGCTTCGATCAGCTCCTCAGCACTTCGAACCTTTGCCCAAGGGATACTGACAATTCCATCAGACTCCGGAGAAAGAACCAACATGAAGCAAGAATATCATCAAGTGCCGAACGCAGAAGGAAAGGAGTGCATAGTCATCGTCGGCACGGGCTGGGCAGGCTTCAATGTCTCGCAGTATCTGGATGACAAGAAGTTCAACATCACCGTGGTTTCGCCGGAAGAAACAAGTCCATATACTCCGCTGCTTGCTAGTGCAGCATGTGGACTTTTTGATTTCTCGCTGGCGGAGGAGCCAATTCGACACAAAAGCAAGCGCATCAATTACTTCAAGGCCACTGTCCAATCTGTAGATTTCCAGAACCGGATCTGCAGATGTCGCTCGGAATGCGATGCTCATGATGGGAAGCAGCGTCAGTTTGAGATCACATATGATCGACTTGTCCTGGCTCCGGGATGCATCACGAATACTTTCCACACGCCCGGCGCAGATGAGCATGCTTTCTTCGTCCGCAACGTTGCAGATGCGAAAAAGGTCCAATACCGCTTGAAGCAGCTTCTCGAACTCGCTTCGCTGCCTGATGTGAGCAAGCAAGAACAGCGAGAGCTGCTGCACATTGTCATTGTCGGAGGAGGACCAACCGGAGTGGAGATCTCAGCCGAGATGTCTGACCTTTTCAATGAGGACATGACGAAGCTTTATCCCAACCTGGCTGGAAAGATGAGCATTGCCATTCATGATGCAGCACCGTTCATCCTAGGGGCATTCGAAGACGCGCTGCGACAGCACTCCATCAAAAGCTTTGCCAAGCGAAATGTGAACGTCATCACAGATTCTAAGATCAAGAAGGTCGAAAGCGACCACATCGAAACTGAAGTCGAGGGTCGAATCGGATGTGGTATGGTGATCTGGACGGCAGGAAATAAGCAATGTCCTCTGGTAGATTCTCTGGACGTTTGCAAGACCGACAAGCTTCCTCGAATCATGACTGATCAGTATTTGCGTGTCCTCGACGCGCAGAAGCAACCAATGAAGGACGTATACGCACTGGGCGATGCTGCCGATATCAAGAAGTATTTCTTGCCCACGACCGCTGAAGTCGCAGTTCAGAAAGCAGAATATCTTGCCAATGCCATCAATCGAGGCATTGAAGGGCAGAGGCCTTTCCAGTATAGACAAAAGTCGCTTGTTGCTTACATCGGCGGTCATGATGGAGTTATCCAGGGTAAAGACGACTGGTCTGGTCCGAGAGCTTGGGCAGCTTGGCGAAGCAAGAACCTGTTGTGGACTCGGAGCTGGCGGCGGAAATTCATGATTATGGCATATTGGTATCTGGATTGGGTTGGCGGGAAAGAAATCGCCAGGCTGTAAAAATTGTCATTTTGTGCTCCGTTCCACTTGGATTCTGGCGTAAGGAAAAGTCATGTAAGATTAAATGAATCTCTCTTCAGCTCGCATTCTCAATATCAGAGCCACAAACCAGCAGCACGCTTGCTCTTCTGGAACCTATCCTCAAACACATCATCCACCTCCAACCCCTGAAATCCGGACATCTCTTTCAAGACTTCGAGCGCAGTCCTGTCCTGCACCTGATCTGGGTGCAGCTCTTCCACTCGAAGAAACCCACGCTTGATTGAGATCTTCTCAAGAGTGGTTTCATGCTCCTTTAAAAAGCTAGCCAATGGTCGGCCACGTATCCCAAGGCTTTCAAGGTGGAGCTTCTTCAGGCTGCGAAATTTAGCTGCGAAGATGGCGCTCGCTATCCGATGGAGGTTGAGACCTCGCAGTCTGCATCCACCACAGCCGGGAAGGGCATGGATGACGTGAAGCACCTCAAGGTCGGGTGCTGCGGCGATGACAGGCATGAGTAGCCCCGAGCCAGCATCTTGGTTATGCGTGTCTGCGACGAGCTCCGAGATGAACAGTTTGAGCGACTTGAGGTTCCGGAAAGCGTTTCCATACACTTGAATCTCGTAATCGCGAAGTTTCTGTGTCGTGAACGTCCATCTCGAATTTCCAATCTCCAGATTTGGTACTGGCAAATCACTCCGTCTCATCTGCTCCAAAATGTCGATCAAATTGCGTCTTGTGGTTGGCGCCATGTCGCTGCAGTGTTGCTGGTGATGTTGACCGCTGCATTTGCATCCCTGACGAGCGAGGATCTGGACGTCAAAGTTGTTCCCAGTGGCACGAAGTGAATTGAAGAGCTGTGCAAGCTTCTGGCGAATGATGAAACGCTTTTGCAGCACCCGACCATCCTCACCGCGACGACTCGTCTCCGACTTGAAGCAGGTCATGCAATCATCGATGGCAATCGTAAATTCCCTGATCAGCGCACCAAACACTGGATGCTGCGCGATGTTGATGGCTCGATCTAGACTATTCTTTCCTTCGTGGGACATAGAGACTTGGATGCGAGGGAAGAGTGTTGAGCAGTACGTCCTGAAAACCTTGTCTGCGCACTCTCGCGAGGTCTGACGAAGTGAGAGTAAGTCGACGCGGTCGATCTTCTTGGCTATCAATTCGAATATTTCGGGTGGTAGCTGAGCCAAGTTGGCTTCGCTCGCTCTATCAGGAGTCGAGTCGTTCATTGTCGCAAGTGTGGATCGATGTAGTTGATTGCAGATGCGTGTGTCTGTGGTGGTGGTGGTGGTGGCGGTGACGGAAGTCGAAGATGAAATTGTTGAAGATGTTCAAAGAAGGAAGAAGGCTTGCTCAGAAGAGATCGGAGGAAATAGCCTCGAAGCGATGTTGAAGTGGACTCGCCTTTATCATTCACTTGCTCAGGCTTACCTCACAGCGAGGCTTCTGAGTTCGATTGCCTGGAGCAAACACTACAGGCTTGCTACAGGGTTCGCCATTGGCGCAGCCGAGACACAATCGAACAGTCTCATCCCTTCGGCTGCGCATTGGACTTGCTACTGCAGCATCACAGTCTATCCATCAAAATCTTCTACTCCTTCCCACAAACTTTCTTATGCTCTTTCCACGCCGCCTTCTGACACATCTTGTTGCAGTACATGACCTTCCGAGACCCACCACAAGCCAGAAGCCCACTCCCGGTCATCCCACAGCAGCCACATGTCCGATACGTCTTCCCGACACTCTCGATGTGCTCTCTTGTGACAGAACTCATCATCTCGAAGCGACGAGTTGAGAACTTCTCAACGAGCTCCGTCCACTCACCAGATTCTTCTGCCTGGAAAGGATTGCCGGCGGCTTTCGCCTTCGCGCCATCTTTCTGCTTGGAGTCGAAGTCACAAAAGCTGTCCCAGAACTTCCTCATCCAGACGCCGGTATATTGGCTCTGAAGAAAATTAAGCTTGTCCCATTGTCCCGCACGTCGGAGCGAGGTCACGATTGGTTTCTTCTTCGAAATGCCAGGCGCTACGACGCTGTCTATACAATCCACATGGAATGAATTCAAATCTTCACCATCCGCGCGGGCCACCTTGGTGTTTTGTTGGCGTTCTGGTCACTTCCTTCATTGAGTATTTTGAGATTCGCTAGTATCTTAGAAGTTGCGAGAACTTTTAAGGGTAGACCGAAGCCAACGGAGACTGGCGAGAGGATGCAGAGATCGGATGAATTCAGGTTGAGAAACACTGGAGTTGAGCTTAAGGCTGGCATACTGTCCGGAAGGACGGACTAGGAGGATGGCAAGCGTGGAATCGGCCATGTTTCCGCGTGTAGGGCTTCCTGGTATGACTAATGACTTGGGAGATTTGAGATCGATTTATTTGACTGTCAAGGGGCTTGTTTGCTTGTCGTGACGGCAGTAGAATTGTCTCGTAGGAAGCCAGAACCGCTGGTCGGGTTCTGCTCCTGCACAATTTGAAGATCTATTCGCCAGTCGCAGTGACGTGCGGGTCTTTGAATGAGATTTCGAGTCTTGCCATGCTGGAATCACGAAGGCACTGGTAGTGACAGATGCTCATAGACGCTCTTCAGCTTCCCTGTCAACCTCATCGTGCTTCATCCTCACCATCCAAATCAGCAGTCACATGTCGATCTCCACGCGAGGCGAAGCGCTGCTCGCCAAGCTGCGACAGGACAGAGTGTCAGTTAACGGAGCTCTCATAGCGCACTTCAGTTGATGGCATGAGAAAGGCGTGACATCGGATACTGGAATCACGTGCACAAATGGACTCTTTCACAGATACGTACGGCTTTGCGGGAGCCAAAGGCTACCTTTCTGTTGCAGACTATGCCTCTCCCGTCCCGTGTGATTTCCCGCACACAAATTCCAGCTCCATCAATGCTCCTGGGTTCGCTGCGTCTAGTATCCCTCCTTGCCCCACTTGTTGTACTTCTCATGCAGTTCCTGTAATCAGTCAAGTCAGAAGGGCAATGCTCTTCAACGTGGAATGATTCTCTGCCTACCTTTGGCAGGTTCACGTTGGGAATGATGACCTCGTTCAAAGCAGAAGGCGCGTCCTTCTTGCCTCGGCTTGGATCACCACCTGGGTGATACTGGTATCTCGCATCGCCACCGGTCTTCCAAGGCTCGGAGTGCTCGACGCGTGCAACCGGGTTCTCGGAGGATGATGAGGTTGGGTTTCGGGAGAAGTGCCATCCAGCAAGAGCGAAAGCACCGGTCATGATGCTGAGAAGGATCTGGGGAGCGGAGCAGATCAGCATGCAGCCATTGACTCTCCAGAGCGCCGCCACGGCCTACGCTACAGCATCACAGGGTATTCTGGACATACATAAAGCTCAGGATCTCTCTTGGCGCCCTTGCGAAGCACATCACCGTCTCTTTCGGTGGCCGCACCGGCTGGTGCACCTGCTCCGCCAGATTGAAAGCGGCGCTGAGCTGGGCGAATTGTTTGGCGCGTGGCCAGGGAAAGTGCTCGTCTCGCAATCATCGACATGGTGGAGTTGTTCGTCGTGCTTTTCTTAGACTTTCCCGTTGAAGTGATGTCAAGAGCTGCTTCTGACGCGGGAGTGGCCGGCCGGGAGTGTCGCCGGGGGCGGAACGCTCTTGTCCAGCTCGAGCCACCTCCTGATCTCCGCGTTGGAATTATACTGTAGTACGGGTGCAGGGCCAAGGGGAGAACGTCAACGTCGCATGATGAATGATGCACCGCCCCAAGAGCATTCCAACTATTGCCAGCATGCAGTAGACATAGAAAGCGACTGCGGGCCCCGTGGAGGAGGACTATGAATGCATCGCCGTCGCCATCGCCATCGCCATCGCCATCGCCATCGCCATCGCGACTCCGCCCCCCTTTGACCCTGCGCTCCCGGTAGAGCATTTGCATTTGCATTTGCGGTAGACGGCAGCAATGGCCAGCACCTCGCGCACCACCGCTGGCACCACCACGCACACGCACACCGCCATTGAGCAGAATACCCACTCCCACTCAGCCATACCCACATTCCTCGGCAACCATCCCTACCCCTCCAACCATGCTCGATCGACGACGGCCTCATCTAATGGAACCTCCGAATCCGACACAGCACAACTGAGCGTGCCGTCGACCACGGGCCCGGTAGGAGAGCCTGCCTTACCACCCTCGCGACCCACGAGCGGCGCTGTCACCCAGGAGGCATGGAGCCGCATCTCGTCTAGTCACGCATCCGTGCGATCACCGCCAAGCAGACACACATACACATCACTGCGGAGTAGAGATGGAGAGCCAAATTCGCGGCCAAGCTCAGGTACGGGAACGCACGTGCCTTCCATCGCAGCGCAAGCCTTCTTCCGGCCTATGAGCTCGCACAAGTTACAAACGCAGAGGGGCCAGAATGTAGCCCCACCTGCAAGCTCCCATTCGCATTCGCATATGCGCATCGCAAGCGTGGACGAGGACGGGGACGGGGACGGGGACGGGGACGAAGAGTCGACGACGCGCACCCATCGATACAGCGCCCATCGATACAGCACACATCGATACAGCAATGCCTCAGTAAACACTGCCCGAGAAGCCGAGCAAGCAACGAGGCACGGCGCATCTTCTCCGCCACCACTTCCGACCAGCAGAGGACTTTCGATAGCAACGAGCTCTGGGGAAGATGGAAGGCTAAATGCAGCACCCGCAAGCGTCATTAGCAAGAATAGTACGACACCTCTGACGCTCCAACAAGCAAGAGAGCAGCAGCAGCGGCAGCGACCGGACCCTCCGCCAAAATCGCCGCGCTCTCTGCGGCGATCCCTATCCCGTGGCTTCGGCTCGATACATTCGTCTAAGCGAGATATTCATGAACCAAGACCATCTGGACAAGGCCACGAGAAATTGCCATCTTTACCAAATTCGCCCTTGATGGAGAAGGCCAGAGATAAGCCACTACCTTCACAGCCACCACGACGGCAGCTGCAGCCCAGCGGCAAGAACTATGAATATTTCGCGGGAAACATGCTTTTCTTCGTCGAGGGACGCTGTCTTAACACCCGTGCTAAGCCCTTGAACGTCGCCACGTTTCTCCTCACCGTGATACCGGCAGCACTGTTCTTCGCGTTCGAAGCGCCCTGGATTTGGCATAATATCACGCCTGCCATCCCGATCGTCTTCGCATACGTATTCTTCGTGGCACTCTCAGCATTCGCCCATGCAGCCTTCAGCGATCCTGGCATCTTGCCAAGAAATATGCATCCGCATCCACCAAATCCAGAGGAGAAGGACCCTCTGGCTGTTGGGCCTGCGACAACCGAATGGGTGATGGTAAAGACATTCCCGTCATCTCGTCAACAGCCGCATCTTGAAGCCATGGCAGAAGACGGCGATGCAGCAGGTGCTACAACCGCGATGGAAGTACCTACAAAGTACTGCAAGTCATGTAACATCTGGCGACCACCTCGCACGCATCATTGCCGTGTTTGCGATGCATGCATTGAGACCCAGGATCATCACTGTGTGTGGCTCAACAACTGCGTCGGCAGGAGAAATTATCGCTACTTTTTCGCATACGTTGGCTTCAGCTCTTTGATGGCATTGATGCTTATCGCCTTTGCATTGACCCACATCGCAGTATACGCCAACCAGAGCGGCATAAGCTTTGGGAAATCTCTTACAGGGCGCACTGAAGAACGAGTGGCGTTTGCCATGTTCATCTATGCCGTACTTGCGCTGCCATATCCTGGCTCACTGTTCGGCTACCACCTCTTCCTGATTGCAAGAGGTGAGACCACGAGAGAGTACCTCAATTCTCACAAGTTCATGCAGAAGGACCGACATCGCCCGTTCTCCCAATCATCAATCCTTTCCAATTGGGCCGTCGTGCTCTTTCGACCGCGACCACCCTCATACATGGGCTTCAAAAAGAGTTACGATGATGGTGACCAGCGTCTTGGCTACACCCTGCGACGTAAGGAGAGACTTGAGAAAGAGAGACATGAGGCTGCACGATCTGCGAGCAGAGTCGATGGGCTTAAGAAGCGGTTTTCGGTAACGAGGGGTGCCGGAAACGCGAACGGTGGGATGGAAATGAAGGATCTTCCACCGACCCCTACCGCAAATGGTACAGCGAATGGTGCGCCTGGTGGAGTCACCAAGAAGAATAATCCTCCAGGTGGCATGAACAGCACGCCACGCTAGTGAATTGAAGCGGAAAGGATGATTGTCAAAAGCATGTTGAACGCATTTGATTCTCGCGAATGAGCTTTGTATGTTCTTGTTGTTGATGAGCAAGCGACGGCGTTATATCTGGGGTCAACAGGGTACCGACATGCAGCCAACCTGGAGTTGTCAGGTTGTGGAAATGGTTGTACAGGACTATCCAGGCACGCACTTAAGGAGCTTCTTCCTCCAGCATGCAGCATAGTAGTAGTGTATAGTAATGTCAATGTTTGTTTGGTCTTGGCCACCTCTCCCCGCAGGCGTTGGAGGGCGAATGGGCACTTTTGGGTCGTCACGCGGCATGGCCTGCGCCTTCATAGAGTACTTCTTCGGGGTCGACTTGCCACCATCCGATGTCGATATCTTCTTCTGACCCGAGGCCATCTTCCGAGATGCGCATTCAGCAAATCCAGTCTGTGATCCGGAACAGCGGAAGAACTTACGCTTACGACTGGAACCGGGAGATTTCCATCAATGAATCTGCAAGGAGGCCCAAATCTGAGCATATGCATCAGAATATCGTGCCCGATAACTCTGCGATGCTGGCGATAGGACTCGAGAAGTAGTAGAAGACCCTTTCCTGAAGCGGCTTGAGGGCAAGGGATAAAAATCGTAGATAGCTTTGGGTCTCGGCACTCAGCATCGGATGCAGTCCAATCTCTTGAACGAGTTCGAGCGGCTAAATCAGGACTGCAATAGATTGTACCTGCTCTTTGGGCATATGATAGTGCGGATCATTGCGAGGCACTCTACCGCGAGCTCTTGGTTCGGCTCGGCCTCAGCTCCTGCGCCTCGCCATAACGAAATCGGTCTCTCCATTTCATCGCACGGCCGTAACGTCTTCGTCTATTTGGCCGGTCAAGTTAGGATCAAGTCGCGGCTCTTTCCGCATGGATTAAGACCATTGACACCAAGCAAGCTCGCATTTGCCTGTCGAGTCTAAGTATGCATGGCTTCATCTAGCCACGGGACTACAACCAGCGGCTACCGAGCTTGTTGACCCAATGGCTACCAATACGTGCGCCACGCACATATATCAGCAGCATGTCTGCTAGTCTTGCTCGAAAAGGACCATACACACCCACAATCTCAATTTATACGAGCACCGAACGGCGAATCTCTAGGCATGACCCCATCCAGATGCCTCAACCAAGATCCACATGACACCCATCTGATGCCCTGTCGTCGATATAAGCAAGCTAGAAAGAGCATCTACCTTCTGTCGCGAGGCTGCCACAGTCCCACCAACCACGAAATATGTACATATGACTTCTGCGTCAACTGCGATAGCCCACAGCACGAGCTGCCGATGAACCTCTCCGAGACGAGCACTGGTATCACGCTAGTGCGGTTCCTGTGCCAAATTTAGAGCTCTGTTCTGCGTTTGTTCTGTGCGACTACTCAAAGCATCGAAGTGCTGCTGTCTTCCATCGTCATTTACATGACTGGGCAGGCTCGGATATCATTTACAAAAGCAGTGAATGCGGTCATCCGGATCGACGACGGTCTGGAATCCGAAGTTCTGAACGTGTTGTTTTCTACCCTGAAATTGGTACGCTATTCGTCCATCAGTAAGCTAGCATGGTTCACGCTGTTGGGCTCCCGGCTCCTTGCGCTGTCGAACCGCCGGAGGACGGCTACTTTGGGCAGCTTCAGCCTAGGGGATTCTCACGACAAGTCCGGATCAAGGTAGTTAGCACTCCATGGGCAAGCAGCTCGGATCAGGATCGCGACCAGGATTAGAACTCAATCAGAGGAGCACATTGACCGCACATCTGCAGAAGAGACGAGCCACGAAGAAACGCCGTGCAGATTGTATCACAGCCGTCGAGAGAAGTCGCCCGGCTGGTATCTCTGCATCAAGCAAGCAAAGTCTGGATCTTTCAGACAGTAGGACAAAGCTGGCAATGTCGAAAACGTCATGACTTCACTCGTTTAAGTATGCCTGTCCTTACGATCCGATCAACAGCCGGTCGTGTGCTGGGCCGCACGTACCTACATCCGACCTTTGCGTGGTTCACCAAACCATCGTACGGCCGGCCAGCACGATTGCCGGGCAATTGAGTTGACGAGAATATGCTTTGCTGGGATCCAGGCCCGAACAGGCCGTATTAATAGCGGATTCCAGCATGTCATACCCGTAAGCTCGCCCGAACACAACCTGAACGACCACGCTACACCTAAATAAGATGTTGAGCTCCGGTCCTCTGGCGTCCTGTGCCTGGTGCAAGGCTTCTAGTTGGTTTGTGCCCGCTCGGTTCGACTCGAGCAAGACTGTGTAGGCAGCGTAGCTGCTCGGTACTTCATACACCGACTTCAATATGGGTGCGGAAGTGACTCTGTGTGATGAAGTAAATAAATGACTCCACCCGCTACGGACGATTTCCAATCCGGCCAAGATGGATAGCAGTGGTCAAGCTCAGCGACCAGAGAGGCATCTACAAGCCTTATGCTACGTTATCATAGATGATGATGATGATGATGATAGCCAGAGCCTGTCGCACACAATTGACGACTGAGGATAGAGCCTAGAGGGTATAGGCCTCGCCCTGCGAAGGTTCTTCTTCTGGTCTATTAAGCTCTGACCTTCTAACGCGCTATGCCAAAAGAGGCAATCATCACATGGCAGGCCTGAACATGGTATCGCCAGGAACGGCAGCAAACACATCTATCCAGCGGACCATGAGCCAACAAGCCTGCAACCCGCCATCCAGCGTGCTCGAACATGCTTTGTGATGGACCGTGTATCTCAACTACTAGGTAGCGCAACGCGGTACATCGCAACCTGCTTCGATGCCACGATGTAGGGCAAGCTACTCTGCATATAAACTACGCTGATTCCTGTTCCTGCCCTCTTCCTTCTACACACACATCCCGACGAACTTTCGAAGTTCAGTGTGCAGTACTAGGACTTTGAATCCTTCTCTCCAACACCTCTAAACCATCCAAGATAATGCAGCAATCCCTCTTCCTCCTCTTTGCCATTGCGGCAATCGAGACGTTGGCCAACCCGGGCAATGGCTACCCACTTGCTGCACCCCATCCAGACTTCGCCAAGCGAGCTCTCATGAAGCGAGATGTCAACAGCCCTAATTACGCCCAACAAGCGAATCAGGCAGAGTACAAGGCATATCTCAACACGCCTGATGGTCTGGATGAAGCGAGCGAAGTGCACCAGGCGCAGTACGCAATGCTTAAAGCCCTGGCCGAGGCAAAGGCCCAAGAAGCCTACGAGTTCGCTGTCAATGCAACGAAAGCAATGAAAGCAACGAAAGCACCTTCCAGCGGCTGTAAAAGCTCTATTTTCGGCTTCTGTCTCGATGACCTGAGTAAGTTGAAGGATCTTGCAGCAGCAGTTCAGAAAGCATCTCCAGCACCAGCTCCGGCAGCAGCACCGGCAGCGGCACCAGCAGCGGCACCGGCAGCAGCACCGGCAGCGGCACCAGCAGCGGCACCAGCAGCGGCACCAGCAGCAGCACCAGCAGCGGCCAGCAACGTTACAACAGTGTAAGTAGAAGACAGGGAAATCTCGATGCCTCAATGTAGACTGACGACCATCAACAGCTGGGTTCCATATCTCTACCCTAACTACTGGGGAGGTTATTATTATACATATTACGCCGGATATACCTTCACAGTCCCTGCGGGCTATCCACAGCCTGGCAAGGGCAAGACTGGTTGTAGCGATGTGAAAAATCAAGGCTACATCTGCAATGCTGCCTACAACGAGCTTGTAAGTTTCAGACCCGAGAGATTCCTCGCCAGACTCTCACTGACATCCATGGCAACAGAGCTATTGCTTCAAAGGATTCCCATACTATTTCGGCTTCGCCGCTGGCGCTGGAGGCGGAGTAGGTAGCGTCACTGTCGCAAAGTGCTGCTTCTCTGGCACTTGTGCTGCTTCAGACGATGGCAGTAAGGGCTTGTGTTACTGCAACGCTAGTTCTTGAGCGACATGCACAGCACACAGTCTCATTTCTCAACTCTTGGACACGGAAACGAACCCTGGACTCGGCACTTTTGGCATTCAGCATGATACCCATCATCATCATCATCATTCATTCACTCATTATTTTACGACACAGAGTAGCAAGACAGAGCTACATCACCGCCATCAGAGGCATAGACACGACGACAGCCCGACACAGCGGGTAACGACATTGCATAAATCGCATTTGCACAACGAGACTCATCCCGACAACAGCAGCGGGATCGACATGGACGAAGGTATCATCATGACTGAAACTTTGGGAGGAAGACACGATCCAGTATGAACCAAACATACATTGGTTTAATGTATACTATCTATACCCACCTGAGAGAGAGAGAGAGAGAGAGAGCAGGGCTCATCTCATAAGCTGTAGTATATCAGGCCTACAAAGAGGTGTAGGGCGACAGAAATCTGAAAAAACTTCAAAAATTTAGAGATGTGTATCCACCTTCCAAAGAATTTGTCGACTGACGTTGGACCATCCTGCTTGGCGAAACGCTATATCTATATAGAAGTGGTCATGCGGTATAGCGACAGTTCAATAGCCGGAAGGTCGAATACCCTACTGCAATCTAACTTCCACTGTTCCGCATGGACGTCAAGTGGTTGTGGCCAGCCAGCCCACTCTCCGCTCGCGTGCGGTATGTGTCGAATACTTTGTTGAGAGCTCCCGTCTTCTATTCTAGGCATTGAGCATTGAGCAACTCCAAGTGCCGGCAAGCTTTTTTTTTTTCGTTTTTCGATTTGCTGGAGTATGTTTCTAGAGAGTTTTGAACTTTGAGGTAATCGAAAAGAAAATTTATTATCCCTTGTGGATTTTCAAAATTTATGAGTGTGGTAGGGAGGCACCTGTATGTACGATGACATGGAGCGGGGCGGAACTTCCAAAGTTCATCAATGCTGGGTTGGAGCTCGGATACATGTACAGGAATCATATTGGGTGACAGGTGATAGGGGCGAGTGGTATTGGGGTGGGAGGTGAGGTGAGGAAGTTATTTTGGATAATGGGTTGGTGGATGGTGAATAGAATAGATGCAGCTTCTTTTGTTTATAAGCATAGTTGTTGATTACTGATTACTCTATAATCAATAGTCACTGTAATCGCTGTGACTATGATTATGATTATAGAGTCAGTAATTAGTGACTATAATTAGTAATCAGTCGGCTGTTTCTAGGCTATACTAGGGTGTATGTTACACCTACAGAAGATATCAAATTTGCACTGTTTCCACCTGTTTCTATAGACAACAATACATCCGTAATAGGCGACTTTCATCGAGAGGTAAGTAAATCGAATATAGGCATAGGAAGTCGCTAATTTGGATAGGTTGCCGAGTTACTAGTGCCTTCTTAAGAGGAAGAGCTATTATTATCGCTATCGCCATCGCCATTATAGACCTCTAACCTATTAACTACAGCCTTCTTAGCAACGTAGAGCCATTACCTACAGTTGTTGCTAAAGGATATACTAGCCACCTATCCAACTCTTAGCCAAACCGACTATTATATCACTCCTGCTTAGCTCCACTTCTAACAAGCCGGCATACTATCCTTTATCGACGAAGTAGCATAGAATGACTTCGAGCAGTATATCGGAGAGGCGGAAAAGGAAGGCTTATAGTTGCTATATCGGAGGGTTACGAGGAAGACGACAAAGAGCCTTCGGTATGCTTAGGAGATCGTTAAGAGGGCTAGTAACTACCAAGAGCGTGTTACTAATAGCCTTTAGAAGGTGTGTAAAGGTATAGAACGGAAGGGCAGGCGGATAGCACTAGGCTCTCATCGTTACTTCAAATTCGGAAGGAGGTGTGTCTGCTCCGAAGAGTGCTTTCTCGGGCTAAAATCGTGGTGTCCGCTGCGACAGGTGTATTTCAAGGCTCGTATCGACAAGGTGCTATACCGTGTAATCGATAGCGAGGGTGCTAAGGGCGACAATGAGGTTATTATTATTAATTAGATATAGAATTAGTCGAAGAATAGTATTCGAGCTTGCTGTCGCGCCTATAAAGATTGCGTCATATTAGCCCTTAGGGTCTAGCTAAGCCTAATCGGAAAGCGTCGCTTAGCACGGACGGCAAGGTCCGTACGGCTTGGCCGCACGCTAGCAAACTCAAATCTCGAATTTCATTGTTTAATTCAAGACAGCTACACCTTCGAGATGCGAGATAACCTCCGCAAGACATATAAACCAACTTAGAAAGTGCTGGAAAATTATGTAAATACCTAGGCATCGAGACGGGAAAGCGACCTGCTAGATCGGATACTATTCCGTAAAGATTCGAGCGATCTAAGCGACGTTCCAACCTCCGAAGCTAATAAGCCGCCGTCTCTAACACTAGACGATAGCTTATTCCTTTAGTCTACCTCGCAGTCCTCGAATACAGTACAATCGACAGCGACAGCGACAGCGACAGCGACACCGATAGCGACACCGACACCGACACCGACACTCGCCGAGTTAAGAAAGAGAAGGAAAGGCAGGAACCGCCCAGATCCGGCGTTGTAGGAGCATGCGAGAGCACTAAAGGATAGTGAGCCTTTAAAAGTAGATAGAGGCAGGCATAAGGCATTCTACTATAGACACTATAACGATAACGACCCTAACCGGTACGCCTCCAATTCTAGCAACGCGCCTTAGCACCTAGCTAAGAAGCACTTTATCTTTGTCGGCATTGAGAAACGGAAGCTCGAAGGCAATTATCAATAGAAGAAACAGACACAGATTGACCTCTCGGCGCTATAGAAGAAGCAAGGCGTTATTAACTCGGACAAGACCATTAATATCCTACAAGGAGCCGCCGATAAGGACAAGTTTAGGTACGCTCTCGCTCGCTATGCTACGGCTAGCAGCATTCCTCACAACGCACTAATTACGAAGGAATTCAGAGACCTAATATTAGCGGTTAATCCTTACGCAGAAAGCGTGCTTCTAAAGAGCCACACCTTACTATATCCTCGTATTCTATACAACTTCGAGAGCTAGCGAGAACGAGTCAAGATAGCACTATTAGAAGCACTTAGCTATCTTCACTTCTGTACTAATACATAGAAGTTATAGCACGGCTACAAGTTCTTCTAGGCGATTAATTGCTAGTACATTAATCCACGCGGTCAACTAGTCCAAATACTGCTAGATTTGCTACAACTTCCGCCTAGTTCTTATACTAGTAACTTCCTTGCCGAGAGCGTCTTGCCTTGCTTCTCAACCTTCGAGATTGCTAATAGTAGGCTTAGCTAGATAACGACTAATAGCGGCTCTAACAATAACACCCTTTGTCTTACTATTAAGCGCTTTATGGACTCGCAAGGCTACTCGTAGAAGAACCGCCGCCTCCGCTGTATTAGTCACATTCTCAATCGTATAACTATAGCCTTTATGTTTGCTAAGGACGTAGAGGCCGCTAAAAGTGAGGAATTTGATCAAACGGTACTTAGCAACGATAGCGACAATATCTCTATATCGAGGTAGCTCGATATAGACGTAGAGTGCTTCGTTAAACAAGGACCATTACAACGGCTATTTACACTCGCTAAGCTTCTACGGAAGAACGACTACAATAACATCTTCCAAGAGGTCTGTAAAGCCTAGCTACAACTGCTATATATAGTGCCAAAGATCCCCGGTAAAACACGCTAGAATAGTTAGCTTCTAATAATAGAAGAGGCCATTCAAATAAGGCCGATTTTGAACACCTTCTTCGATAAAATGCCGCACCTGCGCGAGTTCAGCCTATCCGAGGACGATTAGAAGGTGCTAGCTCATACACGGAGGTTTCTTAGTCCCTTCAAAGAGGTCACTCTTCGGCTATAAGGCTACACTGTTACATTCAATATGTATCAAGAGTCTATAGAATACCTAAGAAGCCACTTTATACGCTTAGCTAGCGAGAACGCTCACCGGACGGTCCTTATTAGGTCTATTAATGTAGCAAGGACGCTGTTCGACAAGTACTACATCCTTAACCAAAAGAGCCCTCTCTACGTTACTATAGTATTGCTACATCTAAGCCGACGACTTGCCTAGCTTAGAGGCCGCTCCGCAGTAGACATAGACACTACCTTGTTACAGTCTACAGCGCTTTAGAAGGACTACAAGATACGCTTCGGAAATAGCCGTCAACTACTAGCTACGCTACAGCGCTTATTTAAAGGACTATCGGACCTCGAGCGCTAGCAAATTAAGTCTCAAACTGACCTAGTTGCTGCTAATAATGACCCCTTCGAAGCCTTCATTTATGCTAGTCCAATAGCACTGCCACTAGTTAGCGAGAAGCCTGTTCTTATAAGCCCTATCGACTAGTAGGTTTAATAGCGGAAGACCTGCGATCTAGCACTATAGCAACTAGCTATTAATACATTGTTAGCCTTCGCTATGTCCGCTAAGTTAGAGAGGACCTTTAGTATAAGCCGCCGCACTGCTAGATGGGACCGTGCACGCATGAGTAGCGACTATATTCGTATAAATAAGTGCTCGAAGAACTAGACAAGAACAGGGGTTGCTAAGGTGCTATTAGAACTAGCTATACTAGAAGAGGTAGAAGAAGGGCTATTACTAGCCTCATATTCAGTCTCAGGTGCTAGCAACAACGACGACGGCTTGTAAATCTATCTCCTTCTTAACCCTAAGCATCACTAGGTACTAATTATATGATTACGTGACTATGAATACTGATTATTCACTTATTATTAACTATGATTGTGATTACAGGCGCTAACTAGTAAGTACTCAGTATTCAACAACTATGTTTATAAGTTACTGGTTGGTACGGATCATGGACGGCTTTGATGGAGGGTGTTACAAGGACCCTGGGTGTTGTAATAATATAGAGCGTGGAATGAGATGCAAGCTTCGGGAGAAGGATTTCAATTGGCTGGAGATGATCCTCCAAGAAACCGTGAAGTGGTCAATGGAATGAATATTGCGGCTCCGTGAGAGCTTCCAAAGGGTTATGTGAAAGTGAAGTCATGAAGCGTAAGATGTGTGAAAGATCAGGAAGGAACGAATGGCTTCGACGTGTCGAAGGGGTTCTACTACCAGCCAATACTAATGCAATCTGTTCAGGAGCCAGCTTGGATCGCTGTGTCAGCAACTTGCACGCGAAAAAGAGACTTGATCAAATGTGCATAGCCAGAAAATGCATAACATGGCAAGAAGATCTTCCTTGAGGTTCCCCGAGCCTGAACTCTAGTGTAGGAACACCTCTTCTCTGATAGCAGCCAGCTGCATGTCGCCATTGAGCATTCCAATGAGCGCGTGCGATAAGCCGGCATACTCTTGACGCCATAGTGAAAAAACTCAGTAGCGAATTTCGGCAGGATAGGTACTTGAAGATCCTGTATGGCTGACAGCAGTTGCTGAGTCAATCAATAGCGTGCGATTGGTCCTCCGATTGATGACTGCTTGGAGGTCCCCGCAACGTTTTAAATGTTTTTGAGGAGCAGATTTTGGAAGATTGCTGACTTGAGCTCGGGTGGCAGATCAAGTAAGTTCGTCATGTTGCTCTAATGCGCTAGATTCGCGTACGTTAGCTTCGTGGTGCTGTATGGTCTGTATTGAGTTCTGGGTAAAGTAAGAAGTTAGGTACTAGTGTTGAGTATTATACAGCCTTGCATGAAGCACTTCAATGGAATAGCGGCTTCGCATTTCGCACAGACTTTCACATGATCTTTATACATGTGACAAAGCTTTGCTGAGACTCAGCACTGTTTTGACCCTCGGGTTCCAAGACGCGGCGGGCACATGCATTTGAGCTCGCTGTGTGAGTTTCGTGTCAAGCGGCCATCCATACCGCGTGTATGCAACAGGCGCTCTGATTGAGGACGATGGGCGAGCGGAAGAAGGCGAATTGTGACGCAAGGCTGTAACAGCCTGGCTGGGTGGCTGGCTTGCTTGCTCGCTGGGAAATTACGCTTGACCAAATGCGCACCCGTCCCAAGCAATGCAAGCCACCAAGCATTTTCTTATTTTCAGTCCGAAACTATGCGCAAGGCTCTTCTAAACGCCACGAATGGCTTTCAATGCATTCTATCCGAACTGGTATATCTGAAAAGAGCGATTTCTTTCGGCGTTGACGAGGTTGCGATCATATTTCGGGGCGCCTCGGAAGAGCAGTATCTGGCGGGGGTAGAAAGACGTCAGAGAATCGCGAGAATGATGTGGTAGAGCGTATTCCAAGTAGCTTGGTGATCCAGGCCATTATGCCCATCGTTAAGCATCTTCCAGTCCTCTGGCGATGATCTCGCTACCATTGACGTCGGTGTCCTTGTTACATCATCGTTGTGAGCCTGCCAAGATCGCACTCTGCTCTTCGGTACTGTTGCAACGGCTGAAGGAGAAAGTAGACGTCGTGTCACGGCAAGATTGAAAAAGTAAGCTGCTCATTGGCCTTGGATTGACAAGTTTGTGATTTAGAAGTGGACCGCGATGGCGTCCAGATCAGGCTGATGGAAGGAGTAGATATCGTTCACAGATGGGCAGGCACTTCAGACCAATGCGGCATGTGAAGCCTGACCAATAACTTAATCTCATACGTTTTGGCGTTGAAGACTTGAAGTAATCCATTTGGCAGTCCTGAAGCTCCTTGTCCTGGATATCGCGGGTTAAGATCCCGGTCGTAGCCACATCTAGATTCCAGTCGTCGCATTTCCCTTCCGAAACGAGTCGAAGCACGACGACTTCTGTTCCCTTGGCTATTGCTGCCATCGTGAAGAAACATGGACTAGCGTGTGTCGATCAGAAGCGAATAGTTTCCGTTCTGGTTCGGACGATGAAGGGCCGGTATGCTTGTGTACCGAGACAATTCTTAGCGCCCAGTGGGGTTCGTCCAATCCAGAGAGGACGGCGTTGTTGTAGGCGATGGATGTGTTGCACAGATCTGCCACGACTACTGACAGACTTTGGTAAAGTGTCGTATGTCGGCCATATATATGATTCTTGGCCAAGTAGAAGAAGAGCTCTCGAGTGAACTTGTGACGTCGGCCTTTGACCCCTGCCGATTTCGGGGTATTGAGTTCCGGCTCTTGAAGCATGTGGGAGGTATCACGCACAGCGCAGTTGATTACTTACGTAATACTGCATTGTCGGCGGTTAAATTGGCTTCGTTAATTGCCTATGTTCTGTCTATTCTATGGACTGACAAACAGTGTGGAAATTCTTCATGTGCCAAGAAGTCATGTGACAGTCATGTGACTGAGCTGATGCGTCACAGGAGGCTCTGCTCCCTACATATATTCGTCCAAGAAGTAGGGCGCATGCAGCAGTGGTGGAGCCGTTGTCATGCTGGAGGAGATTTCCACGGGCGAGTGCACAAAGCTATGGCGAAGCAATTGGCCAAGCTTCTCGAGCCGGAGCGTCTGCTGTTCATTGAGGAGCCGCTACTCTCTGAGAGCGTCGAAGGCATGCAGGAATTGTCGCGGCATGTCAGCACGCCAATTGCGCAGGGAGAGCGGTTGTACTCTCGATGGGATGTCAAGCCGTTTCTGGGAGGATCGCAGCGTCGATATCCTTCAGCCCGATATATGCCACTGCGGCGGCATCTCTGAAACTTTTCGGATTGCAAAGATGGCCGAAGCGTATGACATTGCTCTTGCTCCCCATTGCCCTCTTGGCCCCATTGCGCTGGCAGCGAGTGTTCAAATTGATGCGACTTCCGCCAACTTCGCCATTCAAGAGATGCCGCTCGGGAAGGTTCAGACTTGACGAGCTACACAATGAACGCGGAAGTGTGGAATGTGCAGGATGGTATGATCGAGCTCATGACTGGGCCAGGCTTGGGGATTGAGATGGACGAGGAGGCTGAGCGCGCAGCTGCGGTCGATGCGAAGGCTTGGAGAAGTCCGCATTTCGTTGGTCCTGGCGGTGAGATTCGCGAGTGGTGATGATAGCACATCTGTTGTTCCTGTCAGTGCCCATATCTCATTGGCGCCAATGATTGACCTCGTGCAGCAGGTACTTCTCCAGTCGATATGGAATTCTTTGTTGATGGCATCGGCAGTGGTGCCCAGGCCGATGTCATATCCCTGCAACGTATGTGCGTAAGTATGTTACGAGTACTTCATCTCGTGCCCCGCTGTCTTGTCCTACTCTTTGATACCGTAGAAACTGGTATCCAAGCCTACTACTTGTAGTAAGCCCACCCCTGTAGATAGGCCCACTGCTAGATATTGTCCTTCCGTAACCAAGGTGTCGATTGAGTTATAAGCCTACCCTTATTTAGTGTATTGTAGAAGCTATAAGCGGCGTAGAAACAGTAGTTATTGTAGCATACGTAAAGGCGTAGATTGCGGCCGAATACAGCTCTCTCCGGAGGCTAAATCTAGGCTAAATTTAACCTATTCTTAGCCTTTATTCCTTCTCTTTCTTATACGGTAGATCGATCGATAGAATAGACCGAATAGAGGTAGGTAGGCGGCGGTATAGTAAGCCAGACACCTACTAATATTATTAGTTTAAACGTACGCCTTCTAAGCCTTCTAGGTAGGTTAAAGAAGAGCTATTGTCGCCGTTACTAGCCCCTAGATCCGAGACCTCGATTTTATAGACTCCTTAGCGGCTATATACCTAACAAATATAGCTAGAGGTAGACTAGCTAGAAGCCTATAAGCAATAGTAGCGAAGGGGAATAAGAGAGGGTCTAGATTAGCTATAGCTTAATTATCGAGACACTCTAAGCCTGCCGTCGATTTAGCGCGACTTGTATACTTAACTCTAGGCGGAAATAAAGTAGATAAAGGATAAATTAGCATCTCTAAAGGCCGCCGTACGTAATATACTTACTATATATTAGCATATAGCGAAGATTAAGGCGTAGAGGTTGTTATTATAGATTAAGTTGTCTTAGAAGTAGTAGAAATATATAATATTAGGCTTATTATTACCTAAGGTATACGAGGTCTTAGCGGCTTTCTAAAATCTTTAATTCTATACCTATACCTAGTAATACTATACAATTACTTTCTCGAACTGTAAGGTAGTAGATCTATATACGCGCTCTTATACAAAAAAACAACGAAGTAAATCGGTTATATAGTTATCAAGAAACTAGTAGTAATATATAAAAATCCGAGATTCTCGAGCTTGCGGGGAAGTATCTCGGCCGACTTTCGCCGAAGCTTTACTTCTAGATTATTGCAACTCTTTACGACGATGTTATATGCGCTATAATAGTCCGATTTAGATAAACGATAGCGGCGGAGCTTCGTATTAATACGTACTATAACTCTATTATATATTATAATATATAAAAACAAAAGGGTAGTATTATAGAATATAGCAATCGGTATAAGCTAATCTCGGCTTCGAGCGTCGACGAAAGCTAGCTTTAATCTTTAATATCGGACTTGTGTTCTACGTCTTAGTTGCCCTCGTACTACTCCCTTATAGTACCCTTATCGTCCTTACTAGCTACAAGATTAATCTATATATTATTAAGTTGCTTCTAAAGCTCTACTAGCAATTAGAATGCTAGTATACGGTTAAGGGGACCTAATTCTAGCGTATAATCTTCCTTTTTAATTAACTAGTCGGGGATTGAAGGGTTAAAGGTATCCTCGTATATAACAACCTCGATTCCGTTATTTCCTTTAACGATATTACTATTGCTATCTTTGCGGCGATAGTTACTAATTTGAATACTAGGCAAATCCTTAATCTAAATACTATCGTCTTTACTACTATTAGTAGGCAAAGTAAGGCCTAAATTGCGGAAGGTCTTAATAATAAGGTCCTTCTTCTTAACGTAGATTTTCCGCTACGCTATAGCAACCTACTTTGTTATTAAAACTCGCCGCTCGTAGACTAGTTAATCGATCTTCTTAGGGTAGTAGAAGATATAGTCGTCGTAGCACTCTTTAGTATAGTCCTTTAGTAGTTTGTTAATAGATGCATCTAGTACTTAGATATAGCTAGTATAACTACCTAGAATAAAGGAAGTAATAGTATTTAGCTTACGGAAGCGTTGCAACACTCGTTCTATCTTCTAAGTAGAGTAGACGTCTAGTATAAGCAACTATAGCATGTCTCTTGTCTCTCTAAGTCTAGGTATATAGGCAAACTTCTAACTCTTCTTAAGCTACTTTAATAGTACCTCTTCGTTATACTAGGCGTTAGTTTAGAACATTATATATACGCTAGTATCGTAGAATTGCTTCTCGTGCTTGCCGTAAGCTATATTTAAGAAGCCTAGACTACTACGGAAGATAATTAATAGCTTGCCTCGCTATAGACTATTACTATAAAGCTCTCCTTAGAAGGTTGCCTGCCGCTTAAACTAGCCGGACTTGCTAGTAGTTATTCGGACGGTCTTAGAGCCCTTAATATTATACGTCTGTTTAGCGCGGAAGTCGTACGGTAGTAGCGATTGATCTGTATTGCTTATTTAACCGAGAGAATAACGTCCTTTAGTAATAGGATAAGGGGTCTTACTAGGCCGACAAATACTATTACGGCGGTTAAATTGAAGCTATAAGACAATATAGTAAAGGAGCTCTTTAGGTGCCTTCTAAGCGGTCTTTATCTTCCTTCGAAGGGCTATATTCTACCGTCGTTTATAGCCTATAAACTAACCCTTCGAGAACTTAAAGTATTCGAAGTAGAGTCTGTCCCTTAGTAAAGAGACCTTGTCTAGATAGAGCGTAGTATATATCTTCTTTGCAGCCCTAATAATCTATGCGTTATTAACTCTAATTCCTTATTCTCGAGCCGTTATAATGCCCTTATAAAGGGCCGCCTCTAGTTAAGGAAGAAGGGCTAATCTATTACTATTACTAACCTATCGAGACTCCTTCTTCGAGTTGCGAATAGTAGTCTTATTTATAAGCTACTCTCTTGCCTGTTTGCGGTCTATTTTAAAGCGACGAGCGGTCTTCTTAACTAAGACAGAACCGACGACGATAATGCCGCCCTTCTTTTTATACTTCTACTTCTTTAACCTTATATAATCGACTACCTATAACTTAAACTCGCGAAGATAGGACTTCCGCTTTCTACTAACTCGAGTAAGGCCGGCGACTTCTATAACCTCCTTATCTTCGTTAGTTACCTTATTATATATATTAATTAGTACCTCTAGATCGGCTACTTCTTTATCCTCGTTATTAATCTACTCGTTACTCGCGCTAGCGGCGACTTCTACTATTATTTCCTTTATAACCGTATCCTCGCGAGTCGTAGTAATTAGCGCCGCCGCGACATTATAAGAAGGGTATATTAGCAGGTAGATAGGGTAGTAGTAGGTATAGGTAGTATTCGATAAGGAGCTAGAAGGAGAGGGAGGAAGGCAGGCAAGTTAGCCTATTACCAAGCGCTAAGCCCTGCCTAAGGCACTAAGACCCTAGCTTCACTTGGCCTAGTTATATACTAATTACGTATAGCCTCTTTAGCCCTAATATACGCTTCCCTTCTAAAGGCCGCGCCCTCGTAGCCTGTCTATATTCTACGACCTCTATTGCCGCTAACTTAGCAAGTCTAACAAGCTACTTAGCCCGCGCTAAATTAAATACTTAACTATCTGATTATGTAACTATATCAAACCTTACCTCTAATATAGTACAATGTCTAACTCTAACTACGCTATCCCTATATATAATAAACTATAAAGTAATATGTATCTACAAGATTTAGGGGCCTTCGACTAATTATAATACGAGCGCGTCTTCCCTACTATAATAGGTAGACGTACGAGGTATTACAGCCCTGCCTCCGCTCTAAGTAATATTATACCGAGTTCTTTACGTCTACTCTTAAAAGACCTAGCAATGTCCGCTTCCGAGGGTTTGTCCGCTTCCGAGGGTTATTATTCTTATTATTCGTAGTTTCGCTAGCCCTAATTAGCTAGGTTTAGCAGCCTTTAAGTATTAATCTTATCTTATCTTTTTAAAAAACACAGCTCGTCTAGTTTCTATAGATAAAGGCTATTATAAGTATAGTAGTAGAGGTTCGCCTCGCTTAAAGAATCGGAAAGATCGAGGAGTAACCTATTGTCCGCAAGATCGACCCCGGCTAGCTTAGCTCTATAGTTTTGCCCTTAGTTAGTCTATTAGTCGCTTAATCTTTTAGGCGGCTTAAAGTTTTTAACTTGGCCTTAAAGTTTTAATCAAACCTTTAATAGGCTTAAAGCTTTCAATTAACGTTTTAATTAAAGGTGCCTTAGGCTCGTAGTATAGGTAAGGTTGTTTTTACAAGTGTAGTAGCAATAGTAGGTAATGTTTAATAATAGCGGCGCTAGTCGTCTTAGCGCTAACTTTACCTTCTTCTAATTTCCTTCTTTAACTAACAATAACTCGGCAATACCGTTACTAACATAGCTGTGTCCTTCCTTCCTTAACTAGCAACACACCCCGTAATACTGTTACTAATATAGCCGCGCCGGCCGCGCCGATTGCCTAGGCCTCGAGGCCTTAACAGAATAAAGGATTAAGAGGGGGACCTAAATACTAGGAGAAGGGCCTTATAGGGCGCATTAGTAAAGAGGTAGAGTCCTTAAAAGGGCAGGCAATTAGTTAACGCGTCGTAGCGCGCCTAGTGTAGTCTTATTGTCCTTTGTTGCTAACAATTGCTTGTCTCTAATTAGTTAGCTAATAGCACCCTAGGGGTAGTATTATTCCTAGGCGACATTATAGACCCTTAGCCTTCTTCTTGTTCTTTATACTAGTCTAATACTTATCTAACAACTTAGTTATGTCCTTAAAGGAACCTTTAGCTTCCTATAAGTCCTATTTAGGCGAATAGCCTTACTATCTCAATAGGTACTCCCTCTTGCCTTGCCTAGTCTAGTGCTTTAGAATACGTTCTATAGACTATAGCTCTTTACTATCCGCTAGTATGTCTTCGTGTTTAGTAGGGACTTTATCCCCCTCGCGTAGGTAATATAGCTTAAGAAGGGATACATAGAAGGTGTTATAGATAGTGTAATAAGGAGGAAGCTACAACTAATAGGCCTATACGGAGGAGCCCTTAACTTCTCGAATGCAGAATAGACTAATGTATCTTAGTGCGAGCTTAGGCCTTGTTTTGCCGTTAGGTAATAGGTGCTTGCGGATGCGGAGGTTCTTAGTACTTAGTATAACTATGTCGCCTTGTTTAAAGGTTATTAGCGTATAGTGCTTATCGTAGTAGGTCTTTTAGTACTCTTAAGCCTTTATTAACTTCTCGGCTATCTTAGTATAGATTTCTCGCATCTTCTGAACCCTCTTAATAGCCGCTAGTGTTTCGGGTACTTAACGCGCTTCCCTTTCCTTACGCTCGGCCTCGAGCGATAGGGGGTCTTATAGTATAGCAGCGTTCTAACCTATTATAGCTATGTATAGTAAAACCTTAGTTAATAAGTAGACACAGTTATTATATACGAATTTAGCTAGTTATAAGAGGTTAACCTATCTATTAGGGTCCTTATTAATGTAGCTACGTAGGTACTACTATAGCGTAGCATTCTGCCTCTCTATTTAACCGTTAGTCTATAGATAGAAGGCTATTAACAGTCGATGCTTCAGTCTTAGTTGCAGGCATAATTCGCTCTAATAGTACGATGTAAATGTCGAGCCCCTATCGGAGACTATCCCCTTAGGGGTCCCCTAATAGCTATAGAAGATGTTGTTCTATAGTGCTTTAGCTATATTAATAGCAGTCTAATCCTTGCGCGCCGGGACGTATCGAGCGCCTTTAGTAAATCGATCTACTATAACAAGGATAGCATTATATACGTCCTTGCTACCTCTATACTTAGTAGGCAGAAGGCCTATAATAAAGTCTATTATTAGCTTAGCAAATAGCTTCTTTAGAACAGGGAGCGAAGACAACTCGCCGAATAGCAAGTGCTTCGGTACTTTAACTCGCTAGTATACTATATAGGTCTATATATACTCCTTTATATGCCGCTTACTATTTAGCTAGTAGTATATACGCGATAGTAACTCGTGCGACCTCTCTATGCTATAGTAACTAGCGAGCTTACTATTATAGTGCCTCTTTAAAAGCTCTTGTCTAATCGATTGTTTAGCGGGGACATAGTATCTGCCCTTAAACCTTAAGTAACCTTTGTCGTCGATCGACTAATTACTCTTACTAGATCGAGTCGTTTGTCTACTTATAAGCCTATTAATACGGTTAATAGTAAAGGCGTCCCTCTACTAAGCACGTAATAGCTTATCTATAAACGATTAACTATCCCTATTTGCAAGGTTATTTAATAGCACCCGTACTATCGAACGAGGTACGTATTATATATATCTAATAGCACTAGTAGCCGGAACTACTACAACCTCTTCTATAGTACTGTCGCTATATAGGCTATTACTATAGATAGCAATGTCTTTAATCGAGTTATTATAGCTCGAGCGATCTACGTCCTTTCTAACGTATACTAGAAGAACGGCAACTCCGCTATAGTATTTGTTGCCGCCGCGGAGTCCGGAAGTCTGCTTATCCTACGCTTGCTTATTAATAATACGGGCTATAGCAATCTTATACTATAGGGTTAGAAATAATAAATTAATAGATTGCTAAGTCTCGCTATCGTAATTAGGCCGCCTCGATAGGCTATCGGTAGGGTTACTTACGCCTAGTCGATATAATATATTAAAATCGAACCTAGCGAGGTAGACGGCCTATCTAGCCTATCGACCTATAACCCTTGTAACCTTAGTAATACTACGCAGGTTGTTATAGTCTATATAGACCTAAATTGTGTACTAAGCACTATCGAGATAGTAGCGCTAATACTTAAAAGCTTCTACGATTGCTAAGAGCTCTTGCTCGTAGGTCTTATATCGACGTTCTATATCGATTATCTTTCGTAAAAAGAAGGCAATTAGGTGCTAGTAATAGTTATTATCTAATTGCTGTAATATAATAGCTAATATAGCGAACTATAAAGCGTTAGTCTTAATTCGGATCTGCTTGCTTAGTACGAAATAGTGCAATAAGGGGACATTAGTAAAGCGTTGCTTTAGGCCGTTAAAAGTGGCTTATACTCTATTAGTCTATTTAAACTCTCTAGTCGGGTTAGCCTTAGTTTTAGTAAGCTTAGTTAGGGGCATTATATACCGTAAATAGCCCTTAATAAACCGACGGTAGAAGTTAGCGAAGCCGAGAAACGACTATAGCTCCTTAATTAACGTAGGAACAGGCTATTTAGTAATAGTTTTAATCCGATTAGGATTAGCCTTAATACCCTTAGTTAATACGAGGAAGCTAAGGAAGGACACCTCCTTAGTAGCAAAGGTGCATTTAGAAGGCTTGCAATATAGGCTATAGGCCCGTAGGCGGTCGAGGACCTTTCGTACTATAGCCTAGTATTCTATAATATTAGGTAAGTATATATAAACTAGAATGTTATCTAAGTAAACTATACAGAGATAGTCTAATAGACCTAAAAGGGCCCGATTAATATAGGACTAGAATGTTATAGGGGCGTTTGCTAGCCTAAATAGTATAACTAAATACTCGAAATAGCTATAGCGGGTATAGAAGGCTATCTTCTATTTATCGCCCTTGCGAATACAGATACGGTAATAGGCGTCCTTAATGTCTAATATAGTATAGTAGTAAGTACTAGAAAGGCGATCGAGGGTCTTATTAATAAGCGGAAGTAGACAGCGGTCTTTAATAGTAATAGCGTTAAGCCTACGATAGTCGACATATAGGCGTAGGCTACTATCCTTCTTTAGTACGAATAGGATAGGTGTACCGGCAGGGCTATTACTATACCGAATACGACTATTAGCTAGGTTTTCCTCTAGGTACTTACGCAACATAGCAAGCTCTCGCTTACTAAGGTTGTAGAGGGGGCTAAAAGGAACCTCCTTGCCCTCTATAATATTAATCTTATAATCCGTCTCCTTAAACATAGGCAATGTTAATACTAGGTAGTGTTCAAACACATTAATATAGGTCTCTCGGATAGGCTCTAGTATACGAGCAAGCTAATTAGGATTATTAGGGGGCACAGGTTCGTCGTTATTACTACCGAGTAGGTCGGCAGTCGGATTAGCTAAGGCAGGTATTAGGTTGCTAATAAATAGGACCCTAATATCGTTAGGGCACTCGCTAATATTAATGTGTTTAATGTCCTCTTTCCTAGCGATTCTAAATCGCTATTATTAACTGCCTAAGTCTATAACTATAGCATAGTACTTAAGAATAGGGTTGCTAATAACAATGTCGGATAGGAGGCTGTCTATATCTACTGCGTAGGCAGTAAAGTTTAGTAGGCGTTTATTTCCGAGGTCGTCTTTTAGAACTATAGGAATATAGTAGGCTCTATAGGTTAAGTGCCGAGCGTTATTAAACCAAGCAAGGGTTAGCAGGTTAGTCCTAGGCAATTGCCGAAGGTCTAATTGCTTAGCTAGGCGATAGCTAATAAGGGCGCTAACTGAATTTCCGGGGTCTAGTATAACCTTTGCCTTATAGTTAGTATCGCGCCTAGATATAAGATAGGTACGTATAATAGCTAGCACAATGTCGATAGTCTTACGCCGTATAAGGCTAATAGTTAGTGCGGCGCTTATTCTTTTTTCGAAGGTTAGCCTATAGGGGTAGCGTTAGCCGCTAAGAGGTGCTTTCGGTATTTAGCGAAAGTACGGTTAATTCGGGCCTAGTCCTTAGGTTTGTCGCATTAGCCTAGTAGATAACTAGTGCTATTATAATTAAAGCACTTTAATCCGGTTAGGAGATTGTTACTATAGCTATTGTTACTGCTATTGTTAGTCGAGCGGTTAGTATTATAGGGATACGAGCCCCTTCTACGGCCCCTATCGCGGCCTCCTCTATATAGCCGCCGGCTACGGCCTCTTCTACGGTCGTTACTATTTCTATTGTTAGCATTGTTATTATAGTAGGAACCTTGGTTTTCCCCGCGGCTACTATAGTTGCTACGGTTAGTACTAGTTAGTCGGATCCTCGATTCTAGTCTTTATTAGAGCTAAACAGCCCGTTCGGCTGTTTCTACTTCGACTATAAATTAAATGCGTATTAGATTAGCTTGTTCGAACATACGGCAACGGTCCAATTTGAGGATAAGCTCCTATCTAAGTTTTAGGCGTATCTCGGAGATCTATATAGAATTAGTCTTAGGCGGAAGGTAACAAGGTCGTCTTTAAGGGTTTTTAAATAGGCCTCGAATAAGCGAGCCGATTAATTAGTCTTCTATTTAGCTCGAAGATATAGGTCCTAAGTATATTATTGCCTTAGTATAGGGTTTCTAAGGGTATCTAGTATAATAGTTTTATAGGTCTGCTACTAAACAGCAGTCTAGTTATTAAGGGAGTCGAAATAGTTATCCTATATACGCTTTAGGTCGCTATTAATGTACTATATAGCGTAGACAACTAGTAAATAGTCGTCTAGAAGAGCCCTCGGTGCATTTCGTTAGTTAAGCTTATAATCGCGTATATAATTATTATATTGCTTGCAACTAGAGCCGTTAAATACGGTACAGTCCTTAAGCTTAGTATCCTTCTTTTAGATAGGTAGTAAAGAAGGTCCTACTATTAGCTTAGTAGTAGTTGTTAGAGATTCCTAGAGGCAGCGAATCTCGAGAAGATTATCCTTTAGCTGTTGTTCTTAACGCAAGGTAGTAAGCCTGTTTTAGGTAGCTTCTTAAAGCCTCGCTACTAGCTAGGGGCTAAAGGCTAGTTAGCTATATCGACGGTTAACAATATTGTTAAGAATGTCGTCGATAGGCAATTCTAGGTCGTTACCTAGAATTATAGGTTCTTCTTTAGCAGGTCCTATAGCAGGCTCTTCGGTAGGAGGCACTTTAGTAGGTGCTTTAGTAGGCACTTTAGTAGGCACTATACTACTAGCGTTGTTATTGCTAGCGCTACTAGCGGTAGCACGGTTATTATTTCGTAATAAACCGGCTATTATAAGAGGCGACACTAATAATATATTATTAGCCCCTAAGATACGGATATAGCGGAATTAGTAGATATCGGTCTAGTACGCTTAACTTAGTATAATAGGCCGTATAGAAGGCCTTGCTTAATAATTAGTACGGTTGTTTCGATAGAATAGTATATATAGGTCCCGTTCTTCGGGCGCAATATAGTTAGATTAGTCTTATTCGTAGCTATACTGCTAAAAGCTTAAAATAAGAACTATCTAGCTACTGCCCTTAAAGGGTAGATCGAATGCTATATAAGAAGGGTATATTAGTAGGTAGATAGGGTAGTAGTAGGTATAGGTAGTATTCGATAAGAAGCTAGGAGGAGAGGGAGGAAGGTAGGCAAGTTAGCCTATTACTAAGCGCTAAGCCCTGCCTAAGGTACTAAGACCCTAGCTTTACTTAGCCTAGTTATATACTAATTACATATAGCCTCTTTAGCCCTAATAGACATTACCTCGCGCGACTAGATAGCGCGCCTTATCCTTCTTTAGGCGCCGCTTCTACGCCTCGCTATATCGATAGGCCTATAACTTTAATTTTAGACCTGTTCTAACTACTATCGCTATAGGAAGCGCTAGTTTGCTACCTTCTACTACCTCCTTCGAGATCGCCTCGAGATCTACTACCGCCCTCTTTAATAGCGTTTCTACCGCTAGCTACGAGCTACCTAATAGGTTATAACCGAAGATCTCCTACTATTTAAGACGTAGTATAAATAGCTTCTTAGGCGCCTTAGAAGAGCTAGCTTTAGCGACTCTAGAACTCGAGGAACTAGTAATTTAGTACTAAGTAGGCTTTATACTCTTCGTAGTAGTCTATAGATTAGACGGCGCTATAATAATAATAATAATACCTTTAAAAGAGCGTAGAATAGCATATATAGCAATATAAAGCATTAAATTCGAGGTCTACTTAGTAAGACAGGGTTTTCACTAGTTACTAAGCCCACCCCTGGCTAATAGGCCCACTGGCAATAACACACCTATATAAACACAACACTAATAAGCCCATGGGGGTGGATACCAGTTTCTACGGTATCGGCGTGCACTGCGTCCTCAGCAGACCATTGTCGTTGTTGTCGTGACACAGCTCGAGACGCGTGCGACATGGCTGCACCTGGCCTGGCCTTGCTTTCTCTCGCTGCTGCAGGTACCAAAGGCTGAATCAACACGTCACCTCACCCAATCTGCCCCCCCTCGTCCGCTGATGATGAGCTCCGCTGCAGCACTCGTGGTGAAGAGAAAGTAGTCGAATCCTTCTCCCGCCTCCTCAATCAATCAATACGCCTTGGCAGCATCACAGCACTCCTCTGTACCACTCAAGTCAGTCCAAACGCGGAGATGGCTTGGCAAAATGCAACATTCTGCACGTCGACTGCATCCTCCGTGTCATTTGTGCTCCTCCACCACCGCACAACGCACCGCACCGCACCGCACCGCACCGCACCGCACCGCACCCCGTTCCAAGCAAACGAAATGGAGATGGATCAGCATACTTCCTGCTATCAGCACCACAGCACCTTCCACTGCACACCGACCCTGACTCCGGTCTCGCTTGGCGACCGCATTCGACTCTTCCAATCCAGCAATGCAGAGCCCCACCGTTGCTCCGCGTGCCTGTATGTGCTTGCACATGGCGTAAGGTATGTCTCTTTGGTGCATGATAAGTGAGAAGCTTCTCCTCTTCCATTCATTCCTACATGACACGCGCTCTGCTCCTTCTCTCTCTGGCATGGCAAGATGCATCTCTGCACACTAATTTCGAGTGCTCTGCTTGCACATGTGGCATCGGCAGCATCCCTCGAGAAACGACAAACCACGCCATATGCTGTCCAGACCCCACCTTTAGACACAGACTGGACACACCAAGTGGGCACGAATCCGTGGCCTGCACATCCAAGACCGAAGCTCAAGCGAGAGCAATGGCAGACTCTCAACGGAATCTGGACATATTCAAATGCCTCGAGCTTGGATGCAGTCAACGACCCACCTGTCAATCAAACACTGTCAAGAGAGGTGCTGGTGCCATTCTGTCTCGAAAGCGGACTTTCTGGCATTCAGGGCGTGGATGTGTATTACAGCTGGTACCAAACTACCTTCACGCTTCCCACCAACTGGACTGGCCAAAGGACTCTTCTGAACTTCGACGCGGTAGACTATGAAGCTACAGTTTTTGTAAACGGCAAGAACGCAACATTCAACAGGGGTGGCTACTTTGCTTTCTCCGTCGACGTAACGCAGTACCTAAACCCTAGCGGTTCCAATGAGCTCCTGGTGTTTGTTCACGACCCCACCGATCTGGACCCATATGTTATACCAATAGGCAAGCAGACCCTCAATCCATCACACATCTTTTACAGACCCTGCAGTGGTATTTGGCAAAGCGTGTGGCTTGAATCTGCGCCGACAGATTACATTAGCGACTTGAACATCAATGGTGATGCCGATGGAAACCTCAACATCACAGTAGGAGCTGCGAACGATGCAACTTCGCAGGTTGAAGTTCAAGTCTGTGAAAGATCAACTGCGGGCGTGGCTTCAAATGGAGACAACAGCGGCTCAGGATGTACTTCTGGGAGCGGAAGGGCTGGTTCGCCATTTACAATGAAGGTCGACTCGCCCAAACTCTGGAGTCCAAGCAGCCCAACACTGTACGACGTCACACTCAAGCTGCGAGACGACCAAGTCAGCAGCTACACTGGCTTTAGGACTATCGGCCGCGCTGATGTGCAGGGTGTACAGCGGATCATGCTTAACGGGGAGTCCATCTTTACATTCGGCACTCTCGACCAGGGATACTGGCCCGATGGCTTGTACACACCACCAACGTATGAAGCCATGACTTATGATATCAAGACACTGAAAAAGATTGGCTACAACATGTTGAGAAAGCATGTAGGTGGAACACTTCTTTCTTGCACTTGATGTCATGTACACTAACAGCTTGCGCAGATCAAGGTTGAGTCTCCATTGTTCTACGCTGCTTGCGATGAAATTGGAATCCTTGTAATGCAAGACATGCCTTCGCTTCGACCATCGCAAAGCCGAACGCTCAGCAACTGCACGGTCGAGACAATCCTCCCTGATTCGGCACAGCAGGATGAGTTTCAAAGACAGCTGGAACTACTCGTGACACAATTTCGTTCATACACTTCTATCTTCGCCTGGGTCATCTACAATGAGGGCTGGGGCCAGTTGACCTCCCCAGACTACCCTGAATTTGGACTTACCGATATCGTACGCCAGATCGATCCCACGCGTCTGGTAAACTCCGTCACTGGATGGTATGATCATGGAGCAGGCGACTTCAGCGACAATCATCATTATGCGAATCCCCAGTGCGGCACACCGTGGTACAGCATCAACAGCTCTCCCTTTGATGCCAGCAGAATCGGGTTCCAAGGAGAGTTCGGTGGCACTGGTAACAACGTCTCGGCGGAGCATCTTTGGAAGGTGCAACGAGCCATCGACTCCATCAACAGCACCTACGAGATTGACTTGACTCTTGACACGTGGAACTATCGTGGGCACTTCTTGCTCAACGAACTCCTGTCGCAAGTCGAACTCTACTCCTGCGCCGGCGGTGTCTGGACGCAGACGACGGACGTTGAAGGAGAAATCAACGGCATGCTGACTTACGACCGAAGGGTCTTGAGACCAAACTTGGACCAATGGAATGCCGATATCCAGGCCCTGTACGACGCGAGCGCGAAGAGGAGCAATGCTACTGCACCAGTGTTCAGTCAAACGACCGAGTACACTGCAGTAGCCACTCCTTGGCAACCGCACTACTATGATACGCACTCGTGGACACCAGCGGGGCCTGCCAGGACGACTGGCGGAGGAGGTGTTCCTGGCGGATGGCCGCCGTAGAGGTTGATTTGAGATACAAACAGACAATCATAATCAAGAACAGTCATGATGAACAGATAACATACTTGCTCAATTTTGCCAAGAACCTTCAAATATGGATGCCTGAGGAGGATCGATAGAATTATGGATCTCAAGCCATCTCGCCTGCCATACCAGTAAGTCGGGTTCGTTCAGTTGTTGCCTGAGCAGAGCGTTCGTGCGGAGATGTCTTTCCGCGATGCAATTCACAAAGCTATTGTCATCGTTTGGTGCTTGTGCAAGGGTAGAAGCTAACTAAACTCGCCGAGGTCCAATTACGGAGCGGAACCACATCGAGCACCGACTAGCAGAACAAAATATAAGAGCTGTAGGTCTCGCTATAAGCACAGCTTCTTTCCCGTCTTCTGGTCTAGATCAAGAATACAGCTCTCACCATGGCCCCAGCACTCGAATACGCACCTCTCAACACCGCACTAGTCGGCCCAGTCATAGCCCTAGCGTTATGGACATTCTTCATGGAACTCTGGATGTAAGTATACCACCAACCTCATCCGCAATATCTCCACACGACTGACACAAAAATTTCCAGGTACTCCTATCGAATCCCAGACCTGGAAAAGTACAAAGTCAAAGTCTCTCCCACCATGACGGTAGAAGATATGAATCGCCCGATCCCTCGGCATCGTCAATGGCCTGCTGATAACTATAACCATTTGCACGAACAGCCTACTGTTTTCTATGCCGTGGCTCTTGCTTTGACGTTCTTGCAAGCTGTTGATGGGACGAGCTCGACGCTCGCTTGGGCGTATGTTGGTGCGAGGGTTGTGCATTCTTTGGTGCAGGCGAGTACGAATGTTATTATGGTGAGTGGCTAACGACGCGAATCGAGTCGAGTCGTGTGGATTGGATGTGGATGTGGAGGTGCTGATTTTTTTGAGCCAGACGAGGTTCTCGCTCTTTGCGCTTTCGAGCTTGTTGCTTTTCGGGTTGACGTTGAAGGGAGCGTTGGTGGCTTTCTTCTGAAGGCTCGGTGGTCGGGGAGAGAAGGCAAGGTAATTGGGAGCTTCAAGGAGGGAGATACTGTATCGAGGCTCCCTCCAAATCAGTAGATATCGGTTATTGAGAAGTGTATGCCGGGGAAAGGAAAGCTATGGTAGACGAGGGAGCAGGACCAATGTGGGATAGGGACCAACAGAGCGCGGCAGCCATGCTGAAAATACGCAGAAGTGCCACAATATCTTAACCAGACGGAAGCTCTCTCTCTCTCTCGAGTAGTGCTTCGCCCAATGGCTTCTGATCCCGAACCAGATCCGTGCAATTACGCGCAGTAGATTACATCGTGCTCATGGGAGGATGAAAACTTGATTGGTCGCTGTGAGATCAATTCCAGTGTCATGTCTAGATTTTGATGTCTGTTTGGTGTGAGATGGTGGTTGTCTATGGGCCCGAGCGCCTCTCACGTGATGTAAAAGCCCAAAGTCCGCGGGAGAGTCTTGATGGAGCCTTCAGCATCAATCATCGTCCCACGCCGTCGCTCATACACGCCATCGCCATCGCCATCGCCAGAATATGTGAAGATGCCTCTGACCGCGCTACGTAAAGTAGCGAAGCCTCAAGTGAGCATTCCCAGCTTGACTTTGGGTGCAATGCTGACGATACTTCCAGAATGGTGTAGGCGCATTCATCCTCCAATGCAAACGCCTCGATTTCCACTACTGCGACTGGGCCGGCAGCAGTCGAGGCATGAAGTACGACTGCCACGCGAAATTCACGTTGCTGCATCTAATGTGTGTATTTTAGCGCCTTCATCAAGTACCGTCTCGCCAACTTCGCAAAAGAAAACCCTCAGATTGAAATCACAGTTTCTCCTCGGCCCCGACGGCATCCAGTTGTGACCGGTACCTATATCAACGGCAGGATCAAGCCAGTGTGCGTGCGGAATATGGAAGTCACGGAAATCTTGCAGAAAGTAATGCTGCTGAGAAATGCGAACGGCGAGAAGCTCAAGCGTGTGACGAGGCCGGTGAAGAGCTTGAACGAAAGTGTGAGAGGCGTTTGGAGTCCACACCATACGGCAGAGTCGTACAAGATATGAGCTTCGGGATGTCGTGGCATGGGAACGCGTAGGAGATTGGATTGGACCTCGAGGGACACATTGAAAGATACGTATGGTAGCCCGCCCCCAGTGGAATCCGAAAATCCATCGGGGCAGCGTGCACGATACAGCCTGGGGATGAGGAATAATGGCACTACCGCCGCGTCGCCAGGCCACTGTCGTAGGAAGATGTCGAGCTCGACAATGCGGCAAGGTTGAAGCAGTGCACGATTTCGTCGAGACGGCGCAGCAAAATCCTTAAAACTTACGATCAGAGCGAATAGTCGAAATTGCGTGAGCAGATTACTCGATAGGGATCGAGATGAATGGGCGCTTTGCGACACAATACATGTATGATGCTACGATTGATTTTGACCATTCTTCAATCAGGACAAATCGCAAGCCGTGCAATCCTTTAGCGAGAATGTGATGCATACAACATGCCCATGAAGAGAGCAGTAGCAGAGGAGTCTGTCTCGAGAAATGCGACATCTTGTTGCAGTAAGGAACAGCCACAATCGACATCGTTTTAAGCGAAAAGGCTTTACAATGCGCGACTCCGAGGTCATCAGCGCTCAAGAACGATAGCATGCTGCACGCGACACTCGGCGTCTACCTTGGTGCCACTGATGCAATATTCTCCCCTGTTAGACTAACACGCTATGGTGATTTCAGCCACCTGCAGCCAGCCGAGGCGGCACTCTCGTGATCAAGATAGCGAGCTCAGCTGACATTCTTGAGCAGAAACACATTTTCGTCGACAACGGTCATCATGTCAAACGCTTTCAACCTGCGACATGTGGTTGATTCACACTGGGACTGGCAACCTTCGCGAATTCGTCGTAGACGAGAGGCCCAAGGAGTATGCCATCCTCTCACACTGCTGGACTAACAATGAAGTCTCCCATAAACAATACCAGAGTCAGACTCACCGAGATGGTTATGGCTTCAACAAAATCCAGAACTGCTGCCGACTCGCCTCAGATCAAGGCATAGAGTGGCTCTGGGTCGACACCTGCTGCATAGATAAGACGAGCAGTTCCGAGCTTGCGGAAGCCATCAACTCCATGTTCTCCTGGTATGAAGGAGCGTCAGTGTGCTTCGTTCTCTTGCCGGACTACGACAGCAGTGCAGAAGAACTACATACCGGCAACGATTGTGATTGCCAGCAAGCTGCTTCGACTTGTGAAAACAACCTCACAAGATTCTCCACCAACCAGTCCAGATCCAGGCAAACGAAGCTGCACGATAGCAAGTGGTTCACGAGGGGTTGGACATTACAGGAACTTTTGGCACCTACAAAGATATTGTTCTACGACCGAAACTGTGTCCTCTTCGGATGCAAGCGATGCTTGGGACCACTGCTCTCTGCAATCACGAAGATCGATCTCGAATACTTGACTAAGCGGAAGCCGTTGCACTTTGCTAGTATCGCGTGCCGCATGAGTTGGGCATCTGCACGCTCGACAACACGAATCGAAGACACTGCCTACGCTCTCCTCGGCATCTTCAATGTCAACATGTCACTCCGTTACGGCGAGGGGATCAGAGCCTTCGCGCGTCTCCAGGAACTGATCTTGCAGAGGTCAGACGATGACTCTCTGTTCGCCTGGAGATCGACGGTTCGTCAAGATCGATACGGCCTCTTCGCCGAACATCCTGTCGACTTTGCCTTCTCTGCGAACGTGGTGCCTATCCGCCGTCGCTCATTCCCACACACGGTGACTGGGCGAGGAGTCGAGCTTTTCGCGCCAGCCGATCTATTCTCCACGATCCTCGAAAGCTGCTGGCTCGGACAATACATCTTACGAGAACTAAATTGGAGCATGAAAGTCCGCCTAGCATGTCGAGATGTCAGCAAGCGAACAACAGAAAAGCAATCCATCACCCTCAAACTCAAAAAGCAATGGTCTCCACTCCCCACCGATTCACGCCTCCTATACCATCGAGTCGACGCCCACGAACCTCTCACCACGAACTACGCAAGATTCCACAGCATCCTGATCCTCGCATTCGGACTTCGAGGCTTCTACGTCGCGCCGACCAAAGCCTTCGTGCGCGCAAATTACAGACTGCACGATTATCCTCAAGCAATTCTTCTCCGCTTTCTCACCGCTCTCTATACCCTTTCTCTCGCGGCATTCTGCACGTATTTGACGTTGAGCATCGCTCACGAAACCCGCCTGGCCGTCGTCGCGAACTGGGCGATCCTCACTCTCGGACTACTCATGTCGCGGTGGAAAATTTCCTACCTTGCGTGTGTGCTCCTGATGGGGATAATGTCGTGCGGGAATTCTTGGACTCTTCATGGCGCAGCGATGAAAGTTCTGTATGATGCTGAAACGCTGCGAAAATCTTTCACTCCGAGCGTCGCAGCTGCGGGAGCCGTGGTGTTGGCTTTTGGATACTGGTTGGCAGTTGTTACTCCGATGCCATGAGCCTCTTCGTCAATACATGATATATATATATATATATATATATATATATCCCCATATACAAAGACTTTTTTTTTGCGGGAGATTCGTCTTCATGGCACAAGCACTGAATAGCAACTTCACAGTCTTTCGTGTGGATTTATTTACTCAGGACTCACTCACCCTGCTATGCTTCCCGTACGAATAACTCACAACCCATACATCACTGAGCCTTCCAAAGTGCCACCCAGTGAGCGGTTCAAAAACATAAGAGTTGAAGAAACAGCATCATAGTTCAAAGCATGGTTCGTACAGCTTTCTTTCGAGATAACTCTAGGGAATTCCCACTCTCTTTCTTTCCGGCGCGAGAGTGAGTACGTATGTGCTTCCATAGTTTGTTCGAGAACATTTTCGACTGAGACGTGTTTGGAGATCGGTTCTAGAGATAAAGATTTGGGTACATGTAGCATCATGCAAAATGAATGAATGTACGGTGTTCCTTCCAAGTTGGTATCCATTGCTGCTCCCTCGTTTCCAATGCAATTGTAAAGAAAACATAGCTTGTGCTCGGAATGCTTTGCAGTGGCAACCCAAATGCTACTAAGAGTCATACATGATTAAGAAGCTTAATTGCATGGAATGTCGCAGCACTGTCCAAAATTGATCCTCTTTTCATTTGTTTGTCTCAATTGTCTTTTAGATATATTTTTACTATAAGTGATATCGATAACGTTGCCTTGCTCTTGTTCTTCCTTCTGACGATATCTTTTATCACGGCCCGCTCGGCGAAGTTTCGTCCAAAATCACCCACTTTCGCGTCCCTCCAAGAGCCGCGTTTCCTGATTGTCGTGGCAGCGGAAATGGCAGATTACGCCAGATGTGACCAACTCGCCGCATTGGAGGTGGAAGCAGTGTTCTCATCGTGATGCGCGGCGTCAGCATCCGCGCTTTGGTCGTGAGGGGCCGTCGATGTTGAGCTCACTATGAGTGGCGAGGGGATGTACTCTTCCGATGATTCGTTTGCCTTGTCACCAAGTGAATCTGCCTCGAGCAGTTTTTGCTTGCTATTGTCTAGCTTGATCAGTTCATGCGCGTCGGGTTGCTTCTAGCTGGTCCCGTTCGTGCCGTTGGTAGCGTTGGTCAGCTTCGCGGCTTCGAGCCGCTTGGCCTGGAGCCATATGTCCACATTCTGGAACATATCCCTTGTGTCAGAGCTTACAATGGCGCTATCAGCGGCCTGGATTCCAGCGTTGATCTGCCAACATGTCAGTATAATGACTGGTTGCAGGTGTTCCGCGCAGACAGAGAGCACTTACTGCGTCCCACATCTTCCAAGCTCGCTTGAGATCACCATCGATGTCCAGTGCATGATTAAACCATTTGCGGATGTCAGAACGTCGTTCGGGAATGTTAGATAGCTCATCAAGATGACTCTTCACCACCAAAGCCAGACCCAGGTCAGGCTCCTTTAGGAAGGGAAGTGCAGCGCCGACAGCCGTGTAGTCATCAGCGCTCCGTACACGGAACACGCTAGCACACAACATCATATTCGCTGCATGGGTCTCGGCCAAATCTCGCAGTGTGTTGCGCACAGCAGCAGTGACCTGGTGATACGCAAGTAGATGTCGTGACAGAGGTCCGGTGTAGCCGATCCGAGCGTGACTGAAAGACCCGAGCGATGCGATTCGACTCACGAGAAGAGTATTCGCCTTATCCTGATCAGTTCCACGCATGGGTGCTCCGGAATATTGTGGGCTGGGGAACAGATTCTTGGTGCTTAGAACATCGAGTCGTAGAAGCTCGAAAGCTACGAAGATGGCTTCTTCCGCTTCTTGAGGCGGGTCAGTTTGACCCAACCACTGATCAGACTTGCCTTTCTCGAATGCAGCCTTCAGCGCTTTTCCCCAAGCAGAGAGGGTGTGGTCCGAATTGATGTATCCGCGGTCTTGCAGGAAACGCCAGAGTGTATTCGAGAGCATCTCTTTGCGCGTCCTCAGGACGTTCGGCTCGTTATCTTTCCGCCTTGTCACCGTCTTCTTGGCCCAGATATCGTCAGATAGCATAGTAATGGCCCACTCCAGGGGGGTGGCTTCATTGTCAATGTCCTTACCCACCGTAGCTTGAGCGATGAGAGAGTCCTTGACGTGCCAACTCTCAGCATCTCTGGTGCAGGTCTCTAGCGGCACTTCGGTAAGCCCTAGACCCTGCCTATCCGTTTCATTCCACCAGCAGACCAGCTCAACATCCTTCTTCTGGAAATAGCGATGGAAGCGATGGGAAATAATTGCGAGAATGCGTGTTTTCTGAGACCGGAGTTTGTCGTGCACCAGCTCCTTGTAGGTCGGAGAATTGCCGCCGTCGAGAGGAGGCAATTCCAGGATCTCGCTTCTGGTCCTCCAGTTCAGAACTCGTGGGCCGATGAGAGCATGTTGTAGGTATGTAATGGCTTCCTGCATGATGATTAGGTAGGATCAAGTCGGAGAGCTGAAGGAGACTTACATCCGGTATGCGCTGAGAGAGCACTTCATGAATGTCGTTTGGAGACGACTCGAAATTGAGCTGCTCAATCTTTCCACCTTCCTGAACTATGACCATGTGCTTAATAGCAGTCTTGGCTTTCATGAAAAGCTTGGTGTACTCTTCGTCCTTGGCTTGAAGACAGGCAGTGTATCCGTCCATGTTGGCGCGACCGAGAACGTTTTGAGCCGCGAGGATCTTGGAAGCTGGCGTATCATTATCAATCTCGGGAATCGGAGCGAGCATCGAGTTGCCTGAGAGAAGCATGAGGTCCACGAATTGTGAATGCGAGAGCATGAGCATGCTGAGCATCCGGTCACGATCAATAAGTTTGAAAAAACCTGCGGTCCAGTCCAGCTCGACCACCAGCCTGTCTACGTTGGCAACCAGACAAGAGGCTGAACCTGCGACACAAGAGATGATCTGCTTCTCGTCCATGTAGTTGAGTTGCGCAGCGGCATCGTAGGGTGCCGTGGTGGTCATGACGCCTTGCTTGTGGAGGTAGTACCGAAAGAAGCGGAGTATGTGTGATGTTCGGTAAGTACCTGAAAATGTCAGCGTTGGCGGTTCGCTCTACGAAATGCGACTTACAGATTTTGCCGAAGTTGGCAACCGCGTCGTCCCCTCTGCCCTGGTCATATACTTCCCAGGCAGTTTCGAGAACCTTGACGGCTTTTTGAGCTTCCTTGAGGAGCGTCTTGCGGTCTCTCGGCGCCATTTCGATGCCATTGAAAACGAACCAGGGCGTGATCTTTGCTTCACGAAAACGTGCCAGCTCGGCATCGATATGTTGGGTCAGTGCGAAGGGAAGTCCGCCGAGGGCAGGGAGAAGGGGCTCGCGTGTGCTGGTGTTGGATAGCAGGTTGTTGATGAAGGCTTCAGCGTCGAATCCGATGGTGGCATCTTCGAAATCCGAGATGTGTGACTTCTGGATCAATCCTTTGCTCGCCGCCCATTCTTTGAACTCGTGGGACATCATGGTGAAGTCGGGGCGGGGCAATCGTGTGCTTGTGAGCTCCAGCAGTATGTGGCGGTAGGTGGCGGTATGTACGATACCTTCGGAGAGATGCTGGGCGAAATCGAAGGCGTCTGGATGTGAGATGCCAAGCAAGTGGAAGCTGTCTGGATGGTTGAGGTGGCCGAGTCGTGACTCGTGAGAGCGAGCGCTCCGTCTAATGCAGGTACAGCGGAGCGGGTCGGCGGCCGTTGCCGCGAAGGCACGTGCGGCCGAAAGCAAACTTACCTAAGCACCACCAGCAAACGAGGCAATGGTGAAATGTAAAGACAGACTCCATCAGCTGTGGGACAAATGCCAAATCTTTGACTGCTGCTGAGATGCTACCACTCTAACGCCGTCCAAATGCAGTAATGCTGTCCGGTCCTGTTCTCATTGCACCTGCTTGATTTTACAGCTCCAGCCGCTGTCCTGACTGAGGAGCGGCAAAGAGGCACCCAAACACCAACCCAATTCGTTACCCTTGATCTTCTTCGCGATCTTGACTTCTCTGTCAATCGGCATCTCGTAGCCCGTATGAAGCAACGCCAGCATGAAGTTCAGGTCCAAGCACGATTCCGGCCGGTCGTTCAGCTCGTCCAGAGCACCCGGTACAGACTTGAACACGTTCCACGCATCTCCGCCTTGGCACACACGCGCAGTCAGCTCCTTCAGCTCACGGAGCGTGAAGGACTCTGGCATGCCGAGCGGCTGTGTGCGGTCGTAGAAATAGGAAAAGAGATAGACATCTTCGCTGGCGAATGTCTTCTCTAGGCTTGGCTGATGGACACCGTTGAATGCACAAGGCGCAAGTTTGCAGTCGGCTTCCTTCTTCAGTGTCTTCTCGGCAAGCGCGCGGCATTGAGCTGGGCTGCCACGCCGTGGACCTGTCATGTTGACCGTAACAGAGGCGCCGAGAGGGTGTCCCGAGCTCAGCGGAACTTCCACTTCCTTGCTCATGCCCACATTGAAGCAAGGATTGACGATCGGCTCTTTGATCCACCCTGTACTATCCTTGTTGCTCTCGTACAGACCTTCAACAACCACTCGGTGCAGGTTGTTTCGGGCCTCCATCAGACCATAGCCAAGATATGAGTGTTGGTAGAGCGTGAAGTCCCGTCCGCCGAAAGACAACTCGTACTTGTGGTCGCCCTCTGCCAGTTGCTCCGGCATACCGCCATGCTCAGCACCTTTGAACGTTGGCTGGAACACGATCTGCGTGCTGCCACCACCGAGATCAAAAACAGCAGCAGTAGGTGTCTTGTCTGGGCCTCCAATCTTACCAAGCAGATAGTTGGTAGTGATCCATGCGTAGACACCCTCGTCCTTGCCGTCCATGACTTCAACGCCGCCCTTCTCTTCGCTGATGACCGGGAATGGGTACACAGTCTCCAAGCGATGTCTGACGGCTTTCAGAATCGCATCGCTCATCTCCGGACCGAGCTTTCGCAGACCCGCAGTAGCCTTCACTGCGACTGGAGTGCAGCTCTTGAGCTTGTCAGGCACATTTTCTACAGCAACATCCATAAGCACATCCAAGCTCTTCGCAGCACCCTCTGCGTCGCTCTTGTAGCTGCTCAGCCCGCTTCCACCCTCCTTCTTCTCCGTCATCTTGAAGACCTCACCTTCCAGCTCAGGTGTAGGACCGCAGTTGTTGAATCTGTAGACATGGATTCTGCTTCCCGTGCTGCCAGCGTCGATCATGAGCGCGTACTGTATCAATGGCTTATCTTTCGAATAGCTCCGCGTGCATTTGCTCGTTGCTACCGAAGCATCGCTCGCAACATCGCCGCCCCGGAATTTGCCTCCCCCAACGGTGCTTGAGCCATAGCTGGCACCTGTGATGTAGTAGATTACGGCAAGCACGAAAAAGATCAAGCAGCCGGTCTTGATGTACCGAGCCCTCGCGCCTTGATTCATCCACGCGGCTTGTGCTTTTTCGTTCGCGGACATTGATTGATGCGACTTGGGAATGTGATTGCCGTAGCGATCTGGTTTCTCGAAAGAATCGCTGCCGCTGCGACCCTTTTCGCGCACGGTCAGGGACGATGATCGACGGCGCGGGTTGGAGAAAGTCGAGGAGAGGTTTGACCAGAGATTTGGTCGGCTGGTCAACGTCATGAAGGCTCGTAGGTCAGAACATGACTAGGCAGACGCAAAGCACAGGTGGTCCGCAAGGAAACGGCTGAAGGGAGAATTGCCGGAGAATAATCTGCAGAGCGAGGACAATTGGTTTCTCCTGCCCTCCCTCGCTCAATCGCAATGCTCGCTGAACAAGACCCTTGCCATAAACTTTAATTTATTCGTGCCTTGTTGCCTTACATCTGCGGTCTCCTGTAACCTGTTTATCACATCTAACCTTGAGTGCTTGACTGCTACTGTATCCGACGATAATAATTTCTTCTCCGTCATAGCAGACTCGATATCTCATTCGCCATGCCTTCTGACACCTTCATTTTCCTCAGCGTATGCTTGGCATCCATCGCTTCGCATACATCAGCCAGCTCACCGTTCGGATCTGAGCAGTAGACCAGATACCCAAACGCCGTCAAAACAGCTTTCGCTGCGTCTTCGTTCTTTTCATCGCTAACAGCCTCCAGCAGACTCGCCGCCAGCTCGACCTGTTCGCCTTCACTCAGGCCTTCCTGGCCCTGCTCCCTCCGCACACGATAGTTCGCTACGGCGAGATTGAATGCGAGTGACGCTGCTGCGACTCGTGTTGTGGGATGAGAGGCGTCTAATAATGACGACGTTATTAAGTCGATGAATGTCGACAGAGTTGAATCTTCGCTTTCCATCAACTCCTTAACGTATAGCGGGGAAGCAAAGACATTGCACGCCAGATGTAGTGTCACCAAGCGGAGGTTGTGAGGACATTCCTTCAGATTCAGCACATGCTTTATTAGGACAGGCACGGTTCTGGGCTGCTGCTCTTCGGCAAAGTAGCCACTCACTCTCGGGTCGATCATGGAACAGCGGAGTAGATCGACTGCTGCGAATTGTAATTCAACCGGCAGCTTGAGGATATCGGATTGGAAGGTGCGAGCAACGTCGGACAGATTTGGCAGCGCAATCTTCGGATCTTCTGATCGCTTTTCAACGAAACTCTTGAGGGCAGCCAGATCAGTCTGTTTTGATGCATCGCCGAGCTTCGCCATCAACTTGTCCAGAGGTGGTACTTTTGCATAAGTGATCGGTCTTTGTGACCCGTGCTCCAACGTGGGGACTTTAACTGTCAGATGTGGATGCGATGATAATGATGTGTTGAGACTGCCGTTGGAAGTGTTCGCTGCATTCGCTGCAGCTGGTCTGTTCTGCTGTGGAACCTCTGCTTGGGTGATAGATCGCATGCTGGCGTCGATCTGAGGCCTCAGCATCTGGCCAAATGGCGTCTTCAAAACTCGCTCGGGCAGATTTGTGATGTGCTCGGGTATCCCTTTGCCAAGCAGAAACATGGCGAAGTCGTTGGAAAAGTCGTTAATATATGCTGAAATCTTCACCGGCGTTCGACAAGACTTAGGGGATCTAGCCGAGTTCGTGCAATTGATGAAGACATTCTATAGCAAGCAAGGCATCAAAGGCCCCAAGACCATCGTATTTTCCCACAGCTTGAACATCGATCGCTGCGTCCAATATAAGGCGGCGACTGAAGAGGCTGGCATGACGCCAAGCTTCCCCTTAAGACTACAGAAGCAGAGCCGGATGCTTTCGTCCGCCTGTTCCGTAAGCTATATTAACACTACGGCCGGATCGTATCGCCCCTCGGTAAAGTACAGCTAGTACACTTGGAAGCCATTCTCCTGCTTCTTCTTTAGCATCGTCTGCAAGCTCCGGTCGTCGTGTAGCTGCCACTCTTCATTGCTGCTATCACATTTCCCTGTAAAGTAGTACTTTCTATTAAAGCCCTATCCTGAAGTCCTTTCATGTCTCTGCAGCTTCTCAACTAGATGTGTATATAATATCCCTAACACTTGTAGGTCCTTGCCCTTTACCTTTTGCCGGATGTCGTTGTCTATTAGATCTCGAAAACGTAACGATATAAATGGTTGTACGCTTGCCTCCTCCGCTATTACCCCTTACTCTGCGTCTTTTCTGTATATAATATATAACTTCGTTTTATTAAATCTTCGACCCTTTTTGCGTAATATTCTTCTATCTTCCTTATCCTCGTCCTCGTCTTCGTCTTCGTCTTCGTCGGGATCTTATATTACGCCTTTAATTGTTAGCGAGACTTTAGTTAGTAAGCCGATTAATTTTGTATTATCGCCCTCTAGGATTTTATTATAATACTAAATAAAATTCGTAATAATCGTACGGACTAGTCGCTCGCGTAGCTCGCTTTTATAGATTGTCGCTAGTTTCGTCTTATCTTACTCGTAGACGTTTATATCGATTATGAAAAACTAGTAGTCTAGGTTGTCCTTATACCTCTTTGCGATTACGCTAATAACTTCTTTTCCGATATACGTCTAATATATACTGTTATTATAGTACTAAAACTTAGGACATTCTCCTTTCTTATACGTTTTTAGCTATGCCTTGTTATCGCCTTAGCTTAGTTATATAGCCGCCTACGCCTTCGTTTTGCTTGTCTTCTAAATTGCCGGCAATATCTCCTCGTATACGAATTCAAGTAGTTTGTTCTACGTTAGACCTATAAATCGCAGTATTATCTCTACCGGAAGCGATATAAGTATATTTAGATTGTCTAGAATCTTCTCTATATACTGTATCCTTATTATAGGTAGAAGCCTAGCAGTGCGTAGTAGGCTCTTCGGTGCTACTTTAGTCTTTTGTTTCTTACGGGGAGGTTCTTTAACGTCGTCGCTATAGCCGTCTAGGTTATAAAAGTCGAAAAGCCGCTATTTGTCCTCGCTAGAATCTTCGGTATCGTGCTATCGTATTGCATTCATCGCTATAGCTATTCTTACGCTTGCTATCGTTGTTCGCGTTTTGCTTTATATTTAGGCAGCGCGATGTTGCTTATAGCGGAATTCTTAAAGTGTGATCTTACCTAGGATAGGTTCCCCGCCCGCTGCGTTCCTTGCCGCTCTTGCGTTAGTAGTCTTATTCTAAACTTTATTTTCGTTCGTATTACTTGTATTCCTACTAATATATTACTATTCGATCTATTTCAACCTTAACTTCTTTATTACTCTCCTTAAAGCTAAGACCTGCATATAATAAGCGAACGTCTAAAGAGGGCTTATGTAAAGCCCGTAATGCCTCCTACTCCTAAAAAGCAGCGAGTCTCCTCCTCGCGTACAAGTAAAGATACCGCTAGATCCCCTCCGCCGCTAGCAATCAAGCCTCACTTAGCTAAGCGCGCAGCTCCGAAGACGATAATAGAGGTATATTACTATTTTCCCTATTGTTTTTGTCTAATAATGTACTAATAATATCCTAGGCCTTACACAAAGTCAATAGGGGATAGTATTAAGTACCCTAGGAGTTGCAGGACATTATACTCGTCTTTGCTATAGCCGACGTAGACCTCATTCTTAATCGACCTATCCTATAGTAGCCTACTTTACTCGGCACCCGTCTCCCCCTATCTTTAAGTACTAATAAGGCCCTTCGCGATGCATTTATTAAGCAAGCCCTCGTGCATTCTAACTTCGTCTGCACACTTAATCTCTAATATAGTTAGCGTGCTTTCTATCGAATCTACCGCGCCCTCTAGCTCTGCCCGTAGAGTTATACGGCTTACAAATTCAAAATCGCTATTAAGACACCCGAAAAGGTAAACTTTTCTTCGCTCGCTCTCTCTCGACTCCGCTTATATTATACAGGCTCGGTTCTCTATATTTGTCGAAGTCGCTATACTATTTACCGATGTTACTCTTTTCCGTCGTACGGCTAGAGTCTATAAGTAGAGGCAACATTTTGCAGATTATTCGCGCACTGTTTTATCTACCTCTCTATTCCTAACTAAACAGCATTAGGATAAATACAAGACGTTAGAGGCTAGATTCTCGGCAAAGGGTGCCTCGGCTAAAGACCGGGAACTTATACTACAAATTCGATTTGAGATCTACTTTTAGCCGCTAGACTTTCAAAGGGCCTATAATACTAGCATCCTAGAGCTTTTCGATGTTATACGACTTATTAGTAAAGATTGTGCGTAGCGGCAAATTACGAATAGACGAACTATCGAGCGGGCTATCGATGCGTAGTTTAGGGATAAGGCTACCGATTAGCTAAAGAGTAAGAGGGAGAGGGCCTACTAAGAGTTTGGAGGAGTGTATAAGACCTTAGCCTAGTAGAAAGGTGCTATCTAGAGACCGACTCTAACCGAGACTCAACTCTTTCGATATCTATATTAGCTCCTCTGCCTTTACCTCCTTATAGCATTCCTCTATCTAGACTCTCCCTCTCTCTTTCTTTCTTCGGCGTATATACGATCCTCCTACCTTACTCCCTTATAGTACCTCTTAATCTAGAAGCTTGTATTATTACCGACTCTATTATTATATAGTTCGCTAACGGTAGCATCTCGCTCGATAATGTCTAGCTTACTTCTACCTTACCGCGATAGTCCTCTCTCGACTTCGCTCTTAAATTGCCTATCTACCTCGCTCTAAAGGAGCTACCGATAGAGCCTGTTTATTAGTTACGCCTCGCTTGCTTCGTTGCCTCGCGTTTAGCTTCTTTAGGAACCTTAGGGTCTATCTATACTAAGTTTCGAGAAATATTAAAGAGATCTCTCGACCGTAAGATCTCTTAGGACGTACTCTAGGGTACGGCTATTCCGTTCGAGTTTCCTATATCTAACTAAGAAGCGAACAAGCTCGTAGCGCGTATAGTAGAGCCGCCGCCGCCGCTATCGCCGCGGCCCGCTCCTTCGCCGTTTATAGTCCGTACCTTATTAGGAGCTACCGTCTAATACCTACGATAATAACCTCGGTAGTATATCGCTAGCGACGAGCGTAATCTTAACGTCCTCGATACTTGCTATCCTCCGCGCTCTATCGCCTACCGCTCTACCTTTACTATCGACTCCCTTAGAGCAGCCGCCTTCGCTAGCGGCGTTAGTCTGTTTCGACTAGGACTATAAAGCATTATACGAAGAAGAGCGTATTAGAGACTATACTAGAGACTATAAAGAACAGTATAAAGAGGAGTATAAAGAGGAGCATAAAGATAAGTATAAAGAATAGCATGCTAAAGGGCATACTAAAGGGCATGCTAAAGGGCACGAAGAAGAGCTTAAAGGGTATGCTAAAGGGCATACTATAGGGCACGCTAAAGGGTACGCTAAAGGGCACGCTAAAGGGTACGCTAGTAGGCACGCTAGTAGGCACGCTAAAGGGCACGCTAGTAGGTACGCTAGTAGGCACGCTAAAGGGCACGCTAGTGGGTACGCTAATAGGCACGCTAATAGGCACGCTAATAGGCACGCTAAAGGGCACGCTAGTAGGCACCCTAAAGGGCACGCTAGTAGGTTCAATCTTACTCTAGCATTTCGATAGCTCGCTTCCGCTACGCCTCCTAAGCGCCTAAAGGGTAGCTTTTATCGCTATACTCCTCTTACGACTAACCAAATCTAACAACTTCCCCTAGATTAGTATTATCTCTTCGATCGGAGTACCGGATATATATCCTACGATTCTATCCGAGCTAAGGCACCTAGACTTGATCCTATTCTTCTTCCGTATCCGCTTAGTTGTTAGAAGACTTTCGATATATATTACGATGTATCCTTTTATCTCCTTATCGCCGGTGAATTTTTTCGTACGGTTAAAGGTCGGAAACTTACGAATCCCCGAAGCGTTAATCTCAACTAGTTAGGCAACCCCTATTTATATAACAAAGGGTGTTAGAACATCCGTTAAAAAATTTGTATAGCCCGTAGCACTCTCTTCTAGGATCTAGTACTTACCGGGTACCCTTATTAGAAGCACTTTCTAGATTTGCCGTACCCTATACAATACCTAGCTCGCTTTTTCGAGCTATCGAGCTTGTTATAAGGTCCCTATCTCCTATCCTTAGACGAGTACGACTTTTATATATCCCTCGGCTATCCTAGTTTACCTTATTCTTACGGTATTATTCTTCCGGATCCGTTCTATTTTAGCGTATATCTTCGCCGCGGATACGATAGCTCTCTATCTACTCTGCTCTAGTATATAACTCGTACATTCGGTACGAGGCTATATACCGTAGGTACGAACGGAAAATTTTTCTACGACGCGGGTGCCCCGCCTATTAGCTATCGCCCGAGTAATATTATCTTTCTAGAGTTAATCCCTACTCGATCGGATATCGTATAAGAGCTTAAAGGATAATCCTAGACGCCTCGCGAAGTCCTAAGGAGTAACTCTAAAGATATTAATCTAGAAATGCCTCGTCCTAATATCCTTCTACGTAGTACGGACAAAGGCAAAAAGCTACTTATCGATAGCGATCGCGAGTAGTATAGCGATCTAGCCGAGGGTAAAGTTGATTAAGTTAA